AAGCACTCATTAAACAAAGAAAAATGTTCTGATATGGTTCTGTTACGTACCGGGGTTGATAGAAGGGTTCCATTTGATGAATTGATCGTGGGTGATCTTGAACTCGGTCTCGATAGAATCGCACTGATCCCCGGAGCTAACCTTGTGAAACTTGTCGCAGTTCGCTGCGATGCCGGACTGGGTGGGGGGCTTGCCATCGTCAGTGGGTGTAGGAGCAGCAGAGGTTGTGGTTGCACCGGGGACGTGGATGCAGACGTAGTAGTCCAGCCAGATGTTGGAGCACTCTGAATATTGAGAGTTAGCGAGGCTGAAAAAAAAAAGACCCAGAAATGGAAGGGCGAGCAAACATACTGTCGTTGATGTAGGGGTTCCATTTGGAGAATTGTGAATGGGTGATGCCGGCTGAAGCCTCAATGGCATCACAGCTGTCCCCATCCACGACCTTGTGGAACTTGTCGCAGTTCTCAGACAACCCAGTCTGAGTGGGCTCGTGGTCACTGGCCGAAGAGGTTGTGGAGGGAGCTTCAGTAGTCTTGGTCGAGCTGGAGGTCGTCACAGCGGTCGTGGTCTCAGCAGCCGTGGAAGTGGTAGTGGTCTTGGTAGACTCGTCATCATTTGCCTCACCAGAGACACAGTACTCAGTTTCATCATCGAATTTGGAGCAATCCAGATCAGGGTTGAGAGGCTTGAGGTCGTCAACGGCGATGCCCCAGCTGTCGGCAAAGGCTTCACAGGTGTCGCCCGTACTGGGAGCAGTACTGAAACTGCAGTCGACACCGCGACGGGAGAAAGTATTTCCAATGGAGCGTGCAGCAAGCAACTCCGGTAGGAGGGCCAAGGCAAGAGCGGACTTTCCGTACATACTGACGATGTAGATGGCTGATCGGCTGTGAGTTATGATTTCCAGGAACAAATTCGATCCGAGTCACCTTGGACTATAATTTCGGATAACTTGGAGCCTTTTATATGGATCTCAACGAAGGCCTTTCGACACAATTGGCCGCCAATGGCATGGTTGACTACTATCCCTCCATCATCTTTGGAAGCCTCGTTGACCCGCACCCAAATTCACCGGCGCCATAGTGACTGAACTTACGAATAGTGCTGTCTCAGTTGAATCGACCACGGCGACGCAAATTGAAGTGGATTATACTCCGTATCAAGCGTTCAATCGTGCGAAATTGACACTACTCCATCCGAAGTTCCCAAATAGGAAGTATAGAGGAACCGAAAGACCGGATACACTCGTATACAATATACTGGTACGTCGCTTACAGATTGTAACGTTGGGAGGCATGCCAAGGTACTAAATATGCGCTTCCCTCACAAACCCTGCACCAAGAGCCCAAGTCCGCCCAAGCTCAAATTTCGGCCTAGGCATCAGCCTGAGCATCAGCCTATCGCAGATCTCGGCTGGGCTCCAACTTGGCATACTTAACCTTGGAATTCAAGTTCGAAACTGCCTTGTACCTGAACAGATCTCCACCCACACTTCCGTCATGATCTCCGATTAGTGAACCGGCCCGGCAACGGGGATAGGGGTGGGTAGGGCTAAGATTAGTGATGCTCATTGGTTGTTAAGAGATCACCAGGGTTCGACCCACCTTCTGCCCCCTTTTCCGCCCCGTGCATAGTATGAAATCTAGCCCTATGGAATTAGCACTGTTGGTTAGGTCCGCGTAAATTTGCCGGAGGCAGTCGAAGGGCCCAAGGTCCCTTGGTTCCATAATGCTGACCTTCTCATGGAGTTAAGAGGACCGACATTGGTCAAAAGGCCATGATGGCCATTGATGCATATTAAGACAAAGTGGTATGGGTTACGAACAGACGCTGGGTTCTCCGGACGGAGCCCTCCGTCCAGAATAACACTTGCGGCTCTGATAAAAAAGCCTCGCCGAGAAAAAGATTCAGCCTCCCGTAAATTGTGCAAGCCGCTACTCCGTACTTGTGACGCCAAGACATTGCCACATTTGCAACCGAAGTACTCCGTAAAGCTGCAGGACTAAGCTTGTCGGTAGGACGGAAGCCGACAGCTCCGGGATTTTTGACAAGTGGAATCATCATGTTCACAGATCTCACGGATGGTAAACAGTGGCGAAGCACGGACAATTCCCTCATGACCCCACGAAACTCATTTTAACTAGTTTATGTGGCTTGAGGGAGGGGGTTCTCGGAGGCTCGTGCTACAAGCTCAGTTTACTATTCCACTGAAGCTTGATATTACTCTTGGCAAGCCACAGGACCACCATCCAGGTCAAATTACGCTGACCGGGAATACTCCGTCCATTCGCTTGTGATTCAAGATGAACGCCGGTATCGCGATACTTGAGGCTAGAACAGTGGCATTGTTCATACTACATAGATCAAAGGCCGGGTGCGCCGTGGACTTGCCGAAACAGTCAAGAACACTCATTGGTACAAACAGTCAAGTTAGGCTAGATGTGACCCAGTCTTGGCCCCATTCCCTAGATTAGAAACTATAACGGTATTGAAACTGCCTGTACCCATTGGACAATTGATAGTTGATACACTGAGGTTATTCAAATACATAGAAAAGATGAGCAACGTCGCCGCTAAATCAACAGCTCGCGAACAAGTAGCATACCAGCAGCCCACCATGTCAGCTGAGAGGCCGCATTGTTGACAGTAGCTGCGCCCTTTTTAGGTGGACATCTGATACCAGGGGTAGGAGCAGCGCACTGTGCTGCGGTGAGGGTGGACGAGATGCTTGAGGCGGCCGCCGGTGCGACACTGACCTTGCAAGGAGCAGGCGTAGGCGCGGGACTCGCGAGCACGGCGCATTTTTCGCCTTCATAGTGACCCGATTGGGCTTCCAGGGTCTTTGTGACGTTGAATGCAAGAGCGGATGCATCACCGCATTTGTCATCGGCAGTGAGAGCGGTCAAATTAGGCTGGTTTGCCCCTTTCTTCGTAGTAAAGCGGACGGATTGGCCAGCCCATGGGTTGTTCAAGTTGACCTTGGGCTCACCGTCCGAAGTGGTCTCGTTCGCCGACGTCGAGCAGTTGGTCCAGTCCATTTTCCAGACAAACTCCCAGTCATTCTCGGTGTTCAGCGTGTTTGTGATGCTAGCTTCAAGGAATGCCACAGAGCCCGTTGTATCCGTTGTATTGGGCAGATGTTGTTGCACCAGATTGCTGTCCAGTGTTTGATTCCCCGGTGGGAGATCCACTGGCCACAGTCCGTAAGTAATATAGGGATAGAGTCGATCAATCGCCGCGAGGTTCTGAATTGCGAAAACGATGGGGGTGAGTGTCATCGGCCCAAAGGTGCCGTTTCGCGGGAAGACCAAGTCAACCTCTGCGAACCCAAGGCCCGTAGTCTCGGCTATCCCCAGGGATGCTATCAGGCTGAAAGCGAGGACCTGCTTCTTGATATCGAACATAGTGAGGATTCGGGAATATTAGGGTTGAGAAGCTCAGGTGTGGTTAAGCCGATACCACTGGACAGTCCAAGGTTGATAGCCAATATCAACTGATATCAGCGGCAAAATCCAACGTCCAAAGAGAAAAGATCAAAAAAGGGAAATTTGGGTGCAGTAGGGCGAAGTACCCCAAAGTGACCCAAAGTGAAAGGGTCGTAATTTCGTACGGGCAGCAAACCGAACTACTCGCGCTAGGGAGACTAGAAGGTTTCGTAGTTCGTAGAAAGAGGGTCCCCCAGAAGTGGGTCACTGCAATATAAAAATTGTATAAAAATTACGTACGAGTATCTGAATACCCTGTACATAGTCTTAGACCTCATTTCAATTTATGAATATTGTTACCTCCCAGCCCAGTGCAAGGGTAACATCAAGAAGCAGAAGGTTGACTGGGCTATCTACCATACGAAATAATGACTCTTCAGTCATTCAACAGTCGCCTCACAGGTGCTTGGCCCAAGAAGTGGCTTGACTCTGTTATATTGTTGTCTATATAGTGATGCAGTCTTTTTTATATCCAAGATTCTTGAGCAACACTTCAAGGTGAGGCGGTGAGTGGCGCAAGCAGTAAGTGCGTCACTGGCGAGGCCTTACGCGAATTGCTAGGTGGGGACCTAGCAACGAATATAAGGGCTGCAGGTTCGAATCCTGTCACCGTCACAACTGTTACCCTGAGGCACCTACCGAAGAAAGCCTACGCTCTGGTTGACTTAGCTAGGACCTGGATGGTTGACCCGGGGTAGGGGTAGCTTACTGTGGACGCATAAACGGCGGGTGGGGGAAACTGTCTCCTGTCTAAGCCTTTCAGCATACCTATAAGTACTAGCCGTTAAACTCGGGCCGCTAGGAAAAGGATGTCCCCTTTGTGGTAGCTGGGTTGGTGTAACAGTTCGGCACGATACAACAAAGTATAATCCGAGTTTCGGGGGGCGCCCTGGATGGTCACTGAGACGAAAATACAACATAATGAACAATCGGTCACTCGGTCGCTTTAAAGCACTAGGGCTATCCACTCATTATTGGGTCTGATCTTTCGGCGTTAGGGAAAGTTTCTTGTCGTGTAAGCCCGAGTGCACCAACCTGCATAGCATTGCCGTACGCTTAGGCTAGCTCCAACAGGTATAAGAAATATCATCATCATCATCATCATCATCACTTCAAGGTGAATCTAGTGATGATATCAAACCATGGTAACGTAACATCTTGCAATCAGTCCTCTCAATAAAAGATCAGAAACAGAGGGTAGCTGGCTGTGGATTTGACATGCTGAGTGAATGAGAAAAGGAAAAAAGGAATAAAAAAGGTGACGCCAGGGATTGAACGTGGAAGATCACAGAGGCACTTCGCGTAAACAGCAATCGCACCCTGGCAGCTGAGGGGAGGGTCGGGGAGGACGAGCTGACCAGCTGTTGCCCGATAGACCACCCCTCAGCATCGACTACACATCACTTCTGACGAGATATAGCCGACGAAATATTCTCTTGTCAGCCCATTACTTGTGCTGTAGATGTGACACACCTCAGCTCCGAGCTCTATCACTAGTTCACAACAAATACGAAATCAATCTTGAAAGCAAGACTCCTCCTCCTTGAAGAGTACAGGATCCTTCCGAGAGCGGTTAACTTGCAACTGAAAGACATCCAGTCGTTGATAACCGCCGACGACATCATGGTACTGCTTTCCCTCAATACAATCGTCGAGATTCATATCCGCGTAGATGACATCCTGCAGCTACATTATCCCTACTTTATAGAATGCCATTGATCCAAGTGAATGGACTGGATAGCCTAAAGTAAGTTTCTTTTCATGCACAGGCTAAGAGATGCGCCGGAAAAATAGTAAATTGGTGTCTGTTGCTAGAGGAAGAACGCAGTACTGTAATCATTATCAAAAGAACGGCAATGGTTGTGAATTGAAAGAATCATACGCGAAAATATCTCGAGCATCTGCATCAAGGCAAGCGAATACTGCTGCACGAATTAACCCCCGTTGTATCTATTACCCACTTGGCAGCCCTTTGAACAGCCACGTCAGGTTTATCCTTGAAACCTAAGAGGTAGCTCTGGATTTCAGCTGCTGTGAACTGGTTAGCTGGAACCAATTCGGCAAACTCAATGGACAGGCCCTGGATCGTTTGGGTTTCTATGGCTCTAGCTGACTGATTCTCCATTTTGCGAGTCGTACTGCATAAGGCACTGGCGGACTAAAGTTCAATGAATGGTTTGTAGATAAGGGAGAAAATGCTTCCAATGCTGCTTTTATCCGCATATCCAAAGAAAAACGACTTATCAACACGACTAGGGCGAATCAAAGCAGCGTCGAGTTTGTCAGGGTGATTGGTCGTCATGATGAGAATTCGACCCTCTTGGGCTCCGACACCATCTAGGCAATTCAAAAGAGCCGATAGCGAAACACCGCTATGGACCACAGTTTTGTCCTCAGGGAAGCCAGTTTCATCGCTTTGGTTGACTTCGCGGAAACCGACTGCGCGCTGTCGTCCATCTAGAAAATGAGAAGTTCGCGAATCATATGAGAGAATACGGTCAGACACGGAAAGTTAGCAGTTGGGAGGGCAATCAGTCTTTCGAGTCATCTTCTCCTTCTGAGCAGACGATGGAGTTATCTCTCAACAAAGAGGGTCAGATCCTTCTCAGTAAGGAAGGAATGGCTGCATGGGTCAAAGAAGTGAGTGGAGAAAGCCTATCGACTGCCGATTACTTTCTAATAATACCAGGTCTATCACCGGACACAAGGCAGGGAATTACCAGGAAATTATAACCACGCCCTTCTGGCAGAGCTTTTCCATTCGCAATCAATGCGTTGGGGCAAGATCGCTCGTGAGCATGTGGACGCCGTCGCAAAGTTGGTCTCCACGTTCTTAGAAGCAGCACTGAACTTTGTGATCAAAGATATCAAAGTCCGCCGAAATGTCCAAAACTGCGTCGAGAAGTCTGTTCAAGGAAACTTCAAGCGCGCGATCAATGAATTGAACGTGTTGCTTGAGGACGAGGCGCGTCAGCCCATCACGTACAATCATTATTATACAGACAACATCCAGAAGGCTCGAAATGACCAGTCAAATCACCAGATCCAAGATTCAATGCACAGCGCAATCCGAAACGACTGGAATGGGAAATTCCATGTGAGCAATTCGTCTGATGAAATAGGCCACAAAGTCCAAAGCCAAAGCCTTCCCACCACAGCTTCCCAGCCACGGACCCACATCTCCAGACTTGAAGCCTGTCTGGACGCAGATCCACAGATCTATGACATGACTGGCCTTGTGGCTCCCTATATGTGTCTAGTATGGATAGTGAGCCACACGGGCTAGAAGACGGTTTTCCTAAATCTACACCGCAGGAAGCACTAGGAGGCCACAGCGGTCTTTTGCTTCCTCGCGCTACGTCTTGTATCTAGAGTCAACTATAGTTGTTCCTATGATTCCTACTCCTGGGAGCAATCAATAGCGTGCTGGGAACCATGCCATGGATCCTGGGGTCGGATATGATCCTAAGAACGTGACGGGTCTCACAACATAAAATGTGGGATCTGTAATCGGTAATCAGTCTTAGGAATACAAATTGAAACGCGGGGGGCAAGTGCGGGGAACCGAAAGAAGATGTGGTTAATTGGGCAAGAATATGGCGTAAAGACACCTTTTGAAGAGGAATGATTTTGATGAACGATAAATTGGATTAATTGGGCAAGAGAGTTAGACGTAGATATATCAGGATTCTTGGTGAGAATTTTGATTTCACCGGCTAGCTGGACTGCCTAGAAAATGAAAAGCCTAATTAGATTGCTTCCATACAGCTAAGGTAACATCTTGCAGCTCGTCAAGTCTTTGTATCTCTACGAGCATCCGAGGATCAGGTCCGAACTAGAGGTCTTTCATTTCGATTGTTTAAAAACGATGGAGCCCTTTGCGCGTACGTAGTCTAGACAATTACACGTAGGTTAAGCAGAATTTCTGGCGGCGGTCTCGACCGTGCATCGACGGGTTATCTTTATGATCCAGGATCGCCAAGTCAAGGGTGGAGCCCTGCACCTTATAGTCGGCAAGGCAGAATGCCGGGGTCATAGGTACTTATCGCCGTCGGACAGAGTAACCTTTTAGAGTCATCGATCTCTCTAGGGGAAAGATAGGAACGATAGAAGGCGCGAGATCTTCGAAAACCGAGGCGGTTAATTTGGCTTACTTAAATAAAACACACGCAGGAGGCTTAGTGCATAGGATATAGAGGTCGTCAATTTCATAGAATTCGGCTAGTAACGATTAAGGTTAGATCGGTACTTTATACGCAAGGGAAGACTAACTCGCTAGCTAGGTCAACTATAACACCGACAGCGGTTCTAGTCGCACCATTAACCTGCCCTATCCGAGTACAAGTATTTGTTAATATGACAGAAGGTATGTTTAGGGTGTACAGAAAAATCCCCGGGAATAAGATCATGGCACCTTGATCTAGTTGCTAGAGCAAGTCATCGACACGCAAGCGAAGGTTAGGTAGGCCAGTGCTTTTGGTCCGTATGTGTTAAGCAGGGAAGGCGTAGATCTTTTGACAGCGGACCTTAGCAAAGTGTTCTATTCGAATACGGTTAACCTAGTGTCGAAGAGATTTCAGCTTTACTATCGTTGTCGCACTGTCTAGGTAAGAGGCCACTAAGGAAGCGATAGCGCTGGCGTTTAGCAAGTGTAGGTCATCCTCCGTTAAAGTTGATAGTCTCGCCCGTTAGAGGAGGCTCCGAAATAAGGGGTTTTCGGATTGCCTCATCTACTCGTCCAAGACGATCATATCTCTAAATTGATGCCATATAAGTCGGCTATTTGCGTCCTCTACATTACCCCTTCTAGGATCCTTCTATAGTGCCGGGCCTCGTATAGGTAGGAACTAGAAAAAGTCACCTATGAGAATACCTATAGGTAAACCACCGAGTAAGTCGGGCGAACCCCGATCTAGGAATCTTGCCATTTTGCAGTGGTTATTAATCACACTAAGCATACTAAGATCCATCATGCTAACTTCATCGATGACCATAATTGTCTTCGGGGACCAGAGTTTTCTCACGCGAGAAGTTATGGTATATGCTAAGTGCGAGTAACAGGAATTCCTAGGGACGTGTAGAACGTGTTGCCACCGATATTGTCTGCAGTGGCGCTAGTCGGGGCCATAAGTATTACCTCTTCCTTACGGTGGATAAGATCCATCGCGGCCATAATGCCTTTGACGACTTGACTCTTACCTACACCCCCTTCACCCCCAACGTAAAGAAGGGTCTGCTGCCGCTTCGAAGCATCATAAGGATAGTCCGCCTAGCCCAATGCTTCGTTCAACACCTTCTCAACAACTAGATGCTGTTTGGTATTTAGGGGAATGGTTTCATTAACAAGTAAAGTCAAAGAAGCAGGGGTGGGGTTGCCAGCAACTTGGGACCGCTGGTCGGGTAGAGGAACAATGAGTTCCGGTTCATTAAGCATAGGTCTGAAAGTGTCATCCTCAACGTGCAAAGTGAAGTCATCCATTTCACTTGTACCGTTTTAGCCGAATTCATTTGTACTAGACTTGAAATATCGTGGACAGATAATCAGAACCTTTGAAGTGAATGTGATGATGAGATTGTGCAACCGGGCCCGCTATTCAATACCATTTATATGTGGTCGTAGCTTTGGCTTCATATCAGACCGGTCTCCTCAGTCGTACCGATGGTCCTCCCCTAAAAAGGTGCCTGATGTTTCAAGGCCACGCGCATATCACACCGAAATTCATCATCCAATAAGGATAAAAGAATTGAGTCATTTTCCCTCTCTATCCATGCAGTATCATGGGCAAGGGCAACGTGAGCTCCGAATTTTCTCTCCATTATCCTCATTCGTTCCAGAGTGTCGGTCGCCGCCGGCACATCTTCATGGAGGCTGAATGTTATCCCATCAGGAAGCTCGAAAGACGCAAACTCCTTGGTACCAGTGAACAACGCTCTATATTAATATTAGTTTAGATTTCTTTAGCGGTAAGGCCTTGAGATCTATACCGTGAGTGGCAACAGTCAGAGCCCAGAACAACCCAATCGCCTGTTGCAAGCCTGGCACAAGCGCCAAGGTTGCCCGGCATATGGCCAGGAGCTTGAATGATCCAGAAACTCCCATCGCCGAAAAGGTCCATCGCATTTTCAAACGGTCCAAAATGCTTCCATGGCCCTTCCAAAGTTTTCCAATTTTCTGTTGCTTTTTCTGGATCGAAAAATCGGCCATCCCACATTGATGATGGGTTCGCGAAGTGGCCTGGAGCACAATGTTCTAAAGTCCCAGGCCCAAAATAGACTGTTGCATTTGGAAATGTCTCGCCCACCGGTCGACAATGATCGAAATGGGCATGACTATCAATAAAGTTGAGAATATCCGCATTATGAACTACAAAGGACGAAAGTATTCCCACCTCAGTAGAACAGTATCGATTTCAGCCGACGTGACACCATTTCGGCGTTCAATTTGCGCTGCAATTGTCTCATGAGGACCCTCAACCCGAGCCTCTTTCAACATTCCATTTGAAATAACAGGGGGATAATCGTCTGGGTTCTTCGGCCAGTAAATACACGGGTTTGCCCACGGCCGATAGTTTTAATGGGAGGGAACAGGGGAGCACACGTACCGATGACATTCCCAAATCCCAAATGATTTTTCGCCCGTATCCCGCGTGATAGATAAAAAAAGCCCAATTATACATTCGAAATTTTTCGGCTGGCTCACCTTTATGAAGCTTGTGGTATTCGGCCACCATGCTTCCTCCGTTGAGGAGTTGAACATGGACATGCCCGTCTGTAACGGGAAGTTCAATCTGAGAATCAGTCATGATGTCTAGTCTTGATGATTCTGCTAACGATGTCGCTCAGATTGTGTCAATGAATGCTGTTGTCAAGGAAGGGTGGGTGAGTTTCATAAAGTCATTTAAGATCGGAGGTGAGGGCGGATGACAGTGCCTGGCACCCCACCTGAATACAAAGCTCATCTACTTATAGAAATTGCACTTTAACACAATCGCTCTAGACTTTTTGAAATGAGTTGAATATCTCGATTTATTATTGAATAACTAAATTCACAGTAGACAAGTGTTATTGCAACATCTGAAGTGCCACCGTCCCCTTCTCCATACTTCCTTGCATCAACGTATCCGAAAATCTTGATCTGCTTCGTCCCACAACGTGAAACCTATTCCTGATTATCCTTTGGAGGGGCAGTGATATGTAGATATACAGACGACCCGTCCCGGTCCTACATGGTAATTATCTCTAGTTAGTCTCTCCAGATCCCAATCAGTCGACATAATAAAAGGTATTTTACTCACGATGCACTGTGGATCGACGGCAGCCTTCTCGTAAACCCGATAAGCGGCCTCTGCGATGGTAGGTTTGATTCCCGTTGCGTACCCTGCCTTGACACCTAGACCCAAATCTTTGATCATCATCTGCGTCTTAAATCCCAGTCTGTAATTATTGCTACTAGGAGCATCAGGCACAACTCCTGGAACCGGCTGAACGACATCAGCCATGAAACTTTGGCCAGTCGAATTCTGTATCACGTCATGGAGAAGCTTCTCGTCAACACCTGATCTAATACCAATAGCCATCGCCTCCGCAACTGCCAACAGAATGGAACAAGACAAATAATTGTTGCTGATTTTTGCTGCCAGACCAGCTCCTAGCCTTCCGCAGTAGAAGAATTTCTTTGGATTTCCCATCATCGCTGCGACTTTCTCTAGTCGATCAGAGACCGGATCGGTATCAGAGGGCTTGTTGTGTCCGATCAAGAAGGATAATGTTCCCAAATCTGCACCAGGAACTCCACCCTGTATTCTCATTCGTTAGAATGTCCCTCAAGCTAATTTGTCTTTCAATAAGGTGTGTTTCGGGAAATTTACCGAAACAGGGGTGTCGATATATATTCCTGCGCCCGCAGCTCTGAGTGCCTCCCCGACATCTCGGCTGGATTGGGAATCTATAGTGCTGCACTCCATTATCAATCGATCTTGGTTCTTGGGGGCGGCGACTATGCCTGAAATATCGTTCAGATAGACTTGTTGCACTTCCTCGGGTCCGGGGACAATAGAAACGACCGTTTGGGATAGTGCAGCCGCCTCCCGTGGCGAGTCGACGATCACAACTGGGCCAAACTCTTTGAACTCATTTTGGAATCGCTCACAGGCATGGCGAAAGACATCGAAAATATAAAGTGTTCCGGTCGGTGCCATTTTTCTGCGGATATTCTTTGCCATGGCGTAGCCCATAGCACCCAAACCTAAGTCATACTAAGTAAAATGAATGAAGTAAAGCTAGAACTCTTGTTCCAGGATCAGGGCAAAAAATTACCGATAAATGCAAAATTTTCCACGATGTTTGTCATGTTGGTTGTTTCTTAGTTTCCTTTGTTGAACCTGTCAGTCATCTAATTGTCATTGTTATATCCTCAAGCGACATAAAAGTAACGGATCGTTAATCTAGCTCCCTCACCCCACTTGGGCCTTTAAGTGGCATGTGGAAAATCGCGATCGTCCGAGATCGGGTCACAGTCAATAGTTGAAGCGTAAAGATAAGTGACAGGCAATCTTTGTATTCCCTAGCAGAAAATAAGTTTCAACTTATGTCACAACGTAAGCTTTATGATACTCCCAATGACAATGCAGATTGAATCATTGGTTCCAGCATCTACCTGTACAGGAACACAGAAGAGCCATGTACGGGCAAGAATGGGTATTGCGTTGGCCCAGAATTTTCTTTAAATCTCTTTATTGCTTTCTATTTTGTTCGTATCTGATATAAACGGACACAAAGTAAGCTGTAAGTCGCTAACGGAGGAGGCCCGCGTTGGAAAGCATTTTCCTTTTCAAATCACGCGCATATCCAGCTATAGCTGCTCTCCTCGTCTCCTCCGGATTCCACAAAGGATCAAACATCGGTCCCAGTGGTAATGGAAGGTCATCCTGAAAATAAGCGGTGTGAAGTGTAGTCTGTCGCATGGACGTGCAACGGAAAGGACGTGTGCTTGTTGTGTGGTCAGATACCCTCGGGGTTGATGACTCTGCTGACGTCAAGTCATCCTCATGATCCCCAGGGCTAGGATTTGTCGAATTCGGCATTAACATGTAGTTTGAAGAAAGCGCCTCTGAATGAAGAGCGGTGAAATCCAGTACTTTGACTGCTTGTCCAATCTTATCACTGGAAATAGATAAAGTTGATGGACAGTCAGTCACTTTGGCGGGACATCTTTTACCCTCAGATTCTCCTTGGCTGGAGTTTTCCGCTTTCCCAGAGGATTCCGAGTACTGCGTCACTGATAGTGCAGATGTTGGAGTACAAGCTATATCGGTATCAGGTAGAGCTTTCGAGCTGTATAGTGTTTTGTGGGCGGTCTTTTCATGGCGGATCACCACATCTCTGCAACTCAGCTATCAGTTATGCCAAGGAAGGTCTGTGGCTATTGATGTGCAGTATCAATCAAGCCGGTAAGATGGACTTACGCTCTACTAAACATTCTAGGACAATATCGACATTGGTAGAGCCGTTCCTGTGTATCTATTTTAGGTATCAGCCTCTGCGCTAATCTTGGCCTGAGTGTGAAAACAACTGACGGCGACTACGCTGATGACGAGCGCAATGTTGACTCCGCTTGAATGTCATATTGCAGACTGTACAGGTATACCTTCGCGACTGTTTCGTATCTTTCCTGGACTTATTCGGGGAATTATTCATGAAAACATATGACCGAAGTTGCAGACTCTCTTGAACGAAGAATGTTACTCTTGAGACGGAGATAAAGAAATTGTGGAATATGGATCTTCTACCATAGCCATGAAAGCTTAATACAGAAAATAATATTACAAATATAGTGGCAATCAGACCCTGACATTAGGAGTGAACTTACACTATGTGTGACATGGGAAATATGTTGCGGGTGCGAGAACCCCCACATAGCCATGTGGGGTGGAATTTTGGCTTAGGTTAGCCCCCTCCCCCCCCCTCTTGGTAAAAAGACGACGATGATGATCATGAATTCATTTGCCCGATGTAGCTCGCTCTAAATATATGCTGCTAAAACATGACAAACACAAGGAAAGCTAAAGCGATCGCACCTGCGACTCAAGCCAGTAACCCAAATAGGGTTTCAAAAGACGAATACATCCTTTTTTTTTGGTTTTCCTATTATAGATGGGATTTAATCACAGCGTCCCCTCCCCCCAAGAAGGAGTACAAGGCCAGATTAGTACAATATCGAAGACTCGTGTTGATGATCACGAATTTGGCGCGCCTAAAAACTTATGATTAAAATTTCGTCGAACAAGAAGAAGGGTACTTTTTTAATTAATAAACACAATGAGCACTATGAGTTGCATGTACTTGTTAGGGCCTATTCCCGGTTTAAAACTGATAGAAATTTCATAGCCAAGCTTTGCCAGCTCAACGGTGTTCATGATAGTGCTCAGGTAAAAAAAATTAAAATTAAAATAATAAAAATAATAAAAAAAACCACGTCGTTGTAGGTGTCTTCGATGACAGCCAGTTTTCTGAGTAACTGCTCCTTTGCTTTCCCCGAGACTCTGTTAGCGACGACAATGATTCTCTGAAGGCAAATGCAATTTCTTATTTTGAATTCGCTAATAGAGTGGGATCAAATCCCGATCTTGAGTGCAGAAACCAAGCAATTTTAAATTAAGCGTTGGGTCTGACATCTGACATTCATGTAGATCCTCATACTACTCGTGTTGGAAGGATGACTAGGCCGTAGTGCTCTTGGGCCAGGAGCCTGTTTAGTCACATGGAACTGTTTGAAAGCAATTAGAAAACTCCCAGGCGCAGGTTCCGGAGCGCTCGCCATCGATCATCACCAGTATAAAATCAACCCCATTTTATGCAAGGAGATCAGGCCCGGACGTGTATATGTGCGAGGTACGGGTAAATTACACACGCGTAGCTTCTTGGGCAGTGGTGCTAGATTGACTAAGCGGATTTGGCTGTTAACCATGGAAATTCAACGGAAGCGCGACGCCGTGGTTGGTCTGCAAGCGCTTCCCCACGTTCGCGCCCCCGCACTGTTCTTCCCCAGGTCTTCCCCGGGTCGCACAGCTAGTCTCATCCTTCTCTCTGCTTGATCATCCCGCTATCATACCCTTACCGGTAGAGCCTCAACATGAAAAATCATGATGTTGCCGCTCGGAAGTGTGCCAAGTGCCATCACGTCTTTTCGAAAGTCGAGCACTTACGACGGCATCAGCGATCACGTACGTGTCCCCAAACTATTTCGGCGAGAAGACACACTGAAAATCTGTTTCTGGAAGATACTGGCGAACGACCTTTTAAATGCATGACTTGTGGAAGGACATATGCGAGAAGGTGTGCTAAATATCTCGGTCCTTCTCCGCTTTTTCCCTGACGCGATCGCCCACAGTGATGTTTTGAACCGGCATATTCGTAATCATCATTTAGCGTCGCAAGGCGTAGATGGAGAAGCTACCCGGCAAATCCAGTCCTCGAATGATGAATTGACAGGGAGGAACAACCTCCCGCCAGGTACGGAATCTGATGGCACGCATATAGAAACTGGAAATTTCTCTTCAGACAGGCCTTCCTCGTCGCCGCGCAATACTCCACTGGAGTGTCCGACTCCACGGGATCTTGTTATCAATGATCCAGCAGGTGATGATTGGAACAACAGGCCTGTTGATGACATGCTTGAAACACAAATTCCATGTACCGTGGGCCTTCCCGACTCCCTAGAAAACGTTCGCGCATTGGAATTTACAGACGACCATCAGCCACTGCAACTCACGGCTATCTCCACTCCACCAGTTTCTACTTCCTTTCATGCGCTGATCGACCCATCCCTGGGGTTAACACAGCCATCTATTACCAAAGACACGTTTGATGCCATGGCCCTTGATTTGGACTTCGGCTCTGCTTGGCTAGATGATCTGCTTTTGACACCATCAACTTCCGGGGGACGGCGGCTAAATCATCCGCATAAAGAAAACATCTCAAATGAACAATTCGAGCAGGTGCGCCGTCACTGGCCTACAAGGCGCCGGAAAGCCACGTTGTCCCCATCTCCTGTGTGTTGGGATGACATTCTTCTCCATTCCGAAGACAATATCTTTTCCTCGGCTTCATTAAAGTCCATCTCAACGCTTGATCCCTCACCACAGGTCAAGTCGCCTTGGGGATTCACAGAGGCTTGTCGACATCGTTTAGCTGAAAGTATGATTGCATATGCGTCGCACAGCGCAAATCAAACAAATGATTCTCACGTCATACCTTCGCCCCGCGATGGACCATGGAATGGCGAACCTCCTCCCACTGATATTCTGGACCTGTGTCTCGATTTGTACTTTGGCCAATTCCACATTCATTTGCCCTTTGTTCATCCGGGAACTTTCAAGGCTTGCCATACCCCCAGTATTCTACTGTTTCCCATATGCGTGGTGGGTATGATGATCCTTGACAGAACCGCTGCTTACAAAATTATTGCCGATTATTTGCCGGTAGGTTATTCTTCTTGCGTCGTTGTGTCCAGTTTACCATTTGCTTACCCAGTTGAGCTCTACAGGGAGCTATTCACCACTGCAGAACCGAGCTTACGTCCCATGCCATTCGACATTGTTCAGGTCCTGATTTATTCGCTGTCTTGGGTAGCGCCTGTCTGATATTATTCATTGCTGCGTCGACGGCTGTAAGTTCTTCCAATCTTATGACACTCTCCATATTGACATATCTTCAGGAAATAGCGTTTGAAGACCAACGACAAGCACTTTATGAAGAAGCAATATCTGTCAGAATTTCCCACATGTCACCAGCAAGTAATCGAGGCTTCTGTAGGCTAACTTTGGTTGAAATAGATGGCTAAAATGAGACGTGTTTTTGATTCGCATGACTACGGCTATACTCTCGTACAAGCGGTAGGAGATGATAATGTCATGTGGAAATCATGGGCTCGGATCCAGTCTGTTCAACGGTAAGCAATATCATTTATGGGTAAATTGACTTCTAAATTTCAATTAGTCTTACAGGCTGTTTGATCTTAGCCGACGCCTACTCGGCACAGATGCTGGGACTTGCACCTATCCTTTCGCCCGACATTGTTCAATTGCCACGTATATGCCCGGATCCCCTGTTCACGGTGTATTCTTCACGTCAGTGGAAATCTAAAACTGCATTCAATGACCCATGGAAACATACCGCCTCTGTGGTGCTCGACATGCAGAGCCCTCCTCCGGGGCTGACTCGGATGGAGCTCCAAACAGCTTTTGCATTATTCTGGCTTCGTATTCTCAACCACCGCCATCGACCACGAAGAGAGCTGGTCCCTGTGCCTGAAACCGGGATTCGCACCGCTACATTATCACATGAAAATCCGGAGACCGATAGTGAGCAGTCTTTTGAATCTTGTCTAGCATTGGCTTTCGGCGTCTATGAGACGGAGTTAAAGAGCGAGGATGCAAACTCGCTGATCCTATGGCATTATTTATGCCTTCGTCTCACATGTGATCTTGCTGTGGTTGAGGATGCAGCCGGTCGGAATGGCCCTGAAGCTGCCAAGGAAGCTGTTGAGAAACTGAGGTTATGGGCCAGATCACCCGGTGCTCGTCGTGCCTGCCTACATGCGTCTCAGATGTACATTGCCATTAATAATCATCGCAAGTCCCACGGTATGATGCTTCATTCTGAAATGGCGTTGTTTCATGCAGCGCTGGTTCTGGGATTTTATCTCCTCGCGGCTCCCGACTGTACCTCTAGCGATGATGCATGCTATGACATCTTTGAGGAAGTCCCCTGGGGCCAAGTTGGGACATTGGGTCTATCCTTGCGGTCTCTTGATCAGGAAATCTTTTCCTCGGTCTCAGGAGCAGCTGCATTCATTCAGAAAGGGGGACCGGTTTCCTTCCATGGTGCAGAATACTGCAGTCCCTACGGTGCGGCTCGGAGATCATTTATGAACTTTGCTTCTCAACTCAAGGAAGTGGGCAAATGGAATGTGGAGGAGTATTGCAAAGTACTGCGGATAATTAGTGACACCCTTTTAACGCCTGAGAGACAAGACACTGAATCATGAATCGCTGTTGTGGATTTGGGAAAAAAATTCCTGCCACTGACTTCCTGTGAAAACATCTCATGGCCTACTAGCCGATCATTTCTGGAAACAAATTTCTGTAAATAGATTTCTTCAGGGCTGTTTTCTTGCCTCAGGTTGTTGTTCCAAGGTTGCACGTACCTTTACTAGTATCTAGCAAATGTCGAATTCCTGCTAAACGACCAATGCACTGACTGGCACGTTCCTGGGTAAAACATATACCCCAAGACGAAAGCTCCACATTACTGCATTGTCTGACATGCCACATTTGAACTCCAGCCTGCCTTGGAGAGTTCTTATCGTAGAGCTTCTCGGGTGGGCATATGATTTACCATAACAAGATAATTCTTTTCACAGTAAGGGCATGTATGTGGGGTGTAGTCAACGTCAGGTTTATCCCCCACTCAGGAAAGCATCCGAAGATGTATTATCCGTCGGGTCAATCTAAACCAATATGTAAAAGAAGAAAAATGACCCGAGTGAACCCCTCAAGCTTGTGAGTGTTGTCGTATTAGTATATATTCGACGTTGCTTCTCGAAAGAACGAAAATCTCCTCATATCGCATACCTATTCATCGAATTGTTTGCAAATATTACTAGACCTCATGTCGAATCCTTTCGTTCTTATCGTTGGGGCAGGCCCTAGTGGCCTACTCTTAGCACTCATGCTGGGCAAAAAGGAATACCCGTACGCCTTGTTGAAGCTGCAGAATCTCTGGACGATCGCCCACGTGCCACCCATTACTCCCCGCCAGCTGTCTACGAACTGCGTCGGGCCGGGGTGCTCGAAGATATGGAAGCTGAAGGCGCATTCACACCTAGCGGAGCTTCCTGGAGAAAGCTTGATGGTGAATTATTAGCCGGGATTCCTGCTGTCGGAAATGAAGCACTGCCTTCTGACCCCATGATATGTCTTCCACTGAACAAGCTGATCATTGTTCTCCAGCGCCAAATCTCCAAATTGCCTCATGTCGAGATATCATATTCGCATAAAGTCATTGGGGTAGGCCAGGATAAAGAACGGGCGTGGGTAGAGGTAGAAACACCTAGCGGCCCACAGGAACTGGAGGCGCAATACATTGTCGGATGCGACGGGGCAAACAGCCAGATCCGCCGTTCTTTATTTGGAGATTGGGAATTCCCTGGTTATACTTGGGAACAGCAGGTTGTTGCTACTAATGTACGTTGATCACAAAGCTTTTCGTTATATCACGATTAGGGAATATTTCGCTAACAAGACCCATTCATCGGCAGACATACTACCCATTTGAAAAACACGGATTTGATTGGGATTCCAATTTTATCATTCACCCGGAGCACTGGTATATGGCTGCGCGTATCACGAAGGATGGACTATGGCGCGTCACATATGGAGAAGTACCAGGCTTAAGCTTTGATGAGCTCAAGGCCAGACAGCCGGCAAAGTTCAAGGCTTGCTTGCCAGGCAATCCAGATCCCAATGATTACACAATCGTTAATTTCAGTCCTTACAAGGTGCACCAACGCCTTGCTAAGAAAATGAGGGTCGGGCGGTGTCTATTGGCTGCTGATGCAGCACATTGTAAGTGATATTGGCCCAGCTGATTACGCTTGCTTAGGCTCACAAAACTAATTTTCGTTCTAGTATGCAACCCCTTCGGAGGGTTGGGATTGACGGGCGGGATCGTGGATGTTGGGGGGCTTTCTGATTGTCTAGAAGGTATACACTCTGGACAGGCTGGGGATAGCATCTTGGACGTATATGACACTGTTCGCCGGGCGAAGTACAACGAAGTCGTGAATCCGGTATCCACCGGTAACATTCGACTTTTGTTTGAGCAAAATCCGGAGACAGCTCTTGATGAGAACGAATTTTTGAAGACATGCAAGAAAGCGGAGATGGACCCCGAAGTCGGTGCTGCACAGAGGAAAGCGGCGAATGCGCTTCAATATGACTTCCGGCAACACTACCAAAAACGAAAGTTTCCATGATCTACTTCTACCATATTCTAGTCCTTCTTTTCTCGTCGAATGGGCGGGAATTGGAGTCCTAGCTATATAGCCTTTAATCATATCGACCAAAAAGGATATTTTTCCTGTTTATCGGTTTCCATGTCAAGCTATATCTGGATTATGCTAAGATTTCTCTGAGATTCCGTTGATTAAAGTCGTAAAAGGGTGTCCAGAAACACCATGATATTTATGAAGTGCAGGTGCAGGCAACTTATCAACGGATATTCCCTTTCAGTTTCGTGTCCTTCTCTGTGAGCAGTATTTGTGGTGTCCTTCACGAATCCAGGTCGCGATTCCGTAAGGCTATTTACCCCACTTAACTATGGAGCAATGCTCTTCTGGGGTTTACTTGTTATTCGGGCTGAGCCAACTATTCTCACAGCTTCCCCCACAGAATGCTGGTGCGCATATCAGAAGTACGGGGTATTTCGTGTGGGGTAGATGTTGTGGCTCTATATACCCCTGAGTATAATCTGGCAGTGTGTCCTCCAGCTAGATTATGAGCCATGGGAAACACAATTCGATACGCCATTTTTTCGCAACCGTGGTTGCTTGCCGCGGCTATCGTTACTATTTTCAGCTTAGTTGTCATCACCAAAGCACTGTTACATCCCCTCCGAGATGTCCCAGGGCCATTTTGGGCTCGATTTACCCGGCTGTGGTATTTGCGAGCCGTGAGCATGGGAGACTTTGAGATGAAAAACATTGACCTTCACCGATCTTACGGTAAGCCGATTCTTCTCTTGGCGCCAGCAGGAATTAATCGCTTTCTAGGATCAATCATCCGTATAGCACCTGGGCAATACTCTCTCAATGACCCCGAGGCAATTCGCACAATATACTCGCATTCGTCAAATTTCGTTAAGGTATTCTTAATCGCAGAAGATAAATACAATTCTCAAAGCCTGTGAGATACTGAAATATTTTTTAGGCACCATGGTATCTCGCCAGCTCGAATCCGAATTCCGAATCTCGTGATCTCTTTACGGATTTAGACCCTAGGAGCCACGCAAAAAATCGACGAAAGGTCGCATCGCTCTACAGTATGAGCAGTTTAATCCCGATGGAGTCTTGTGTTGCCGATTGTACCAACGTCTTGATCGAACGTTTCACTGAGTTTGCCAAGTCTAGACAGACGTTCAATTTACAGAATTGGATGCAATTTTACGCGTTCGACGTGATTGGTCTTATCACTGTAAGTGAGGGTTTTTGTAGACTATACATAACTACTATCAAGACCGTTGGCTAATGATACGCTGAAGCTCAACAAAAGATTTGGGTTCCTCGATAGTGGTACAGACCAAAACTCACTCATAACATCTCTTAACTCATACCTTGTATACGCATCCCAAGTCGGGATCTTTCAGGAGTTGCATCCTTTTTTGTCTAGAATGCTTGCTCTTCTTCCATCAAATGGCATCGCGCATCTGGGAGCCTTCACATTGCAACAGGTTTCTGAGGGCCAGAGGAAGTTTAGGGAGAAATCTTCAGCTGATTCTTCGGATCCATTCCTCAAAAGACTGCTCAATATGCACAGTGAAAATCCGGACAAAATCAGTGAGGCGGATATCTTCACAACGTGTATAACAAATATTGGGGCGGGATCGGATACAACATCTATCTCTCTGACGGCTATCTTGCACAAAATATGCCAGCACTCGGACGTTTATCAAAAGGTGCTTTCTCCTACCTGACTTTCATACGCTTCCACCTAATATTTGCGTCTTTAGCTCCGCAACGAGATAGACACAGCCGATGACCAGGGGAAACTATCATTTCCCGCCATCACTTTCCGGGAATCTCAAGCTTTGCCATATCTACAAGCATGTATAAAAGAAAGCATGCGTCTGCATCCTGTTACAGGCTTACCGCTGGCTCGAGTTGTTCCTAAAGGCGGGGCAACCCTTTGCGGCAGGTTCTTTCCTGAAGGAGTAAGCTAAACTATGTTTCAGTTTCTATTCCTCTCCCCCCTGGGGGTTCAACTCTACTAAAACTACCACTACAGGAAATTGTGGGTGTTAATACATGGGTCATACACCGAAATAAAGCTGTGTTCGGGAACGATGCAGATTCATATAGGCCAGAGAGGTGGATGGATAACCCTGCCGGCGTCTCCGAAATGGAGCGCAATTTCTTGGCTGTAAGTGATCTTGCTTTGCTACTGAATGACAAGTCTAATGTATAATCAAAATATTTTTATTACAGTTCGGCTCTGGATCGCGGACCTGTATTGGCAAAAATATTAGCTTGGTGGAAATTGGGAAATTGATTCCAGAGCTCATTAGGCGCTTCGACTTTGAGTTGGTTAATCCCGAAGCACCGGTAAAGACCCACAATGTTTGGTTCGTCAAACAGTTGGATGTTCAATGTCGCGTTCAGTTACGCAAAAAGTGATCATCTTCAAGGCAACAATGTTTGGCTCGTCGTCAGGCCCAGAGTTTGATATCAACAAAGAATCTTTAGCTCTTTTCCCCTGCAGAAAGTTTCCACTTCCACTGTACTCAATGTTTGAAAGAGGCTCAGTGCCGTTGAGCTTCCTACCGCGGGTCAAGGGATTCATCGTCCGAATACTTTGAAATAAACTATTGTTTGAGGGAAAATGTTTAGTAAATAAATTGAAGTTCTATTCTCTGTAAAATTCAATATAAACTCAATGTACTCTGACGTTCACCGAAGATATCATTTTCATTGGCATCGAGAAGTTCAATCAAAAAGCTAAGTAAGGTAGATCGAGATCAAATTCTCAAGTAAGTCCCACATATGATGATCTAGGATGACTGGGCAGTATCGAGGGATATCAGGTCAGCTGATCTTATACATGACTCTACGGCACGTAATTTTACAACTGTGTCCTGTATATAATTAGGCTATCCGCGGTATTATTCTATTCTTCTTTCTAGCTTTAGTACCTTCGTTCAAATACCACACATATTGATTTTGTTCTAGGTTCTCACACCACATATAAAAGCGGAGGATATTTTCATTTTGAAAAGTTCTAATACAGGTATCAACTTCCTCGGGATATGAACATAGTTTAGTATTGATCCAACAATTCCCGAAATTAGCATACCCAATACACCGAGTATGCCTATTCTGGGCCATTTAGAGGGCTCAACTCAAAATACTTCTAGTGCGATGCAAACTTTATCAAAAATCAACGTCCATAAACTTCCCTGATAGACCATTCTAGTCGCATTGCAGCTATTGGCTTTGAATAAGGGATGAAGGAAACGCATATATAGGTATCTTTCTAGCTGTAAGCGTAATAATCTGTGTGTTCTCTCCTCGGGTAGAGTGAGAACGGAATGGTTATGAAGAAACAAGAGGCATATCTATATTACAAACTCGCCGGGGTTGTGGTCAATTCACTGAATCCGCGATAGCCAATGAACGTCTCCCTTGGGTCCCATTTCCGACGGACAGCAAGAAATTTCTGCAGGGCAGAGTCAGTAAGAACCTAAACAACTGTAAGCATTCATGGTAATTCATCCGGTCAATTTGAATCTCACAGGCGTCAGTCTTTGATTGGCATCAAAATCGGCAATGTATTGCCCGCATGAAACTTTCGAGGCTCGTGTATACACTTCACGCATCCAACGGCTCATGCGATCGTCCCACGAGGGATCCGTCCAGCAAGACATCGAGGCAATATAGAAATTCTGCGGAATACTGATGGCTTGGTTTGTTTCGTCAGGTCTGTAATTCCCAACGTATATGCACCCAATTGAACGGCGGGTAGGTAGATCCCACAGAGCTGGCTTGATCGCCTTAATTAACTAATATAGAGCATGATTTATTAGCAAATTTAGTCTCGAATTCACGTATTAGATATCATCATCGTTCATCAGTTCATACCTGTTCTCTGTCCACTTCTGGGTGATCAAGGATGCTATCACATTGCCACCTCTCCCCATTTCCTGAAGGATTAAGTCTATCCTGAGCCTCGAATAACTCGTTCCACGTTCGTTCTGCTAACGGGATGGACGTAATTTGGTGCTGACTTAGAATTTCAGGCAAACTTTCCCACGGGCTTAGCAGAGTCTTCGCCTCCGCAAAGGTATCCGAAAAGGCCAAAATGCTGGCCGCCATAAACACGCGCCTGTCATTTACCTCTTCTCCAAGACTCGCATCATCGCGGTCTGGTCGAAAGGTCGCGAAGGCAACCTCAACACCGTGTTTGGGAGTGCAGTCGGTCAACTCAAATAAAGCATGAAGGATACCGGAGAACGATTTCGTACAATCGAATACTACCACTCTCTCCCACAATCGACGGGTTGGAATTGTCTTTCCCCAGATCCTAGTCACAACTCCGAAGAAGCCCTGCCCACTTCCTCGTGCGGCCCAAAATAGTTCCGCATTTTGCGTTTTGCTCGCTTGCACAATCTCTCCATCCGCTGTTACGATCTCCATCTGCTCGACCCATCTATCTGATGTGCATCCCCAGCCACGCATGAACCATCCTTGCCCACCGGCAAGCAGGAATCCTCCCGCCGCAACGGTCGGCGAGTGTCCAAATGGGAAGAATCTTCCCACGGCAGTCAAAGCTTCGGCAAGCTCTTTTGATCTGGCGCCTGGAGGGAAAGCCACCAACTGTGTCTGGGGGTTGTAATCAATTCCTTGGTTGAGGTGGCATGTGTCAAGCAACACGCCATCGGGTAGCAGCGAACAACATGCGAACAAATGACCGCCTGATCGTACTCCGACTTTTGTGTTGGCTAAGCGCGCATACTTCAAGATCTCCGCTACGTCAAGCGTTGTGCGAGGTCGATATATTTTTGCCGGTTTGGCCTTTGGAACACGTGCATGAAAGTATCGGGTTCGAAGTTCTTCATACTCAGGGTCTCCCTGGGTCACGCCCTGGCACTTCATGGAGTCAAAAGATGCACACATGCTCAACAATGGGGAAATGTGATTCTGCTAGTTTTTGTTGTAGACACTAGGTATTTTGACCGTCTATATAAAGCCTCAGCGCCATGTGGGTCAACTTGAAGGCCCGTACTGTGGGTGTGTGCATAGAAACTGCCACCAGCCCCCGGCCCTAAAGCATCCCCTGTGAAGCGAATGGTACTAGTTAAACTTCGTTACGAAAGGGATGGACGCGTAATTAAGCCAATCTTGAGCTTCATTAGAAAATTCGATCTTGGAAATTATCTTTGAACTCAGATTATTCCCTGGACAAGTCAGCACCACCATTGTCACCGTTCCCCAACCCAAGGAGCCGAAGTTCACCACCCCACATCCATGTGAAACTGTATTACAGCAAACATTTGTAACGACTTCCGTGAGAGTGCATTCCCCCCACATGATACTGTATGGATTTACGGTAATATACTGTAAGGCATACTACTTCGAAGGTTGTTCACCCAATCCATGATGATTGCCTCTGAAGACACAAGGTCCAGCTTGGAGTTCTCTCTCGCAACCAATGGGAATGAAAAATAGAAATAATATCACCTCAGTTCCAACGACGCCGATTTTATTTCCAGAGCCAAAATCCAGTAAGAATTTAGAATTAGTAGTTTCGTAAAAAATAGTCTACCGAAAGACACTAAAATCCAGAGGCTTCACGCATGGTAATTCTAATGTGATGGAATAAGATTGATTAGGGGGTGAAATGCATCGTTAATTTAATCCTCAAAATAGGAGAGACTATATCATATCTGCTGTCTGAAAAATAGACTCAAGTCCATACACGCAAATTAGACGTCAAGCGACAGATCTCTTGCTGTCAGAAGTAGTCAGCTTGGGGCAGGAGTTAGTCTCCCATGAGACTGACAGGCTATTCATTCGTCTTCGCCAATATCGCCGCCACCTCGTCGGAATGCTTCGAGAAATTATCCACCAAGTTATCCCACATCTTCGGCTCGTGCTCATGCTTCTTCGAACTGTTCCACGCATAATCTGTGATTGTGAATGAACGGCTGGACTCGAACATGACTGCCATCGAGCCCTCGGAGATCTGCGTCACTGGGGGCGCATGTTCGGTGGCTGCCTTGAACTCTTCGTAAGCCACACCATGAGGCACCACTAGTGAAAGAAGAAGAAAATCAGTGTTAGCTTAAAATAAAAATGTACAGGTACGCGGAGGTAGCGTGGCTGGGTGAAAGGAGGGTATCTGCGGGAATACTTACTGCCACATTCAAAGGATACGCTGCCTGGCCTGAAGTCATCAGAACGCCCGCCATAATCACCATAGATGAGGCCCATCAACTCAGAGGCGGCATTACGGTGGTAGTAGGGAGGTCGGTAAGAATCTACAGTGGGTGGTCAGCACACAAAGGAATGGTTTAGAATCACAAATTCTTTTGGGGGTATCATACGAGATGCAACGTCCCATCGTGGCGAGAAAATCAGTAAATCGGCCAGTGGAGCAGTGATATCGCGCGATTTGGCCGTGAGCACACAGAAGATCGAAGGGTCCATGTGGTCCACGGAGATGGAACCTACATTGACAAACTTGGTCATGTCGTACTTATACGGAATCTGCCATAGAGGTCGGTCAGCGAAGAGTTGAAATACAAATGAGACAGTGCAAGAGCTCAGGAGTAAACATGAGAAGAAAACATACATAGTTGCCATGCCAGGCTACCACATCAAACGGGCTATGGTTCTGAGTACTCCGAAAGAACTTCCCACCTAGTTTATATATAATTTCCCATGGCTCCTGGGTGATCTCGTACTGGGCAATAGGACTCAAAAAGTCGCGAGCATTCGCCAGACCGTTAGAACCCAGGGGTCCCAGCTCTGGTAGCTCAAAACAGGTGCCCCATATTTCGAGAATATAACCACGAGACGGACCATCAGGGAGTTCTACGCGGAAGCGCAGGCCACGCTGAATCACAACAATCTCGCCGGGTTGGACAAAAAGAGGGCCAAACTCGGTCTGGATATCTAGGGCACCTTGCTGCGGCACAATCAGGAACTCACCATCCGAGTTCACAAAAGCCCTCTTTATCATACTAGCATTAGCAACGTAGACGTGGGTCGCGATACCTTCGCGCAGGGTGGGGTCGCCGGAGCCGGCTATGGTCTTGAGGCCAGAGATAAAATCGATCTCGCCACTGCTGTTATCAGGGATTTCGAAAGGATGCCATGCTAGCTGGGTGGGTGAAACGTGGATACGGGGGTTTAGCGGCAGGAAGTTGGACTCAGTGTCCTCGTTGTCTGGGAGCTCGGTCTGGTTGATGAGTATTAGAAGTTCCGGTGTTCTATTCCGATCTAAATTCAAGCACATACAAAGCCCCGGTGTGCCACGGCTGGACGGACGCGGTACAGCCACGCCTTCTTGTTCGCATGACGCGGGGCAACAAAGGCTGTGGCCGTGATCTGCTCGGCATATAGGCCAAATCGAACGTTGCGAGGGCTATTTTGCCCCTGTGGAATAGTGCCAGGCACTGCCTCTGACTCAAAGCTATTGGTTTCGCCACATCAGCCATTGAATTTCTCTATGTAGCTGGTACACATACACATTACCAAACCCGGCTTGGTACTGTTTGCAATCAATACCAATTAGCAACTGCAAGTATTTGAATAAGAATATTTCTCTCCCACCTTATAAAGATCATTACGTCTGGTAGCGTAGGAAGGGACAGTCCCGTCCTTCTGCGTCCCTGCCCAGTGAAAGACCTTCTGGTACTCCTTTGGATCTGACAGGGAGGTTGTGGAACACATGTTGAAAGATGTATAGATTCGGGTCAATGGCCTGAGCAATTCAATCAATTCACGAAAGAGAACCAAGAAATAACAATGACAATAAGAACAATAACGTCAGGTCAATCAAGGAATTATTTGGGGATGGCGCATGCTATATACTTACTTCCTAAGAGACATGACCTGTTTCCAGTAGTGGAGTCACCCCTCTAGCCCTCTTCCGGGGATGGACATTAGAGATAATGCATTTCCCCGTACTACATCATACCATTTCCGCGAGTGCCCCGAATGACCCAACAGGGCTTGGTGGGCAACCCTTCCAGCATTGACAACCGACGAGGAATGAAGTCGCGTCGGACAACCCCACATAAGTCAGGTCTGAGTAATTCACGGCCCGGACGGAGTCGGATGCCGCTGTGTAAAATGGCTGCGTGGGGTGCAAACCGGGTCATTTGTTCTCAAAACAACTGTTGCTCATTGCGCTGGAATCTGAGCAGGCGCGCCGCTTTGGGCGAGTTGTCAAGTTGTCAATGACTCTTGGCTAAGATTCAAATAAGATAATAGGTATCTCATACAGTCGTTCTCGAAATCGGCTTGACAGATACACTCTTGGTCACTCTTTTTTGGCCCCATCGCCAAGGTCTTGGCGTGATCAGATTATTGAGCGCGCCACCTTAAATTGAGAGCCGTAGTAAGATATATATGTAATTTTACTCAATGTATACGAGCATCCTATGATCTATAATGGCACGTGGGTCCTGGAATACCGTGGAATACCGTGGAATTCCGTCAGTCGAGTAGGTCCTACTGTAGCAGATCTGCCAACTTAACCTCCACCAAAAGCTTCACAGCATACCTCTCCCTTTTTTTACCGTTCCTAACTCTCGATATCTCTCTAGCTCAAGATATTGCTATATCACAGATGATATCATCGTAATTTGCTGTCTCGACCAGGCTTCTGTTTTTTGCGGAAAAACAACAGCATTTTCGGCAGGGGTAGGTGTAGGCTTGAACAAGAAGTCTCTTGTCAGACCCAGGATACAGGATGATGCCCGGTTCTTTCATTATGCGTGATGAAGATAGCGTTCACCCAAGTGAAACGTTTGACATGTAGGACGATACGTTGCGATATACACCAGCACCTAGCAACTTTGGTTGCACTCCAGCTTCGCTATCTGATCTGAGCTATACCAACATCAACCCCATATCTCTCGCCGATTACCCTCCTCCGCGACTAGCCGCTTCGCAAAAAGATAGACTTCCGTTACTCTTCAATGGGATCTTCCAAACTGCAAACTGCTGAGAAATATGCTCCAAAACAGAGAAAGCATCGAACCCATTATGGAAAGCGGGATAGATGGGTTTTGCAAATCTGTGCCATGCCCTTGGGGTACAATCCATGCCACGAAGAACGCTAGCAAAGGTGAAACACAAACAAAATTGTAGAAAATGATCCAACGTAGACTGATGATTTCGCGCGCATAGATCCCCCAGAAGTCTTCTCTCTTGTCGCCTGCTTCTTCTAGTTCAGTTCTTTTCTTTGGGAGGAACTTCAGAATGTCGGAGGAATGGGCCCCCAGCCTTCTACATCTGTGGTGTAGGTGAAGTAGTGGTCGTGGTTTGTAACAAGCGTAGAAACGTTTCTTGAATTCGTGCTCGGAGATTGGTGGGATGTTGTCCATCGGCCTTGGCTGATACTCGTAATCGGTGTTCGCATGGTCAGGGAATGAATCTTTGATTTTGAGTGCGAACTCGTGGTCATCGAACTTCTCGAACTGCGATTTTTATACTCAACAAACATCCCTGGAGTATCGGACAACGGCACTCACCTTGTAAAAGTCACAATGAGAGTACCTCCAAACGCTGAAACAGCCCCGTAGTAAACCTCTCAGGCGGAAATACTCTTTTTTCATTATGCTGAAGAAGGTATGGCAGTTTAAATTGCTCACACAGATTTGTGCGAGTCTGTAATCTCCACCTTGTTTTGCGAGGAAGAGGATGCGGTGCCGAGTGATGCTCATGTCGACGATATTGGCCTTGAGTCCCGAGAGTCGACGATGAGGTGAAGGATTAGAGGACGAACCGCCTGGCTGCTGCCTTCCATAATCTTGATTGGAAATCCTGTTTGAAACTAGACTATTGTTTGGGGGGCTGCAAGAGGTCGGGTTAGATCTAGTATGTGCCTCTGGGGGAAGTTGCGTATTTCGGGTAGCCGTGGTGTCTATGGCAAGTCTTCTGATAATGGACTGAAGGCGTTTAACAAAGGTGTTTGGTACTTCTGCCCATCGCTCTTCACCACATGGCTGCATCATCGATTAGAGCCTAGATCTATGCTGTGAAGGGGTGTACATAAATGAATACTCACACACTTCCACCGTAACCGAGTCTCTGATTCCCCTAGTGGTCTCAGACAACGAGGCAATGGCCACCAATCCCAGGGCTCTCCAGTCCAGCGCTCAACTATATGCTGATAGCGGCTGATGAACCTAACAATTCGGAAAATATTTTGATCATGTTCAAAATGAATCTCGTGGGGACTCACGTGCTGCAACTCTGTCACAAGATTCCGCAGTTTATACCGAGCAGAATCGCCATGGTTCTTATGTTCTGGAGTTGACCACCTTGTCACCAGATCTCGAAGCCGAGAGTATAGCGAGGGTTTAACAAACTCTTCGAGCCGACGACGAAGGATTTGGTAAGCGGAGCTTTCCAAAATGAAGTGCCTCATTTGATCCAAGTGTTGCAAAGATCCCTCATATGGCTCATCTTCGCCAGCTTCCTCTGCCACGGAGTCTTGGTCACTTTCCTCATCATCAAGATTGAATACTTCGGTTGCTTCACTTGTCTGCGGAGCAGGGCGACCCCTGTGCAAATTTTGAAGATAATCTTCCACTTTCCTCTTATGAACTGGGCGTTTTTCAACTGATGCGATTCTATATTCTGCCTCTGGAACATGAGGTTCGGTGTTTCGCTCTTCGACGATAGGTGTCATGGAAAAGAGCTGGCTCGTTATCATGGCTGAATATGAGCTTACAAAGCCCCTGAGGTCTCGGTGCGATTCGTTGAGGATATCTGCCTTGAGATTACCCGCAAAATGTTTCAGCAATCTCCGAAAGTTGTTTCGCATCTTCTCAAATCCAATCAGCTCTTTTGATACGCCGACTAAAAGGAGCGAGAGCACAATGCCATCTTCATGCAGCAGGCTTGCAAACTCCCGAACGAGCAACGAGTTTATTTCTCTTCCAGATTCCAATGATTCGGTGCTGGGAAGGGAGAGACAGGAGCAGAAAAGACTGAGTCGTTCTCATTGGATGAATCGGAATCCCCAAAATCCACAAAGTCGGGTAGAGGCTGCATATCGTGTCCGACAGCCCCTGAGGACAAGTCCGGAGTGTCGGAATGCTCTGGAGCTAGTACCTGCTTGCGAGCCTCCATCACCTGGCAGCCATCCTGAATACTAAGGTAATCCGTATCTTTCTTCTCGCTTTGAGTCCCGTGACCATCTCTCTTTTTACCCTCCAACCACTGTTGAAATTCGTGCCGTAGATTGAGAAATGCGTGCGTTGACACCAAGAATTCCTTAACCTTCTCAAGCGTAGCTAGCGTAGTTGATTCCGAATCACTTGGGTCGCTGTCCACAGACGACTCGTCGCCATCAGCGTTCCGATCTGTGCGACCGCCTGTATGTGACTCTATCCACTCATTTACCCGAGCCAATTCCAACCGAGTTGCTTCCGGTTTCTTTTCAAAAAAAAGTTCGGGGTTATTTTCCATGAGATATATGCGGACTTCGATTGCTGTCCGCCGTGCGGACAACCGAACAAAATGTGCCGCTTCGCGTTGAATTTCATTAGATGCTTCACGATTTAAATCCCAGCCATACCGTTTAAGCATACGCGAGAAGTTCCTTTGGAATCTTTCAGAGCCGACCTTTGAGATGGCCGTTGAATATAGACCCATCAACTGGTCATCATTTAAGAGTAAACGAGCCAGCTCAGAAATAGCGGTTGACGTGATTTCGGACTCCCAAGATGAAATAGATTCCGTTGAGAAAATGCTTTCAACGTCAGTTTGGTCACCAACATCTGAGCTATTGGTATCATCTTTATTTTCGTAGTCCACATTTGGTGGGTTTCCACGTTCATTATGGTGCTGTTCTTGTTGATCGTATGCCCGGTTCAAGCGCTTATTGACGCCTTCAATTTCTTCTTGCAACTTATCTGCACAATACCACGTGAGAGAACCACTCTTGGTTGAGGAAAAAGCTGATGCAGATTATACTTACTATACACTTCTACCACCAAATTCTCTTGCAAAACGTGGCCCTCAGGTACATATCCCAGCAGCTCTTTGGCATATGATGCTGCTGCTAAGGCAGCATATCCTTGCCACTGCTTGTTCTTGTGTGAATCGGCGTAATCACAAATACCGCGGATAATAATGCAGGGGAAGTCCGACATCAAACCAGCCGCCTCCATCTCAAAGCACAATGCCCCAGTTTCTAGCCTAAGCTGCTCTCTTGTCCGGGGGTTTTTGATGACGGCATTCCCTGATGCAACGATACCATAGTGTGACTGTGGATTGTTATCCTCACGTTTAGTTCTTATCTCCTCCCACTCTGGCAGGCATGTGTCGCAGCTACTCGCAGTCGGAGGATGATCGTGCTCAAGCTTGAACAGTCGATCATATTGTGCATCCGGTCGGGCAAAGTTTTTCCGAGTTCGTGCGGTTCTTCCCATCGCGCTAATGAGATATTCCGGATAGCGAGGATCATCCGTTAGCTCAGCAGCCCTCATCATCCTGACTGCTGCTAATAGTGACCTAGGAGGACTGTTCAAGGAGCCAGTTCGGCGGAATACACCACCTACCCCGACCTTCCCCAAATCATACTGAAGCACGCCTCCGCAGGTTCCCTCGGGGTAGCTAATCACAATATCGCCAAGACGTATATCATGAGTAGCCGACGGAATTCCAGCCCCGATACCGACTATCAACCCGATCCGAAGTGACCTAGAGAACATGCGGACCATATTATTCGCGACGGTAGTGGCTAATGTGGTTCCGTATTGTCCTGTGGGAAGGCAGGCGATCACGACATTATGTTTGCCGATTCGGCCCAATGTATAGGTATTTAAGTCTGTCGTGTCGTTGAAATCAAGAATATCAAAGATTTCATCCAGCATTTCCCTAGCTGCCGCAGCCTCGATCGGCAGGGCACAGATCCAACCAATTTGGAATGCTTCTCGTGGAGGACAAGGCATGTCTATGATCTGGTCCGGTCAACAAAAAAACCATGGCCTGAAAAGAATGTCACGGAGAAGTTGAAAAACGTATGAGAGATTGATGGATTGCTCACTATTTCTCGAAAATGAGAAAGTATCATGGTAGATAAAAGAGGTACAGTTAGCCGCGAAAGCTCAGCCCCGCGCTGAACAGGCACCAGACGGCCTTCCCCACTTGTTTTGCAGAGATCCACTATAGGTTTCCATGGAATTCCACGAATTTTTCCTGTCGTACAGATAGTGTAATCTTACGTGGCTAGGTGGAGTAACTGTACACAGCGCATTTTACTGCACCCCTCAATTTAATGCGGGCCGCTCAATAATTGATCTGCGCTAAGGCCTTGGCGGTGGGGCCCGAAGAGAGTGATTGAGTGCGTACTGGTCAAGCCGATTTCGAGAACGACTGTAAAGCGTATATAAACACTAATGGACAGCTAGACCTAATCATGAAGTTAAATTTGTATAAATCTCATGATCTATACAGTAGTAGTAGATTTCATTTACCCCGACCCCTCGCAAATTTGAACCCTGGATTGAGGTACAAGTGTGACGATATTAATCTCTATGAAGAGATCCAGCTATTTGCAGTCGCAGCAGCTCATCTCCCTGCTGCCTAGCGTAGTGCCTGCCTAACAGGCAGCCACTCCTACTGTGGTCCCGGGCGGATGCTAGGGCCTAGTATATATACCGCTACAACGTACAATCGGGTGTCCCGACGGTTGTTATAATCTTCTAGTCGAGTGGCATAATTGGTCTTATGTAATCCGTTAGGTGTAACGTAATTCACTACCGAGCGGCCACCACCACCGAGTGGCCACCTTCCCTCTATGTAAATAATTAAAATGCAATTATTTTAACCAAAATGCCATTAAATTCAATAAGCTAAAACGAGTTCTATCAGGACATATAGTCAATTTATGACCCTGAATTCCACATATACTGCACTTCGGTAAGGCTCTCGTATTTGGCTGTAAAGGTGCCGGAGCCGATCCTGCCTCACGGGGTATTTGTGCTAAAACTGCTTGCTTAGGCTGTATTACTAAGGTAGAGACCTCTAAAACTAAGAGGCCTTCTTCGGTAGCTATTTGCCTTCTAGACCGAGTCCTTTTTCGCTTCTTCGTTTCGTTTTAGCGCGTAATTCGCTTACTTCTTTCTCGAGTAAAGCTGCCGATTATATTGTGATTTAGTAGGCTTTTAAAACCTGATTTATCGCGGAATTAAGCGGGCTCGGTAGGCTTTTTAAGCGCTATTTTAGCAAAGCTTTAATTAAGGAAGCTTGTTTTTGTAATTAGACGTAGTTCGACGGCGTCTTTAGCTCCTACTCGCTTCCCCGGCTCAAGGGGGGTGTCGGGGTTCGAAGGCAAATATCGAGCTTCGAGATTACTCGATCGGGATTATAAGGCACTAAGCCGGCGGCGGCGAAGCTATTCTTAATATTCTCCGATTTAAATGCCTTAATTCGAGCGGACGGGTAGGCTTTAAGGAAGTCTAGCTTATCGATATAGTTAATTCGAAGACGTATTTTTAATTCGATAAGCCGAGTATAAGCACACTTTAATACCGTAAAATAGCTAATATTAAGAGGCTATAAAGGTAAGACAAATACGGAGGCATAGAAATTGCGATAATAACATTTTTTTTCGCAAATTTCGTCGAATTTCGGGGTTAAATAACTTCCGTGGCCGTCGAGTATCAAAAGTCTATACTTCCCCTTCGTACGCGAAGAAGTAGACGGAATAAAGAGCTTTTCGACTAACCTCGAAGCGCTAATCGTTCGGAAGGCTGTCGAACTAAGACTCGACGAAGACTTTGCCTTTAAAGATCACGCACAGAGGAAGCGCCTACCCCGAGGAATTTATACACTCAATTACGGTAACCTACTCGCGATTTCCGGGTTATAAAAGTGCTCGCCGACCGTAGTATTCCCTTCTCGTAATCACCTTTACGGTCGCAATTAAGCCTATTGCGAAACTAGTCTCGTCGAAGTTATAGGTATCGTTAGGTCGATGCCGTATTAAAGTATCGTTTTTTATATAAGATTAAACCATTCGTAAATGATTTTTAGGTCTTTATATTTAGCGCGATAATAATCATATCGCCTCGAAAAGCGACTCGATAGCTCTAGATGCCTTTTCACGAACTTTGTAACCTAATTTTCGCCGACCGAAGTAACTAGGGTAGATCTACACGCCGCGAGTAGTAAAGTGGCTATTTCTCGTACTATCGTAGGCCGGGGGGCTACTCCGCGTAAATTCATTAAGAGAATCCAATTTAGAGTGAATTCTCTTCAATTTCGGTCTATTTATGGCTATTAGCGCGTGTTTTAGCGCGACTTATATAGCTAGCAAGGCGGCGGCGGAGAGTCGTACGAGGTATATTAAATCGGGTTGCTACCTCTTGAATTGAAGCAATTTCTTGGTTCTTAATAGCCTGAATAGCTAATAAGATCCTACCCTCTTGCTCTTCTCGTTTTTGAGAAGATTGAGTGCGGATTGGTGGCATGGTAGGTGGTTAAAAAAGGAAGGTCTAATTAATTGACGCGTTTTTGGGTGGGGTGGCCACTCGGTGGTGGTGGCCGCTCGGTAGTGAATTACGTTAACGTATGTCATATGCGAGCCGCCCACCCAAGCGAGCCGCCCACCCCAAAACACCATAGTAAATGCGATATATTCTACACTTATATCTCAACAGCCACGTCTTAATTATATTTCATTGCTTACCGATAGCTATTGATAAGACGTATTAGCACTGTGCTTCAATTTCAAGGAAATCAAAAAGCTATATTATACTCATTTCCAAAATTACTGAAAATTACACTGCTATGGGCTATAAATATATATCTCTCAATCACGAAGTCATACAAGTTCTCCAATCTCCAAAGAGGCTAGATATCACCTGAAAAGCATTCTGACAAGAATAAAGATACTCATAGGCCATGGTTGTTGAGATATAAAGATGTAATTTATCGCATTTACTATGGTGTTTTGGGGTGGGCGGCTCGCTTGGGTGGGCGGCTCGCATGTGAAATACGTTAAGTTAGCGGCCTAACGTTAACGTTAACTTAGATAGTCAACGTGTGCGTGATAATGTCAAGCATTGGGCTTACGAATACTGCATGGCTCGGAGGCGTGCTTAGTTGTACTTAGTGATCAAAAAGCGGCAAGGTCTAAGCACTAAAACGGAAAGGGAACGCCACGAAGTGGCAGAGGAAATCAAGTACATAGGCGACGTTAGTTTATGTATACAGTACCTTTTAGAGGATAGCCCTGGGTACTACACCCGCACTTTTCTAAATTATTCAAGATTCTCCATTGATCCCAACCCAATCTCATTCGAAATGACAAATATATAATTCTATATTGTACATCCAGATGGACAATGAGGTCAAAATACCCACACCCAGACCGGATCAAACGAAGCATAGTAGGTCACGGCCCAAAAACAATATCATTTTCAAGAACATGTTTCCATTAATTTTCAAAGCCATGGTTGAAGATCGAGCCATACGCTTGAAGTCAAGAAAGGCACTAAAAGCCCGCCAAGCCATCAAAAACTGGGCACAGGCACCACTGCTTTTCCGACGAACTACAGACTTGCAAAAATATTCTTATGGAAAATGAACAAATGACACCATAGCCATTGAAAACCTTGTGATAACAGACTAAAATTACCTTGGGAGTCTGCCTCGCCCCCTGGCTAGGCTCATAATGATATCATTTAACGGCTGCCAAGGTTACCTACAGTAAGGGCTACTGTAGGGTCGCTGCGTGTAGATCGTGGATATCTTGGTCATTAGTGGGTGTGGTTATGCTGCTATTGCTGGGACGCTGGACCACCAATCCTGTTGCCGGATTTCTTGCACGTACTTTATTTGGTTGGATTGGCCTTGCATACAAGTATGTTATGTATCTTGGGGTTGCATATACTGTACATGTGCAATTCGAATTGGTACCTGTTCTACAGCATACACCTCCCGAAGCCTCAATGTTTTATTACTTGGGTAGAATGGTTACAGAATACGACTAGGCTGACAAAAGCAAGGATGTAATAAGACTAAAGCAATGCTATGTTCAACGCCGTGAATGCCTGGTTCTCAAATGCCGAAGTCAGCGCTCTCGCAGTGCTACGATAGTAGCAGGAAAAGAAAATAAAGTCAAAGTCCAAGCTACGCGATCACCTATCGAAGATGGCCTTCATGTCTGCGCAGGCGTCACGGTATAGCACATCCACGCTGTCCTGGTCCCGCCATGGGTTGGGCGACTTATCCCACGCATGCTTGGCCTTCTCAATAAGCATGGCCCGAACGCGTTTGCCAAGACCTTCTAAGCGGCGCACGAACGATTGACCCTCCTTCATGAGCATGTCCCATTCACAGATGAACAAGAAGATATCGTGAGGAAGGGCCTCGGCCAGAATTCGATCGGAGGCGCGCACGGGGGATGCATAAGGAGAAGCACGATCCTCCAAATTGGGAAGATAAGCCTCGTCAAAGAGGGTGGTGAAGAAGGCAGGGAGAGTCTTGTCCGGCATGGGACTCATCGCCCGGCGATGGTCGCGCGATTCCTGGAAGTCCAGAATCGGGTACCAGCTGAACAATGCCACAATGCGAAGATCGCTGACCTGGTTGATGAGGTTCTGGGTTGATTCCGCTCGGCCCAAGTGTTCCTTGACCTCGGTTGATATCCGGCCACGCAGCCTCAACGGCACCGTAACTGCCAGGTTTCCGCCTGCCGAGAACCCGCTCAACGCCACTCGGCTCACATCCAAGCCCAACTCAGCGGCATGTGCTGCCAGATAGAGTAGTCCTTCGACACCGTCGTCCACTGCTGCGGGGAAAGGGTGCTCCGGTGCCCGCCGGTAACTCACGCTTACCACAACCGCTCCGACATTATCCAGGATCACCTTGACCCAGCGAGAATCATCCGTGGCACAGCCGAGCGTGAATCCGCCTCCGTGGAAGTTGACGGCAACCGGGTAGCGATGGCCTAACCGGCGTTGCTGGTGGTAGTCGGGTGGGCAGTAGAAATGGAGGACGACCGAGTGGCCATGGGAGTCGGAGGTCACGTTGCGAGTGAAGGACGGTCGGGGTGGACTGGGCGGACCAATATCGTGCAGGAACATTCCGATCCGCATCAGAAACCGCCAGAAGACGGCCTGTACATACAGCCACCATCGGGACTGGGACATGGTGTGATCTGGCATGCGCTTGGGGACTCCGGAAGATCCGGAAGATGACAAGTTGATAGAATGGGAGGAAAAGAAGAATATAATTGAAGTCAAGTAAAGTACAAGTGAAGTGAAGGCAAGTCAAGTCAAGTCAAGAATCAGATGTTGAGATAAAGAAGCGTAGTCCGAGGCCGAGACAATCGTAGCTCCATACCAAGAAATCAAGTATCAGGAGTGTGATGTCATCCTCTGTTTTCAGGGCCAGGGCAGGCCGGGTTTATTTAATTCTTCAGCTCTGCTACTCCTAAATTCCAAATTATATCAATATACTCTTTATCTTCCTGTTCCTTTATCCTCCTTCACGGACTACTCTGTTCCTCGTTCTTCCGACGGGCTTCCCTGCTTACTATTGATCGCCGCTTCCAGGGTTCCGGCCATTCGCCCCCCTCCACCAACCATCTCTTCAACCTTGAACCTTTCTCTTCTCATGCCCTAGGCATTGCTCAATATGTCGATCAAACGTGCTCTCTCCAAGGCCATTAAAGGGCATATGGGAGGCGACGATGACACCTCTGGCTCCAACATTCGTACTGCCCTGAACCCCAAGAGTCGTACCTCTACGTCCCGCTCCGGCTCCCCCACCGCATCCCCTCGTCGCAGCATTCTCGGCAATTTCCTACGCGACAGGAATGATTATGTCTCTTCCTCTGAGGACTTCTCCGATGACTCCTCCAGTGGTGGCTTGAGCAAGAATCAGCAGAAGCGGCTGGTCCGTCAACACCGGCGCAGTGAGCGCAGCCGTCTCAGTGAGGAGATGTTCTCCGAGGCCGATCACCGCCGCAAGGAAGAAGAGATTGCGAAAGCTGCAGCTGAAGAGACTGCTGATATGAAGGCACGCTATGGCGAGCTGCCCTTGATGCAGTCCTCCGAGCGTCCACGAGAACTACGCACTCGGATCGATGAGATCACACCTGCCATGGTGGGGCAGCAGGTCTTCTTCACGGCCCGATTGCATGTGGTGCGTCGGATGAGTGCCAAACTGGTGTTCCTAGTGTTCCGTCAGCAGTTGGGTACTTTCCAGGGTGTTCTGCATGAGCGCCCGGGGATCTCATCCATCGCCATGATCCAGTGGGTCGAGCACCTCCGCGTGGGCTCTTTCATCACAGTCCGGGGTACAGTGCAAAAGCCCGAAGTTCCTGTGCTGGGCTGCTCTATTCATGATGTCGAGCTGGCCATTGACTCTGTTCATCTTCTTGTTCGTCGCGAGGAGCCTGTCCCCTTCAGCGTTTACGAGGCAGAGATTCGGACCACCGAGGAAGATAAGGTTGAAGGTCGTCGCAGCCATATCCCTGACCGGACACGTCTAGCCAATCGAATCCTCGACCTGCGGACAGCAACTTCACAATCTATCTTCCGTATTCAGTCTGCGACCTGCAACCTGTTCCGTACCGCCCTAGACGAGCGCGAGTTTATCGAAATCCACACTCCCAAGTTGCAAGGTGCTGCCACTGAATCTGGAGCAAGTGTCTTCCAGGTCAACTACTTTGGTCGCCCTGCATTTCTGGCCCAATCACCCCAATTGGCAAAACAGATGGCTATTGCTGCCGATTTCGGCCGTGTTTACGAGATTGGTGCCGTCTTCCGTGCCGAGAACTCCAACACTCATCGTCATCTGACAGAGTACACTGGATTGGATATCGAAATGTCAATTGAAGAGCACTACCATGAGATGCTTGAGACCCTTGATGCTGTTATCAAGAACATTTTGAAGGGTATCTATTCTAAGTACCGCCGCGAGGTGGAGCTTATCAAGCACCAGTTCCCTTCAGAGGATATTGTGTGGCTGGATGAGACGCCAATTATTCGCTTCACCGATGGTATCAAAATGCTGAATGACTCGGGCTGGCGGAGCGAGGAGGGGCGAAATGCTGCCTCTGGATGAGGATTTAGCCACTCGTGACGAAATTCGCCTCGGTGAGCTTGTCAAGGAGCAATATGGTACCGATTACTATGTCCTTGACAAGTTCCCCCGCGATGCGCGTCCATTCTATACTATGCCCGATGCCGAAAATGACAAATTCACCAACTCATTCGACATGTTTATCCGTGGGCAGGAGATTGTCTCAGGTGGTCAACGTATTCATGATCCTCACATGCTTGAGGAGAACATGCGCCGCGTTGGTATCAACCCAGAGGATATGGAGGAATATCTCGAGGGTTTCCGATGGGGTGCTCCCCCTCACGCAGGTGCCGGTGTTGGTCTCGAGCGAATTGTCATGCTGATCTTGAAACTGGGCAACATTCGTCTTACCTCGCTCTTCCATCGTGATCCCAAGAGCTTGCCAGCGAAACCGGTCGGAGAGAAGCTACGTCACCCTGAATCGTCGACCATTGAACCGCCATGGCAACGCGAGCACAAGGGTCGTGTGGCTTCCGATGTTAGCGAGTTGCAGCCGCTGGAGGAGCTGGTTGCTAACTACGGTGATGCCACATCAACTTCTTGGTTCGATGATCGGTTCAAGATCTGGCGTGACATGGCCACTGGTGCGGCCGTCGCCTACGTTCCCAGCTCCAACAACTACGCCGTCATCCCAGGTAACCCAGCCTGTGACCCCAAACAATACACACGCACCATCACACAATTCTTGCAATGGATGCGCCGTGAGACCAAGTTCAAGCCCGTTTGGATTCTCTGTTCGCCAGAGGTTGAGACCATCCTGGGTGAGCGACTGGGCTGGCGCAGTCTGTCTTGTATTGCTGAGGAGCGTGTTGATCCCTCGCGCAACCAGGCTGCCTCTGACGGCGAAATATCCCGCAAGCTCCGTCGCGCCGAGAACGAGGGCATCAAATTGGTCACATTCAACCAAGGCGAGATGGTCCCAGATGACGTCCGCAAGAAGATTGACGATCGCATCAGCGAATGGCTGTCAAACCGCAAGGGCACACAAGTCCACCTTTCACAGATTCGCCCATGGTGCGACTCCGAGCACCGCTGGTACTTTTACGCCATGGACAAGAATGGCAACATCTGTGCCTTTGTCGCATTGGCCATGCTGTCCCCTGCCCATGGCATGCAAGTGAAGTACAGTCTGGACTTTCCCGGCGCTCCCAACGGTGTCATTGAATATATCGTCACCCACGCCATCCAGACCGCCGCCAAGAGCGGTGTCAAGGCCCTCACTTTCGGCGCTGGCGCCACTTCCCAACTTATCCCTGGCCACAACATGCACGGCACCAAGGTCAAGATGCTGGAGCACACCTACGAAGCCCTCGCTAAGCAGTTTCACCTCGTGCGCAAAAGTGAATTCCGTGCTAAGCTAGGTGCCACCGAGGATCCGCTGTACATCTCGTACCCTGCCCACGGTCTTGGCTCCAAGGGTATCCGTGCCATTCTGAACTTTTTCGAGGATTAATTTACGACTACAGCCCTCGAAATTATGATTGATGAGAGTTTAACTGGTCTTATCTCTTGGATCTAGATGCCAGTGGTCGTGGATATACTGCCATACTGCCATCTATGTCGTTCACATGTTGGGGTTTAGAATAGACAGAGGAAGAGAAGGAAACAGCTGGCTAATCTACGGCGTTCATTCAAGTGTTTCTTGCTTTGATTTTGACTCTTGCTTCTCCATACGCACTGCCCATGTTTATTTTTTATTCCCCTTTTATGTTATGAATCATGTATCCCCCATGTTTGTATGTCTGATTGTTGTTCCGGCGATTCTGGCATTAAGTCTTCTTTGTTATGCTAGTTAAATTTTGTTCATAAATATTTTCGACTCCCTGCCTTTTGAAACTGGTGTCTCAATTCTTCCGTAGGAATTCACGAGTGGTAGATGAATGTTGATAGTAATATTTGAACATCACCTTCTTTTCTTCCATACCTAGCTTCTTTGGATTGGTTCAGATGCCCTCTAGCTACTCAGTATATCCCCTTTCCATACCTCAAGTCCCAGTCACGCTTATATTGAACTAAGTCATACATAAAACATACAAAAGCACCAAATAGACCAAAAGAAATAAAATAGTAGTACAACCTTCACCCTATCCATCCCCAACTTATTTCCTCTTCATATCCTCAAGAGCACTCTGCCCACGCGCATCCTCAATAACTCTCCCAACCTCCCCACGAACCCACCTCGAAACAACAACAGCAAGCAAAGCAACAGCAACAATCCACAGCGCAGTCGGTACAAGCGACCGCGGGAAGACATTCATCAAAAACGGATCCAAAATCACATCCACCGCCACAGCCGGCACGTCCCGCATCAGCGCAGCGTCAGTACTGAAGTAATCAGCCGCGGCGTGGATCCGCAAGAACAGCACTGAGTCTGTTGTCGGCGCCGGATCTAGCGGATCGTTTCCGCCCTTGTTGCTTCCGCGTGGACGGCTGATTGCATGTTTTGGAATGCTGTTTGATTGTAGTGCAGTGTCTAGGGTTGCTAGTCTTGCGTTTGTGTAGATGCTTAGGGAGCTCAGTAGGGATTTGTTGGAGATTGTTTGGGGGACGGGGTGGGTTTTTAGTGTGAAGGATGTTGGTTGCTTGGTTTGTTAGTTTTTATTTCCCCTGTTTCTTGTTTCTTGTTTCATGGTACATGTATGATGTATCATAATGTGAGGGTTGGGGGTTGGGGGATGGTTCTTACAGTTGCTAACCAACAAACTCGCACTTCATACCGCTGCCCTGGGTTCAAGTTCTCCAGGAAGAACCAAGAATCCACGCCATCTGGGGCGTCGGTTGTTGGGAATGATGCATTGAGTCGGGTGCGCACTATTGGGTTTTGAGGTGATAGCCGCTCTAGACCGAGGTCGTCGAGGTCCGGCTGCTCTGAGGGGATTGTTGTTTCTGGGGGAGCGAGGAAGATGGTTTTTTCCACATTTGCTCGGGCTACTGCTGTGAATAGGGGCAGCATTAGGCCTAGGATGAGGAATTGGATTTGCATGGTGATAGCTCTGCTATGCAGGTTGCAGATCGCAGGTTTGTATGTGATGTGGTTTCCTTGGCTCTTTATCCGCTGTTATCCACTGCACATTGCTTTTCTGTGGACTTGTTGGGCTGGGAATCTGTTAGCTGTGTAGGTTTATAGATTGAGACTATACTGTACTGATATTATCTCTTCGGTGTGTTGTTGCTTATCAGGTGAACGGTGTTGTCCTGGTGTGGGTCCCACTTGACCGAGTATTTGATGCTGACACCGTATGAGCTGCGACACAGATATTAATTCACAGTAAAAATCAATTGCTCTTCAATTATGTCCTGAACAGTGAACTGATCAACTACAGTAAGTCCCTCGACATCCGAGTTCAGTCACGTGTAATCACGAGACTATCGAGGCGGTCAGGCAGCGCAGAGGAGCAGCCGGGCAGGAGCCAATCAGAAGGGCTGACGCGACCCAACGAACGGATCAACAATGAACTTCCCCCCTGTACAGCACAGACGCTCCTCCTCCACAACATTTCTGTCGACCTCTGTTTTCCCTTCGACATCTTCTCGTCCATTCCTCCATTCTTCAGGTATTTCACCCCTCTATCAAACCCCCCGCCCCCTTCTTTGACTGAACCCCCCTGAATCAGACCACCGCGTTTGTTGTTTTGGGTTTCCCCTCTCCTGATTTTTTAGCCTAAAAACATCCACGGAATCACAATGCGTGAGATTATCAGTTTGAACGGTATGTCAAGGTCCCTCATCGTCTCTGATCATTGTTTATCCCTGTATCTTCGATGGAATGACGCGCTGACATGATCCTTCCCTATAGTCGGCCAGGCCGGTTGCCAGATCGCCAACTCCTGCTGGGAGGTAAATACCCACAACCATTGACCGACAAATTTCGAATATACTGACAGTCATGACTTTCTAGCTGTACTGTCTGGAGCACGGTATCCAGGTATGTTGGAATGCAAATCAAACTCGTGGGGGGGCGCCCAATGTCGACTCGGGCAGCCGTACCCCTATTTTCTTGAGGGGTCACTAACGATGTTGATAGCCCGATGGATTCCTCACTGAGGAGCGCAAGAAGGCTGACCCCGACCACGGCTTCAGCACCTTCTTCTCTGAGACTGGTATGAAAATTGAATTTTTTTTTTAAATGTTCCCCCGCCTGGGAAATCCCGTTCCTAATATCCCCCACCAGGCCAGGGCAAGTACGTTCCCCGTACCATCTACGCCGATCTTGAGCCCAACGTTGTCGATGAGGTTCGCACCGGTACCTACCGTTCGCTCTTCCACCCTGAGCAGATGATCACTGGCAAGGAGGATGCTTCCAACAACTACGCCCGTGGCCACTACACCGTTGGTAAGGAGATGATCGATGAGGTCCTCGACCGTGTTCGTCGTGTTGCCGACTCTTGTGCCGGTCTCCAGGGATTCCTCGTCTTCCACTCCTTCGGTGGTGGTACCGGTTCCGGTTTCGGTGCTCTCCTGATGGAGCGTCTGTCCGTCGACTACGGCAAGAAGTCCAAGCTGGAATTCTGTGTCTACCCCGCCCCTCAGAACGCTACCGCCGTTGTTGAGCCCTACAACTCCATCCTGACCACCCACACCACCCTGGAGCACTCCGACTGCTCCTTCATGGTCGACAACGAGGCTATCTACGATATCTGCCGCCGTAACCTCGGCATTGAGCGCCCCAGCTACGAGAACCTGAACCGCCTGATCGCTCAGGTTGTTTCCTCCATTACTGCTTCCCTGCGCTTCGACGGTTCCCTCAACGTCGACCTTAACGAGTTCCAGACCAACTTGGTGCCTTACCCCCGTATCCACTTCCCTCTGGTCGCCTACTCTCCCATCATCTCCGCCGACAAGGCCGCTCACGAGGCCCACTCGGTCACCGAGATCACCTCCAACTGCTTCGAGCCCCACAACCAGATGGTCAAGTGTGACCCCCGTAACGGCAAGTACATGGCCACCTGTCTGCTCTACCGCGGTGATGTCGTCCCCAAGGACGCCCACGCCGCTGTCGCCACCCTCAAGACCAAGCGCACCATCCAGTTCGTCGACTGGTGCCCTACTGGCTTCAAGCTCGGTATCTGCTACCAGCCTCCCCAGCAGGTCCCCAACGGCGATCTCGCCAACCTCAACCGTGCTGTGTAAGTTTTTATCCTGGCATTATTCAAAAATGATACTAACCGATATATAGCTGCATGCTGTCCAACACCACCGCTATCGCCGAGGCTTGGTCCGCTCTCGACCACAAGTTCGACCTCATGTACTCCAAGCGTGCCTTCGTTCACTGGTACGTTGGTGAGGGTATGGAGGAGGGTGAGTTCTCCGAGGCCCGTGAGGATCTCGCTGCTCTTGAGCGTGACTACGAGGAGGTTGCCTCCGACTCCCTCGAGGGTGACGAGGAGCTTGAGCCCGAGTACTAGATTAGGGATGTTGTGTGACCGGCTTTGTGGCTCTTGGCTATTTGACTTGTGCGCGTTGGTTTGGGGATCAATGCCGAGTCTCTAAGTTTGGTCTTCTTCCCGCGTCTATCGGGCTTTTTGCAAATAGATGGGAACATAAGTTTTGCTGCCGATGATTTTCTGGCTTTGTTGTTCGATATATCTTTAATATCCCTGAAGCAGCGATGAAATTTCCCCCGTTCCATCCTCGTAGCGGGATTTTGCGATTGTACTTACTTTGGTATCCTCGTCGTTCTTTGAATGTAACCTTCGTATGAATCTTAATGTTTGTCAATAGTCGGCTTCAGCCAGTCGATTGGTCTGATACTCGGTACTCTTGTACTTCTGTCCCTAGCTTCCAATCTTAGTCGGTTGTTCTCAAGAGTTGAGCCGTAGCTTCATGTGTTCGCCCTGCATCATACGGAGTGCCACAGTCGAGGATATCAGCACAACTCACGTCTATGTCATCCGGTCTTATATCTGAAGCTAACCCCTAAGTATAGAGACCTTTGGTTATTCTAGTGAATGCATCTGGGATTTCTGATTCGTGAGGTTGATATTCCTTTAGTCCCTCGAAATTTGAGGCTAGAGATGCCAGAAAAGTCATCACAGGATAACTTTGGTGCTCTGATGTATTGCAGGATGATGTCGGCGTTAATTATTTTCTTGTTGTCTTTGAATGTCGAGCTGTCAGCATCTCCGGCGTTGATATATATTTCAGTTTGTACCATTTTACTAAGTTCATCTTGCTCAGGTTCATCGATCCATTCGGGCCTAGAAGTTTCTCATGTGGTGTTGTCATTCCTCTGATGCTGGGGGTTTTGTAAGAAGTTGATCCAAGTATATAGATGCGCGTCATGCATCTAACAGTTCAGGACAACGACCACTTGGCAGAATGACTAGTAGTAACATATTAAAGTAGTAAATGCGGACAATATAGCTTGAACAAGACAAATCCTAAATATACTCCCCAATACTATGGGAGAGTCTACCCTGGAATGGACGCTAAAGCAACTGACCGCCTTTGGGACCCCAGGAACCCTCCTTACGACATCGACTCCAGCCACTCTCTCCCCTTCCTCCTGAAGTCCATTTACTCCTTGGAGCTTGGGATTTATCTATATTCCCTGCCATTATCCTCCCAGAACCCGCGCTTAGTCCATGCCCATCACCTCTACTAAGCTAACGGTACCCCGTGTCTCCTTGTCCTCCAGGCCCCCAACGATTGTGAACACATTGGAAGGAGGGGAGTTAAGCTCCTCCTAGGACACAGCGATGGCTGATACTTGTGAGTGCCATCCCCCACCTACTACCAGGCCCCAGAGCAATGGCAAGAGAGCTTCGGCGCACCTCAGGGGAAGTCCCGCAGGCCTCCGTCATGACCACCCTCTCCCCTTCATACATACCCGTCCTCTATGCGCAACGCCGCGGTTCTAACTCATATGTTCTAGCACAACGGCACCCCAACCTCAATCTCACGCCGGAGGAAAAGCGAGTATTTTATCAGCTTTTTCAGGCTGCTGATACTACCAACCTCGGCGTTATTACTGGCGAAATCGCCGTTCCGTTCTTCGAGAAGACGCACCTCTCTCCGGATACACTCGGATTGGTATGTGGGCATTTAAGGCGGTGTTTGTTATGATACTGAGCTTCGTTACTAATTGTACTTGGCGCAGATATGGCAAATCGCGGATAAAGAGAACAGGGGTCTCCTGACTCCGTCTGGCTTCGGCATTGTTCTACGACTCATTGGACATGCGCAAGCTGGTCGGGCTCCTTCTGACGAATTGGCTCTGCAGAGTGAGTGACGATACATTCTGGGGAAATGGAAGTAATACTGATTTTGGATCTGTTTCGTAGCTGGTCCTTTGCCCCGCTTTGATGGAATCGTTGTCGATACAACAGCTCCGATACCCGAATCTGGTACCATTAGCCCCCCGCCTGGTGCCGGCGCACCTATTCGAGTTCCGCCCCTGCAGCCTGATGATGCCAACAAGTTCGTCTCGCTGTTTGAGAAGTCTGATGTCAACAATGGCGTGATTTCAGGTATGTCGTCTTCCAATGTTGCGAATGTTGGTCATTGCTAATATATTTGTTACTTGGTTAATAGGCGAAATTGCAAAGCAAATCTTTGAGCGCGCCAGGCTTCCAAATGAGGTCCTGGGTCGTATCTGGTTCTTGTCGGACACCAAGCAGCGCGGCGCTTTGGATGCTACCGAGTTCACCATTGCCATGCATCTCCTGACTTCATATAAATCCGGGGCCCTGCGCGGTATCCCTGCGACCCTGCCACCCGGTCTGTACGAAGCCGCATCTCGAAGAGGATCTGCTCGTGGGTCTTTCGGTGCACGACCCGAAGTTCCTCCCGTACCTGCCATTCCAAAACAGTTTACGGGCCCCCAGCGAACAGCAAGCCCTATGAGCGCAGCCAACCGCCCACCGTTTGGAGGCATTTCGGCCCAGGCTACCGGAAACGACTGGTTGATCAGCCCCCAGGAGAAGGCTCACTTCGACACCATCTTCGAGACCGTCGACACAGGTAAAGTGGGAAAGATCACTGGTGACCAAGCTGTAGGTTTCTTCATGAAGGCTCAGCTTCCCGAGGAAACTCTTGCTCAGATCTGGGACCTTGCGGACATTGACGCGGATGGCCAGCTGAGTCGGGAGGAGTTTGCTGTGGCTATGTATCTGGTGAGACTGCAGCGTAGCGGCAAGGAGCCGCTTCCACAGGTTGTTCCGCCTGGCCTCATTCCACCCAACATGCGCCGCCAGGCACCGGTGCCAGCGCCCATGGCAGCCCCCACTCCTCCCCCGGCTCCCACGCCTGCAGTACGATCTGCCGCCGATGATTTGTTTGGACTTGATTCCCCTGTGCAGCCTTTCGCTCAGCCTCAAATGCCTCAGTCTACTGGAGGCTCCAATCCGGCGTTCCACACCCCAGGCTCGCCTGGCTCTAGAGCGTCTCCTCAGACCGCTTCAAACACGTTCAAGCCTTTCATTCCTAGCTCCTCCTTCGGCCAGAGCCTGCAGCCGCAGATGACTGGTGCATCTGCAGGTACCCCAACAGTTCGCTCACCTCCACCTCCATCGGACGACCTCCTTGGCGACAATGATCCCGAGGAGTCAAACAAGCTGACCCAGGAAACTACTGAACTCGCGAACTTGTCGAATCAGATTGGTTCTCTTGCCAAGGAAATGCACAACGTACAGGAGAAGCGGACTTCTGCTGAACAGAACATTACCCAGTCTTCCCAGCAGAAGCGTGACTTCGAGGCACGCCTTGCTCAAGCGCGTTCGATGTATGAACAAGAGGTTACTAACTTCAAGGCACTTGAGGAGCGCCTCAAGGCTTCCAAGGCGGAGACCGAGAAGTTGCAGCAGCAATATGCACTCATCGAAGGCAGCCGTCAGGATTTGCACAACCAATATACCAACGTTTCGGCAGCCTTGGCTTCCGACCAGCAGGAGAATAATAGCTTGAAGGAGAAGATCCGCCAGGCTAATGCCCAGGTTGCACAGCTTAAGCCCGCGCTGGAGAAGGCCCGCTCCGATGCGCGTCAGCAGAAGGGCCTGGTTGCAATCAACAAGAAGCAATTGGCTACCGTTGAAGGCGAACGGGATAAGATCCAGGGTGAAATCAACGAAGTTGGAAGGGAAACTCCCAAGTCTGTTGAGGACGTGACCCCCGACGTGACCCCGGCCGTTAGCGTGCCGGAGGTTGCCAGCCCTGCTGTTTCCACCACAAGCCAGAACACGAACCCTTTCTTCCGACGAACAGATAGTGCAAGTGAACAGGCACGCTCGCCCACTGTTTCCAACGACCAGCAAAAGGCATTTGACAGCCTGTTTAGCCAGACATTCGCACCCTCCGCTGCTGGACCACCGCCCACTTCGTTCCGCTCCGAGTCCCCGCTGGCCACAGCCAAGTCTCCTGTGACTTCTGGTGTGCCGACTCCATCAGTCTCTCCGCCTCCTGGAGCTTTGCCCGGATCATTCCCCGGCGCCTTGTCTGAGCCCCCGCCCCCAACCCAGTCTCGGCAGCTCACCCCGAGCTTCCTTCAGTTCAACGACACCCAGTCTTTGACTTCGTCGACCATGGTCTCCCCTCCCGGCAGTCGCTTTGGCGGCCCTGAAACTTCCGGATTTGGTACTCCTTCTCAGGCTACTAGCGACCAGGGGCCTCCATCTGCGACAGAGTCCAGTGACTACAGTCGTGCACCAACCTCCACCGTTGAAGGAACCCCGGCTCGATCTCCATTTGAGGAAGTGCCAGATGCCTCGAAGTTTCCTGAAGTCCCTGTAGCATCGACCGAGCGACCCGAGACTGCCACATCTCCTACAGCCGACGGCCAAGCTCAGGGTAACAAGGATTTGAGTTTCGATGAGTTGTTTGGAAGCAAGGCCCACAAGCGGTCTGAGTCTCAGCAGGGAAACGACTTTGAGGAAGCGTTTGCCTCTATGAAGCAAGGCCCCGGAGCTGAGAAGACGAATGGAGCCGCTTCAGCTGGCCCATCTGAATTCCCCCCAATTCAGGAGCTTCACCACGACGATGATGACGATGACAGCTCCGACGACGAGGGCCCCCTGGGATTTGATGACAACTTCACTCCTGCCGTGCCTAAGAAGGAGCCCCAGCAGGACTCCATCGACGCCGCGCAGCTGGCTGCCTTCCCTGCCCCGGGAGCCTCTGTCCCATCTGCCCAGCCCCCAAGCGCCGAGGCTCAGCAGAGCCCCCCTGGCTATGAAACCCCCAAGGAAGACAACACTCACCTTCCTCCTCAATTTAATGGACTCTTGCCCGAGCGTGCTGATCCTACCGCTTTCCCTGATGCGCCTCATTCAGTGGACCACACCACTGGAGCACCAGTTGTCCCCACTGAGTCCGCACACGACGCTCCCGCAGAGACTGTTATCCCAGCTGGTGGAGCGAAGGTTGGAGGACCGGATTTTGAAGCAGCTTTCGCCGGAATGAACCTTGCGCCCGCGACTGAAGCAGACGACGATGATGATGACGAGCCGGAAACCCAAGTCAAGAACACAAACGACTTTGATTTCTCCTTTGACTCCCCAGCCCAGAAGCAACACACTGGCTCGTCTGACTTCTTCTCCTTTGACAACAACGTACACGCCTCGACCACCCAGCCCGCTGGATCAACCGCTGGAGGTGACTCCAAGCCCGCTGCGCATGAGTGGGATGCGCTCTTTGCACCCCTTGACAACGCCAAGGCGTCAACCGGCGAAGAAGCCAGCGAGGACAAGTCCAAGCAGCCTGGATGGGCCCTCAACACCGACTCTGGCGAGGATGACCTGATCCTCCAGCGACTGACTGGTATGGGCTTCACACGCGACGAATCTCTCGATGCGCTGGAGAAGTTCGATTACAACCTTGACAAGGTGAGTACTTTGCCACACCTCATATGAACCTTACTAACTGTGTCCCAGGCTGCGGACCATTTGACCTCGAAAACTTGATCATGACCCCTCTTTCTTTCCTACTGCACATATCTCACCCACATACTCTGCTTTCACCACTGTCTTTCATGAGCCCCCTTGGACCTGATGACCCACAAGCTGGCTCTCTTGCATCGATATCTCCCTTTTGTCCAGCGCCGTGTATATCGTCTCTTTCCTGTCTACATTGGATCTTTGGATCTGCTGCCAGTCTGCCCAGAACAAGGACTTCCCGTGTATTGTCTGTGCAGTGTAGTTTATGATAATCCATAACTTAATCAAGTTTACATGTAATCAACACTTTCCCATTGTAGGGCTGAACCACCTCACACCTCGCCTAGGGTGACTAATCGCCGTACCCCAGATTAACCTTGGAAGCTTTGACCCCCAAGCCTAACGCACACATGACTCTCCCTCTATACAGCCCTAGAGTATAGACTATAGAAGATGATTCCCAAAAGCACATCCGCCCCGTCGGTACCAGTTCGCATGGCTAATGTGCCGACAGCGGAAAATCAAATGTGACGCAAGAAACCGAACTGTGCGAAATGCCTCAAAGCCAAGGAACTATGCAACTACAAGGGAAACCACATTTCCAACGCGCACGATCCTCCAGTTCCACCAGTCCAAGCGTCGCATCGAGCAATTGGAGTCTCAGTTTGGGACCTCTAGAGCCCACTCCCACCGCGCCTCAGGATCTGGGAATCCTCGGAGATGTCGCGGCGCCAACACAGGATTTGTCGTACACCATTGCAAACAACGTAAGAGCCTCAATTTTGCATATGCTGTAGCAGGACCAAGTCGCGACAACGGGCAACTTCACATCACCATTCTCGCCACATGAACTTGCTGCTGATCCTGTCTTCCTGTTTAACGTGTTCCATTTAATGGACCTCGAAACAAACAAGGATTCATCCCTATTACCTGTTTATTTTGCCGACATCCCGAACAACAACTCGTTCTTCCGGTCCCTGGGATTACCAAGGAGCAGCTGGCTAAGCTCGAATCAGAAGGTCTGACTCCTCTGAAGCTCAAGGCTTTCCCATCGGAGGAGTGCACCATGTTGGGAATCGCTAATATTATTCGCTCCAAGAATTCCGCACCATTTGAACTAACTCTGGATATCATGTTAGATACCAGGGAGGCATATGAGCTAGTGAAGAATGCGAACATTCTCACCAACGAGCGTGTCATGGAACTATACCATCTCCTGGCAGATGATATCACTACGTACATTTTCTCCGAGCCCGTTCTCGCCTGAAGTGTACACTGAAGCGTCCTTGGGAACAAGGTACTATGGAGATGTGATACTCTGGAAACACAAGAGCACGCGCCCGTGTTATATGTCAAGGTTCCTGCCAATTGAGAAGTGGAACCACGCGACATGGCGCCATGATCTCTTTCTTCTATTTCCATACCCTTTTTAGACAATGATTTTCTTCAGTGCTTATTCATTACACTTTGCATTTTGTCAAGACTCGGACGTAGGTAAGGTCCGGAAAGATGAGTTGAACATTGATCCCGTCGGAGCTTTTTCTTTTTCATGGGACTTGCGTCTTTCAGCTTAATTTCCCTTTCGGAACGTCCTGAACCTTGCCAAGATGCATCTATACAGCTTTGCAGACTGTATAATTTCTTGGATTGTTTCTCGTCCTATACATAGATTTAAAGATTATCTCTTCCAGGGTCATCTCTTGAAGTCCCAGATATTTCCGACTTAATCTTCTTCAACTGGTATAAAATGAGCGACACGGAGAAAGCATTAAAATCCGTGGGAGGCTCCGAAACAAAAGAAGTGCTTACCAAGTCATCTTTCCCAGAGGAGGTGTCAAAGGATGGCTTACAGTGCTAAGCGGCTGGTGTGTGATGCTTAACACATTTGACTACATCAGTGCTTTTGGGTAAGTCTGGCAACAACTCGACGAGAGATTGCCTGTATTAACATCATCCACAGAATCTACGAATCTTACTACAAAGCCCATTCCTGATTGACAAAAGCGAGTCCAATATTGCATGGATTGGCTCCCTGCAAGCCTTCTTCATGTTCTCCGCTGGCCTCATCTCCGGCCTGATGATAGATGGCGATAGACCGAAGGTATGCACAACGCGTGGATGTCAGTCATACCAGTATCAATAAAGCTAACTGAAGAATACAGCTCATCCTAATTCCATGCTCATGCTATTCATCACCTCCGTCATGCTCACCTCCCTCTGCACCGAGTACTACCAATTCATCCTAGCGCAAGGCGTCCTACGCGGCCCCCCAAATGGTCTCGCCTATACGCCAGCCGTAACCGCCATCAACCAATATTTCTTCCAGAAACGACCAATCGAAGGGGAATTACATCTAGCGGATCCTCCCTCGCAGGCGTGATTTCCCCATCGCCTTGAGCAGCTGCTCAGCAAAGCAACTCTTTGTTCCGGGTGGTCTGTTCGAGTTTTGGGATTTCTCATGCTGACATTGAGTATTATGTCCTGTGCTATTGTCTCATCGAATGCGCCTAAGCTGAAGAGCGGTGCTCCTTTTTGCTTGCTGTTTGGAAACATCCTGGGAATTAATTGCAGATCTTAGGCCTGTTCCTGATGTTCTGGGGTCTTTTGTTCCGATTTTCTATGTACCTGCATATGACGAGTCTATTGGTCTCAGTGTTGATATCTTCTTTTACCTGATTGACATCCTCAACGCGGGGTCCCTCTTTGGCCGAGTTTCCGGTGGCGCGGTGGCGAACCGTATTGGGCGATTGAATTCTTTGACAGGGGCTTCGATCACCTGTTCGATTTTGATCTTCTGTTGGCTGACTGTTACATCTCAGGGTGGGATGATCGCCTTTTCGATGTTGTTTGGGTTCTTTTCTGGGACAGTTATTGGCTTGTTCCCTGCTACCATTGCTCTGACTGCAACAAGTCGAATGAGATTGGCTCGTATATGGGAACGGCATTGGGGGTTTGGGGTATTTCCACTCTTACTGGAACGCCTATCTCTGGGGCTATGATCAATAGTTATGGGTGATATCACCCTGCTATCATCTTCGGTAGGGTGGCAACTCTTGTTGGAGTAACCACTATTTTTGGGGCTCGGGCCGTTTTTGCTGGGGGTAAGCTCGCTGCGTAAAAGGGGTCTAGAGGCAATTTATGTAGTAATTGACAGAATTAAGATTAGACAGCTTTTTGGTGGTATGTTAGCCGATACAGTGAGCTGTTTAATTTCCAGGCAACTCAATTCCTATAATGCCCGAGGTACAGGTCTACCTCCAACCCAATATCCTACAGAGTCTGTGGGGGCGACGTAGGCATCACAATATTATACGCTGTTGCCTGAAACATCCAGTTCTATCGAGAGCAACACCAATCAACCATGTGCGACGTGTGCAGCGGGACCGGCAGGACCCTGAATGGAGAAAAGAGCAGCCAATCGGTGTTTGCTATTTCCCGTTAAGCTTCGAACAAAAGGCTTGACTCTGTACTTAATCTGGTATACTTGCGTATGTTGGGGTACAGGCCGAACCATTTGGTTCTAGTTGCCCACAGAAAGTCTGTAAGTTAAAAATAAACTAGAGCGAAAAGAATTGAAGTGAAGGGCGCTAAGTGTCAGGCTAGAAAAGAACGAGCACTAGTGTAACTTGTACTTTCGCCCTACAAGTCGTGCAAGTCAACAGCGGAGCCGCACCCCAGGCCTGTGAAACACGGCATATAGCGCTCACGACTTCTTCAACCCAGCCCATTGGCATTGCCTCGCCACTAATTCCATCTCCATTCATTTGTCTCTGTCACTCCTTATGTACTAGACCTTTGAAACCGACATCTCCCATCCGGCAACTCACTTGGAACAATGGCAACAATGCAGCACGAAACCCGGACAGATCATGTGGCATTGAAAGACAAGACGTTAGGCCCAATCTCCATCCTCGCCCCTTTCTCAGCCCTCATCATCTCAGTCACACTGGTGATCTACTTCCTAATCCGCTTCTACGTCCTGGAAGGCTTCCTCATCCGCCGAGCATACGGGTCGATTTATACGGATATGAGCGAATTGAATCGCCGCGGTTTCATCAACCACCACATCGCCGGTTTTACCAAGATTGTCATTCTGATTGTGGCCGCATACCCGTTCATCTGCGTTACCTTCGGCAAGGCGACGTTCCAGACGGCCTATGCCCATGGCTCAGTTGTCACCATGGGTGATATCCTCGTTGTCGTTGCTCAGACGTTGATTGCAATGTATATCTTTGAGTTGCTCTATCGGGCCAAGTTGTCTCCTGTTGCGGTTATGCATCACATTGGGACGATTTTGATTGGGCAGACGGCTATTGCTATCAGTTTGAGGCCGGTCAGGGAACCTGATGCTGAGATTGAGTTTGTTCTTTGTACCGTCTGGGGTATGATGAAATCTTCTTCAAGTTCTTCCTTTGACGGCATACTAACGATGATCACTTTTTTAGGTGCCTTCGATATCATCTCCGAATTCTTCCCTCACGTCGCAATCATTCTCTACCGCGTCTTTCCTAAACGACACCATTTCCTCAGTCGTGTCTTTCTCCTTTCCTGCTTTTCCACTGCAGTTGGAACATTCTCCGAGACTGTCGTGACGATGTGGCTGTTCGGTTCATTATGGAGCCGATGGAGACTTGCGTTCAAGGTGGTTACACCACTTCTGCATATTGCGTTTTCTGCAGCGCAGATCCACGGCAGCCTTGTTTTCTGGCGCATGTATCGGAGACAACAGAGATATATGAGCAATGAAGGGGAGGATATCGAGAAAGATGAATCTCCTGATATGAAGTTGTATGAGATGTCAGGGAGACCTGGCGAGGGTAGGACGAAGGCAGGCATAACTGGGTCAAACAATACGCTTGAATTGTTCCATGTCGACTCGGTTACTCCCATGGTTCGCTGATTTCAGTCCACCACAAGCGATTTGTCTGTTTTCATTTAGTACGATATGTCTGTTTTGTTACAGTTCTAGGCATGGTTTTGTATCTACGAATTAGAACATAAAGTTTAACATACAAAATTCAATATCTGATTATGCTTACTGCTTATGGTCAAGGTTGAAACTTGGGTTACCTACGACGCATAAACGGCGTAACTGGTACTTGGCCCTCGGTTTTCAGGTAATTTGTAATAGAACCGAATCGACAGAGGGAACCGAGAGGAAGCCCAAGATGCAGTATACGGCAACGTTGCCAACAATCATTGCGGGAGATCTACAGAAACTGGTAAAGAGAACCCGGAAGAGAGAAATCAGATGGAAATGCCTGCATTTCTTGGCTTAGCGCTCGAAGTACGTAAGAATAATAGTTATAATACATGGAAAGTCCCATGCCATAGGGGTCTCCAGTTCGCGCAAACCGTCCCTTTTCCTTTCCGTCCCGACTCCCATATCATTTCTCGGTATCATATGTCAATGTTAAGATGCATCAATAACAAGCATATTACACACGATTCATCATCATGGTATTCAATCATTGACTGTGTCGGCCCTTGGCCATTCCGATCCTCCTCAATTGGTTCTTTCATGCTGGGCGGCCATACGTTGCATGGCAAGGCCTTGGATCCATTAGTTCTCTGGGGTGTGCACTTAGGAACATTTGGTTTCAGCTTACCAAAGTCCTCCCAGGAACGATCCTTCCCCTTGTTGCGGAGACTGCGGCCGTGCATGAGGTTGTCAAATCCTTCAGAGTTGTGCAGCAGGATATACACTATCGCGTTCACACAGGCCACCCCGAAGGCCAGGATCCAGACTCTGAGGATAGTCAATGCCGATGTTGGTGTGCCGAAAGCGCCGAAGCGAGCCATCAGAGACCCAGTCACATCAACAACCAGCACAGCACCAGCTAGAAGAGCTGAGGGTCGATTGCTGAACATCGACCCAGTAATGCGAGTAACTAAGATCAGCCAGCTTTGGGTCAGGGTTATCTCCAGGAAGAGGACTTCATCTCGCGAGCCCCAGCCTTGAATCACACCACCCTCCTCACCTTGCAGCAACATGGTACCTAGCGTTACCCAGGTTCCGGCGGCAAGTATCATTCCGAGAATAATTGATTCTCCCCACAGCTTTGGCTGGTTCCATTTGACTGGGAGCTGGGAGTAGGAGGCATTGTCATAGGCAATCGCCAACGTCGCAATGTCTGCAAAGATGGCGAGAAGAACGATCAAGCGCAGATCGAGAGTCTCATTCATGATCACCATCCAGAGTCCCAGGAAAAGTTCCAGGTGGATTGACAAGGCAATGCGGTAAACGACATATGCGTACATTCGGTGAAAGATTTGACGAGAAGTCTTGATTGCGTCAATGATCGCGGACAGACCAGGAGCCAGAAAAACAATGTCAGCAGCGGAGCGCGCCGCGTCAGAGGCACCTTCGACAGCAATACCCGTGTCTGCTTTCTTGAGCGAAGCAGCGTCGTTCACACCGTCACCGGTCATCGCCACGAGGTATCCACGCCGCTGAAGAATCTCCACCACGCTATATTTGTGTTGAGGGAACACTTCTGCAAATCCGTCCGCAGCTTCAACAAAGTCGTTGACCTCGGAACCAGGCATCTCGCCGGCGCCAGTGACGCCAAGACGCTCAGCATTGTAGATGTTGGTTCCCAGACCAAGTTGGCGAGCTGTTTCACGAGCAATGCCGACTGCATCTCCGGTGAGCATCTTCATGGAGAGACCCAGACCTTGGGCTTCAGCGATCGTTTTGGCAGTGTCATGGCGAGGGGGGTCAGAGCAGGGCATGATTCCTAGAATCTCCCAGTTCTTCGAGGTACGCTTGCGGGCAACACCGAGAGCACGAAATCCTCGATCGGCAAATTCTGTGACTTTGGCCTTGTACTCATCCACGAAAGGCTCGCATAAGGTGCTCTCTGCCTGCACAGTTCGCAGGATCGTCATTGGTGCTCCTTTGACACAGATCATTTGCTCTCCGTCATGATTCTCCACAAGTGCAGTAACCTTTTTTGACACGGGATCAAATGGAGTAAACTCGATGGTCCTGTACGTAGGAACCTGAGACTTGGCCCATGGGTAGTTGCGTAGGCCCCTGAGAAAAACCTTGTCGATGGCATCGATTCCGCCAGTCTTTCGAGTTGCTGCAAGACATGCAGTCAGCATGAGCTCCTCCGTTGTCATCCCAGGAACCGTATATGGCTCTCCTAGGGTTAATTTGTTTCGAGTCAATGTTCCAGTTTTGTCAGAACAAAGGATTTCAACACCGGCTAGCGACTCAATAGCTGACAGCTTTTGTACAATTGCCTTGCGATTGGCGAGGTAAGCTGCACCCACGGCCATTGTAGTGGTGACTACCACAGGAAGACCAACCGGAACTCCGATCACGGTAATTGCCAGGGTAAACTCTAGGATCTGCACAATGCCGTTCGAACGATAGTAGCTGGCAATCCAGATTACAAGGAGGGCGAGAATCACAAATATCAGAAGGATATGCGCCATCCCGTTCAACACCTGGGTGAAGTGTCCAGGACTGCCGGAAGCCTTGTTGACCAGGGCAGCTGCAGTTCCGACGTATGTATGGTCACCGGTGGCAGTCACAATCATCAAACCAGCGCCACGCTTGACGGCAGATGAAGCATAGCACAAATCCCCTTTGTGCTTATCGACAGCGAGAGACTCTCCCGTGATACCAGACTGGTCGACCTGTAGATAAGCATTTTGCGATTCAAGTCTACCGTCGGCGGGAATAATCGTGCCCTAATGCAAATGTCAGTTGCTGGCTATAGTCTTCATCTTGATGTTCATTGACTTACATCTTTTACTTGAAGGACATCACCGACAACGACTTCCGCGGAATGTATCTCTTTAGCAGCGCCATTGCGGATGACTTGGGCTCTGAGAGCAAGAGTCTTTTTGAGATCATCAACGATGTTGCCTGCATGGTACTCTTGGATGAATCCGACAGCGGCGTTGAGGACAAGCAGGCCACAAATGATGCCGAAATCGATCCAGTCCTGTAAGCCACCAGCAAGTATAACGGCAGCCTGCAGTGAGAAGAAGCTCATGAGTATATGTGTTTCCCGACCGTAGCATATTGGACAAGAGTTGCTTACCTCCATGACCCATTGAACCGGGCCCATGAAAAACGAAAGAAATTTGAGAAAATGATTTCTCTTGGCTTCTTTCATGACATTCCACCCATACTTCTTCCGTCGAACAATCACCTCTTCATCGTTAAGGCCGTCCTCGAGACTGGTACCAAGCCAAGCATAAGGGACCTCGAAAACTTTGCCAGCATGGATGGAAGCCGCATCAGGGTCAGGCTCCTTGCCATCTTCTGCATCAAGCTCATCAATGAGGAAGCTCAGAGTCTCTTCGGTTTCCAGCTGATCCATCTGATCCTTGCCGAGGACGCTCGAGTTCTCTTCTGGAGTGGGGTCTTCTTTAGGAGAAACACCGCCAAGGGCGTTCGCATGCCTGGGAATATCAAAGAGGCGGTCATGGAAACTGTCATGGTCATTGAGGCTTTCAATCTTGTCTTCTTCGCCATGAAGCTCATCGGGCGGGTTGCTATGAAGAGCCCTGTTGCGAGGATCCGACGGGTCAACAGAAGGCCTGGGCATGTTGGGCAGTCTGCTGCAAAAGCTGAAAGGAAGTTAGCAACAATGAAACAGAGCAAACTGCTGCGGTCCATAGGATGAACATCTCTCAGACCAAACAATTTGATGATCATGAGATGCAATAAATTGAATGGTCGGATGCTGTCCGTTCACTTGACAGCATCCTGGGCCCATGGAGATCAACTTAAGACAGCAAAAGGATCGACTCACATCAAACAAACATGAGCTTTTCGACTGCAGTGAACTAACGGAATGCTTGAGGAAAGAAGATATAGTTGGTGTATGCGGGTGGGAGAGGAGGCGAGTCGACGACGAGGCCGAAGGCGCGATCGAAGACTACGCTAGAATGGCGGCCTCCAACGGCAGTTCGGATCCTTAGTAGACAGCGTCCCTGATGACATTGCTTGATGCATCGGCATCGTTTCTGCTATTCTTATATGAAGATGCTCTCTACGGATTACGTTCCAGCATCCCATGGATAACAATCAACACAACTCCATTCAGGCTGAGATAATCAATAGGATTAAAACAAACTAAACACACCGAGACTTTGGATGACTTGCACGCCACCAGACCAGGCGACGAAACAAGCGATGCCTTCCCACTTGGAGCTTGGAGCTCAAAGCCTCAGGCCATCGACAGCAAGCAGAATTAAATGAGTAGAGAGAGGAGCCGAATGCGACGTAAGTATACATGCTCTCCTGAGGCTATTTCTATTCCTCTGAACTGTATAAGACAATGCAACCCTTTGCCTGCAGCGCATTTTCAACTTTGCGTTGATATACCCCAAATCCGGTGGAATACCTAGGCTGTGCTTCCAGGGGGTATCATTGATATACACAGGGTCAGGCAGCCCTGGAGGAGCAACATCGTGATGACAAGTCCCTCAACTTAGGGCAAGGGCGTATCAAAATGGGCGCCTGAGGCGGAAGATTACATAATATACTCACGTCACCTCAAAAGCCTTCACCGTTGCATAAGGTTGGCTTTGCATATATTTATATTTATGGCCTCTGCTACAATTTGCTGGTTATCTCAATTGTTATATTGTGGCCTTGCTCAATAGATTGGCACAAAAGGCGCAAAGGAAGGCTGTTGATCATTGCAAGATATCGCATGCATAAAGCCTCAATGGTTGGCCGAGTCCTATATAATTCTTCATTCCTACATGCATCGTGAAATAACATTGCTCGCCAATTCCTGCATTTCGGGCCAACCATCATGGCTCCAGAGATCCCTGGCTTCTATTATGGTGAGTCTTGAATTGCTTGTCTTTATTTGCTGTGTTGCCCTCCAGCAGTGTCAAGTGAGAACACGTCTTGTCGCGTACTCGACACGCCTCCTCAATTGCTCTCACAAGACCTCCATCATTTTTATTTATGTCCCGTCCCATCCATTTACATCTACTTTCCTCCATCGCCACCCACTCTTGCTTTCTGTATAGGTCTTCACTCCCACTACGGACCGGCGCTTATCATTTTGGTACCTAGATGAGGACAAGAAGAAGTACTTTAAAATCCAGCCCGACCATGTTGCCCCGCCTGGTGCGCAATATTCCGCGAAGGTGCTCAAGCGGAAGCGCAGCGACCAGATAGTAGGTTCCCTAGCTCTTCCTGATATTTTCATCTGTTAATTGAGTCTACAGAAACGCGAAAGGAAGGCAGAACTCAATCAGCGCACGGCCAGTGAGATGGTCACCAGGGGCGCGGCGTTGGCACAGCCCCTGGTGACCGTTCATCGAGAGATTGGGCTTGAATTGCCTGGCGGTGCTATGCGGGAAAAGTATGCCCGTCTTCAAGTAAGCCAGCTGCATCGAGAAGAGCTCCATAAATTCGAACCGTGGCCAAGAGCGAACACGATTCGACAGGTCGTGCGGAACCCACGCTCCGGCACTTTGATTGCCAGTGAGTTACCTTGATACCTCTTGACTTATTACATTGCTGATACAAATTGCAAGGCATGGCTCGCGGGCAAGAATCCTCTGTCTCGTGAGTAGATCTTTTTCAATAAGCAGATATTGTTCAATACTAACCACTACGCAGGGTCTGCTTTCCAGATATCGAGAATTCGCAATGGTCCTACAATCACACGATGGAGCGTCTCCTCTTTAGGGAACCTTTCCGGGTCAGTCCATTTAGTCTCAATGGAAGTTTCAGCGTGACTGACACCATCTTTAGCTCGCCTCGATGTCTCTGAGCCCAACAGACTGTTTACTGTATGCCGTTTCAAACCCGAGTCAATGCCGTTAAGACCATCGACTAACCACCCCAGGGCAACCATGGACGACGGCCCAGACGGAGCATGCTTCTTCTCAATGCACTGGCTTCCTGCTCCCGATGATGATGGAGGCTACACCTGGCCAGCAAGTACGTCCACTGACTCCAACCTCTTCTACAGACAACATGCTAATAACAGCTCATCCAGTTTCTCAACCCACTCGCATAACCCCTCAACATCCAATGACCTTCTGGGGCACCGCAGCCTGTCCATCAACCACAGATCCCATTTTCGCCATTGCCGCTTCAGAGGGCCTACACACCATCCACGGTGGCGAAAACAATTGGCTGATGAGGAAGCATGAGATTGATATTGGTCCGAAAAAGTCCAGGTCGAAGGGGCACTGGTGGCCGCACACGAACAGCGTGTGTTCCGTTGAATGGCTCAATCAAGATGTCATCATGTCAGGTCGGAAGAACGGCGCGATTCTCTTCAATGACTTGCGTATTGGCTCTAGCACGCCTCACTTCCGGCATTCGGACTCGGTGATGCAATTCAAAAAGGTTGACGACTGGCGCATTGTCGCCGCGGGTCCTCGTTATGTATGTATACATCTCATTTCCCTTTTGACCTAGAATATTGACTAACAACCCCAAGCTGCATATGTTCGACCTACGCTTTGCTCCCAATGGTGACAAGGGCATTAAGCGGAACAAGAACCCATCGATCGCCAATTCGGCAACAAGCCAACCATACCTGACATTCCCTGACTTCGCGCCCCTGCCCATGCCAACCTTGGACATTAGCACTGATCTCGGTCTCCTTGCAAACCGTATGTCCCCTGACTGTTACAGCAGATCATCCTTATCTTGGGTTCGAACGAATGGCTAACCTACTTTTGATCTTAGCATCCCCGGACCAAACGATCCAGCTGTTCTCCCTCCGCACCGGTCGACAGGTACCCTCCCCGCTTACCGAGCGCAAGTACTCTTCCACTCCGAGCTGCGTGAGCTTTGAAGCGGGTAATGATGCACCAGCATGGAAAGGTCCCGAGACACTCAGTATGCTGGTTGGCATAGATGGCGTTGTCGATCAGTGGAGTTGGTGATTTGGATGGCGTGTCGTTGTCTTTGGCGTGCGATTGATATCCCCTGGTTTCCTGTTTCCTGTATCTATTTCACGGCAATACCTTCTTTCTTTTCTTTACTTTTGGCGCAGACTTGTTTGATGACCTTTGTCATGTCTATTTGATTTTCGGCGCCGGGATTCTTTTACACTTTTTCCTTTTTCAATGTTTTAGAATGTTCTACATACTGGATTTTCATGCAATCCATATTCACCTCTCTTTCACCTAAAATATATATAAACACTATAAAAGATTAGAAATCCGCTCGGACTCACCTCGATGGGAGAAATTACAGGGTCCATTTGAATCTTATCATCGAAGTGCTCGACTCTACTCTTTTACAAATGAACAATATTGGAGGTAGATGATGACTATGGGTATAAATTGAAACCCCAATAAGAGTAAAATGCAACGCAATGTAATATAACATGATGCAATACAGTATAGCAACAACCCAGACACTCCGCAAAATAAATGCATAAAAGCTCAATCATGTAACTCAATCCAATCCACCAGCAAGCCACTCCCCAACCTCAACACCAATCCCCTTAGCAAGCTCGCCGACCCAATCCCCAGAGACATTGACAGTCCACTTATCACCTGCATCAGCAGTAGTATTTCCACTACTACTAGCGGCACCATTATGCCCAGCAGCAGGGACAACAAGACGCAGTCGCCGCAGTGTAGCAAGTTCAGCGTAGATCCGATCCGCGACTGCCGCAACGCGGAGAGGCGTGGCAGGTGGATTTGGGTCAATAGCGTGGTAGATTGCTAGGAGGCGCTCTAGGGGGAAAGGACGAGCTGTGAGAATTGTCGATGGGCCGGTTATACCGGCGCCACCGCCTGTAGCGGAGGTTGTGGCTGAGGAGGTCGCGAAGGCAGATGAGAGGGTGGATTTTGTGATGCGGGTTTTTGTACGCTTGCCTTTTCCTCGCTTGTTTGGGTTTGAGGGGCCGTCGTTTGCCGCTTGTCTTTCTTCCGCTTGGGCTTGGGAGAGGACTTTCAGGCGGCGGCGATGGTGGGCGCGTTTGTTTCGGGCTGAGAGGGAGGATGAGGAGAATTTGGAGAAGAAGATTGTGTCAAGGCGCTGGGGGGTGTGGGAGGCCAGGTATGCGGATGTGAGGATGAGAGTTGAGAAGTATGGGAGGGATGGGAGGGCTGAGGGCATCATGGTGACATTTGACAATGGAGTCCGTTGTTTTGCGATGGGCGTCAATGTATCTTCGGGCACGATGCGGTGCACCAGCGCTGACTCGCCCTGATGTCGGAAGATTGATCTGTTCTTAACCAGCAATCTCGAGAAATCCCACTCCATGTTTCCGCCAGGAGGTGCTTCGCCATTCACCACAGGCGCAACAAACTTAGGCCACAATCTCTCGCATATGGATCGAAAGTTTGGAATAGAGCCTGCTGTCGGTCCAACCAGTGAGTCGTAGATCGTAGCAACGAAGTATGGATATACTCGCAGGGAAGTCTCATCCGGGAGGCCATCAACAACCGGCGCATTGGAGGCGAGGATAATGTCGATGGCCTCCTTGCGCGTGTACGGAGGAAAGCTGATGTGCGGGACCGCCGCACTTTGAAGGAACAGCGGCCGCGGTGTCGAGCTGAGAACGAGAACGACACAGAGAGACGGAATCTATCAAATGCCACAGGTTAGTCGCAACATGTCACACAAGCAACAACAACGCAAAACACCCGTCATACTTACAATCTCTCCTAGCCGTGCCAGAGCTGACAACAAGGTATGCGGCGCCTCTCTCTGCCTATCTATCTCATCCAACACCAAAACGAATTTCTGGGAGTTGTCGGAATTCCGCGCTGCCAAACACTCCTCGAGGAGAACTGCCAGGCCACTGACATGCTCGCAGCGTCCCTTACCGGCCTTCTCCCACTCTTCCTTTTGGCCCAAGGCCTCCAATGTATTCCATAAGATCTTTGTCAGCAGGTGTCGACCTGTGATGCATTCCGAGCTGCGGATAATGGCGTGTGGCACTTCAAGGGTAGAGAGGACGCCGCGGAGGATAGTTGATTTGCAGGTCGCCGAGATCCCGTGAACGACGACTGTTGGAGGGCTAGGGACATGGGGCTGTTCCAAACGACGGTACAAGTTAGTAAATGTCCTTCAGAATGGCTTCAGTGGAAGGTGCGGAGCTCTCGCGGGCTGGCCCTTAGTAAACTCACACTGAAAAGACTGGCAAGTTGGCGCGCCTGCACATCGCGGCAGGGCCATTGTGAGCCCAATGAGCGGGCAACCTCGATTGGAAGCATCAAGGATCAGGCCGTTCTGCTTCCAATGTTGTAGGATGATCCGATGTCAAATGGAGGTTACAGATTGAAGCTCCGATAGAAGGGTGGCTCCTTGGTTGGCACGTGACCACGCGTTCGCGCCGAAATAATCGCGCAGACTGGCGAAAACACTACATTTAGACTGTAGGAATTACGTGTCTACTTTCGTGGATAGGAATATGTGGAAACCGAATTCGCTTTCCAGCGCTAGAATACATGCAGAACGTGTGTGCAGGAACATGCATCGAGACGGGCAATCGACAGGGCCGTCTCCGATGTTGAAAATAAGTAAACTGACCGCAAACAACCGAGGTATCAATGGATGAAAGGCACCAAGGCCCTTGCCAACGATCCTCAGCGCAGCTTACCCAACGATGAACCAATGTGAAGTAACGGGCACAGCACAATGCAGCTGGAAGAAAAAGAAAAGCGCAAAAGTACAGCGAAGAGCATGGTAAAAATAAGTAAAAAATCACAATGGGGAAGCGAAGATAATGATAAAGAAAAGAAAACTGCTTAGCCCAGTCCTTGAAGAATCCAAGCCACAGAGTGCCAGATCGTTCATGGGAACAATCCAAAACTATCGCCAGAGATTCCGAGGTCCAAGGTAACCACCGGGGGAAACAAAAGAAACGTGAAGTACAAGAGGGGGCAGGGGGAGGATAGGAGCAGGAAATTGGGCAAGGCTCCGAAGTCTTCATGCTGGGTCGCTTCATGAAATGCAATATGCAACATGGACTGACGCAATGATCATGACACATTGTTTCATAGGTCGATGCAGGAAAACGCAAGTGAGAAATCACGGGAAAATGATCAATACATATGCAGTTGGGCCCAGTCTGATGACAGCGTTGTAAAAGTAACCGTAAAATCGTGAAAAAGAAATTTCGTCGCATCGTCTCACTATGGGTACACTTAGGTCGAAGACATGCATTAATTGGGCTGATCAGGCTCAATTAAATGTATGTAAAGAGTTGACTCTGCGAGCCGAGATTGACAGGTGGCTGCGAGCTCGGAGCGGAGTAAACAGAAGAGCTCTCACTATGTCCAGAGGGGGTATTAGAGACCGAACTCTGGGAAGAGTGAGGGACATAGGTCTGAGAGCTGTATCCGCTGGACGAGGTGGGAGAATGGATGCCGGAGGATTGGCCGCTCTGTTGGTACATGAAGGGCTTCTGGAGCAAGGTCTTGGGAATTTGAGCACTGTGCTCCATCTCATTGGGAGTGACATGGCCGCTGGTGGCAGTGCTGCTGTTACTACTTCGGCTGGCGGTGGTGTCAGCAGCCATGATCTTACCAGCGATGCGGCGACCATGGGGTGTCTGGCGAATAGATGGGAGAATGGGGCGGACAGCCTCGACAATGCGGTTGCGAGTCTCGGCATCACAGAAGTCCATGGCAGTCTGCACAACGTAGTTTGCAAAGGAATCACGCAACATCTTCTCAAGCTCATTGCCCCGAAGAATCTCGTCGATCATCTGGCGCTTCATGTAGTTATCGGCAGTTCGAAGACACTTCTCAATCACGTTGGAACTGAATTTCTGCTTCGACAGCTGAGGAATGTTTCCTCCAAATGTCTGGCAGAGAGGGTTGGTGAATTGAGGCTCAGCCAAATCCAGAATGTATTGCACAACATAGTTCCCAAACGGATCCTGAATCAAAGTGAACGAGTTCGAAGTGATTTGAGAAATCAGACGAGCCTTCTGCTGACCAGAAGCATGGTCAATGCAGCGCTGAAGAACGCAGCATCCATGACGATGAGTACCAACAACCACGCAGTTGCCACCAACAGCCTCGTAGATGAACTCAGCATCTTCGGGGGAAAGGCGGTTAAGGCATTTCTGAATGACGTGATTACCATTGAGATCCTGCACAAGCTCAACAACATCGCGCTGCAAAGCGCCAATGACGGTCTGAGTCTGCTGAGGAGTCGAGATAAACTCAATCATCTTCTGCAATGCACGGGTTCCATGTTGGTTAAGAGCAATCTTCACCAGCTGCGGAGAGGCAAAGTCAATCAGGGCAGTACGCTGTTCATCATTGGAGAATTCCAACAGCTTCTGGCAAAGGTAGTTACCGAAGGGATCTATTGAAGAAAAAAGTTAGCCGTCATCAGCGAATTAAAAGGCAGGATGAAACTCATACCGGTCATGAGTTCGATAACGTGCATGTATGTCTCACTGAAGATCAGCTGCACATGCTCCGGGTTACGTTCCTCCAGTTTGCGCTGCAAGTATCGGCAGCCATGCTGGTCCTTGCACAAGCTGTACAGCTCACCCTTATAGTGCTCCAAGGGGAAGTTGCCGAAGCGTGTGAGCTGACTCGCCTCATTCTCCTGGCGACGTGCAGCCATGCCACCTCGAGCAGAGTTGTCAGAAAAGCGGAAACCAGAGCCAGGATAGGAGGGATAGCCATTGTAACCAGCGGAGAGGTTAGACATGTGGTTTGCATGGTGAGTCTGGGGGGCATAAGGTTGGATTGCATAATTGTAGGCGGGAACTTGGAAAGGCAGAGCCATTGGAGCAACCGCTCCAGGGACATTGTTTGTGGAAACAGCCGATGTGAGTTGGGGCCCGAAAGGCGCAGCACTGGCTTGCAGGATAGTCTGAGATGTTGAGCCGTTCTGAAGGTTGGTGTCATCTGCTTCGGGAGAATCCTTTCCCTGGCGATTGTTCACGGCACTCTGAGGAATGCGTCCCATGCTTGCATTGTGGTGGTGCATGTTGTCCATTTGATTGTTAGGAGGCGTGACGGCATTGCCGATTCCATTACCCTTGATGGTAGGCAAGTCGTTGGTCGAGTATGAGGATTGAGCAATCGGGCGACTGGACGGAACAGGAGTTGCGGTCTCATCGTGACGTTCATCCTGGAAGGACATGTTGCTTCCCAGGGAGTGACGAGCGATATGGCGTGATGCGTGAGTCGAGGTACCGTGGTCTTCGTTCGTTGGGCTGCTTAGCTGATCCATGCGCATCAAACCCGAGATGTTCTGCGGCATACTCTGGTGAGACGAGCGGTGCCGGTTGTGGTTGGAATAAGTCTCGGGACCAGGAGTGCGCGAGTTGGCAAGGTCAAGGGCATCAGGGTTGGCAGACAGCTGAATTGGATATTAGAAATGTGCTTGAATTCAATTGTGAGGGGGCACTCACAACAAGGTTTGCACCACCACGGCGGGACAACGTAGGGAATTTATCGTCGGTCTCAGTCATCTTGATGTAACTCTTGATATCCGGGGTAGACAAGCGATCAACGTCCTTCAGAGGGCCATGTAGCTTTTCTTCATCACTGGGGAAAAGGTACTTGGCGGCGGCAAAAGAGTCGATACCAGATCCGTTGTTGAACCCGGAGGCATTGGACCGAACCTGGGCGTTCAAGTTGCTCGCTGGAAGCGAGTAGCGGTGGGCACTACACAATTGTAAGTTAAATCGAACCATGAAGCGAGTGTAGATATTCGATGCCACTCACGAAGGGCCAGGACGGAACGGTGAAGAAGGTTCAGCGAGGAAATCGTCCTTCTCAGAGTTGCGACGGGAGCCAGGAACTGAGTGACCAGTAAAGCGGTCAACCGGCTGGTGCGCAGAACGAGACGGAGCTTGGGGCGAGGTCAAGTTGGAGGGGGCAAATGCGCTGAAGAAACCAGGCGAAGAGGTGACACTCGAAGTAGAGAAACGAGCAGGGCGGCTGAAAGCGCTGGACACCGAGCTCTCGCGGTACTCAGGCGGGGTAGTTGGCTCGCTGACCGGACCAGATAGTCCAGCCTTAGCCAGGTCGCGAGCAAGCTGGTCCATCTCCAGCTTCTCCTTTTCGTGTTGTAGGTCCAGCATTTTCATATCCTCCTCAAATCGACGTTTCTGTTCACGCATGTACTCCAGATGTTGGCGTTTCTTTTCAAACTGCTGGAAAAGTCAGATCAATGTTTGTCTCAAGAATATCACCACGGAAAAGAAAATTGACGAAGAAAGAGGAAGGGTGTGTTGGGATGGGTTGACATGGAAGAAGCGTAGATTGTTCAAGGTTTTGTTGGGCGTTAATGACGTTCACCGTTCAAGACGTTCACCGTTAAAGACTCAGTTGGCTGGTTCGTTGGCCGTTCAGACTCTTTTGTTCCCTAGGCATCTCCGTAGTTCCGAAAACAATTTGACGATTCGTACCCATAAAAGTGACGCTTCGTGCCCGTACAAGCCAGTCTTCGAGGCCGGACAAGTGATCCTTCGAGGCGGGAGATATAGGACTGGTTGAATGGGCCTTCGATAGGGATGATGCCTGCACCGGGGACGACGCCTTCAACGGAACAACGCCTTCAACGGAACAACGCCTTCAACGGAACAACGCCTTCAACGGAACAACGCCTTCAACGGAACAACGCCTTCAACGGAGACTTTAACGGGCTTCAACAAAACCGTGACAACGGAGCTGAACAATGCAGTGATCCAACAAGCCCACAGAGGTCAAGAGTCCACGTTGCAGGAGGGATCCTGGAACACAGTCCCGAAAGAACACGAGATATGGGATAGAGTAGGAGTGGTGATGGGGATGGGGATGGGGAAGGGATGCAGCAAACAAGTTCACACCTTAGCAGGGACGAGAGGAAAAGCAAGCATATCGAAATGTGTCGTAGAAGAATAAAAAGACGGGTGAATGAGGGGGTAGAGCCCGGGATATTATAGCATCGACTGCTGGGCTCGAGCAAAGAACGGCTCCTGGGTAGAACAGAGGGCTCACTTGAACGGCCGGGCAGGTATCTCAATATACCAAATCCGGTTGAGGCCCGAAGAGGCAACAATAGGGAATTGTAGTATGAGAAATGCGAATGTGGATAATGATGAATAGAAATATTGGGCATAGAACTTGCAGTGCTGCGGGTTGAGGGGGAGATGTAGAGGGAAAGAAAACGAGAAGGGGAGAGAAGAAACGAAGTGCATGTGCAATGTTGCCCGGGGAAATAACTGGAGAGTGACGAAAATCTCGAGCCAATTTGGGACAAAACCGGCGCTCAGCCAACGTTTCTCACAGCTCAGATGCCACTCATCGAAACGTCGCCCGCCACGACAGTCTGGAGATCACACTCAGCAAACCTACGGCGAAGCAGGCCATGACCGGTGGTGCTCACAGCCCAAATGCCGATCATTGCATATTGCAGTCACAATCCAGATCTCTCCTGAACCAGCACTCCTCAAATTCAAGATACGTGAAACATCGCTAAAAGAAAATAGAAGCTCACCGAAGACAAGAGATCCAGAGGATCCTGCGCAGGGCTCGAGCCTTGATTTAAATAATTCCATGACGAAAACTTGCTCGAATCGGTTGTGAAGCGGCGCTGCAGATTGGCACGAACGTCACCCGCAGGCCGAGACGAGAAGCCCGATACAAAGTTCGAGTGACCAGGGGAAAGCGAGCTATATCCGGGGAACGCAGATTCCGAGGGCGGGGATCGTGGAGAGGGGAATCGCAGCTCGTCGAGGCGTTCACTAAGCCCGTGTTTGAAGGCCATCGTGGGCAAGGGCCGAATTGTCCAAACTACAACTCCAACAGTCCGGTCAGCGTACGGGGGTCGATACTAGTCGGAGGGGTGTTTCGAGAGCTTTTCTCGCGAGCAGCTATCACGACCAGCCCCAGATATTGTGACGCCAAGCTGCAGCTGGGGGCAGAGAAATGTCCGAGTTATAGAGCGGAGGGGGATCAGGGCTGGCGGTGTGCTCGTTCGGTCTCAAGTAAGGGGAGCTTGAGAGGGGCTGAGGGGAGGAGACGATCTGCGCGAAATGAATCCGACTCACACAATCAACGCCTCGAGAGAAAAATCAGGTCGGCGATGGGATTCCTATGCGAACACAGGTGCCAGGCGTCTAAGAGAGAGGTTCGGGAGGGGGAAACACGTCGGCACTGCAGACGCGATCAGGATTAGCCAGGAGGTCAAGGGTCGTCATGGCGAGGACGTGAACAAGAAGCGACTTACCAAGGACGAAACGAATGTTGACAAACACCAAAAGAAGACAAAACTGTTGTACAAAGGGAGTTGGGAAGGAGAGGGGGAAAAAGGGCTGGGAGTCCAGAGCAGAGCGGGGAGATCCTTTTTTGGGTAAAGGCTGCTGATGTGCCCTTTTCTTTTTTTTTTTTTAGCCCTTTTTTCTCTCTTTTTTTGCTACTTATTTCGGTCATTTACCAAGTTTCTTTTCTTTTTCTCTTTGGAATCTGTGGCAATGGTATTTACAATCTGATTAAAAGGGGCGATTTAGTCTTGCGTTTCAATTCCTTCCTCTCCGGCACAATATATATAGAACCACTATCACAGGTGTATACGGACAATTCGACCACAGTAGATGATCAACCTCCAAAAGTTACTCGGATACTGTTCGAGACTGGAGTCTGATTGGCGAGCCTCTGGTCTCTGTACTACTTGGACGCATTTTGTCCCGGGAAGAGCCTGGGGTAGGGAACATGGGACAGCTCTCGCGAGGTGTTCAATGGGCTACGAATGGTCAATTGGAAGATGGGCTGGGGATGGAGAGTGCAGTGGCCTCTCGCGCAAGGGGGACTTTCAATGCGCTGTTCAAAGCGTGGCATCTGCAGTAGGAAGTGGAGAAGTGCCCGAAGATGTGACAGCGGATCGCCCTCTAAGGAGGTTAGGCGCTTATGTTCCTGGATCTAGTAGATTGTAGATTGGAGAGTGTAGAATGTTAGATATAGAAGAGTAGTATATGTTCCCCTATTCTCTTCCGCGTGACTCTGGTTCGCGACGGGTTTCATTGTTCTGTTCCATGGGTCCTCGTTACTCTCTCTATTGGTCTGCACTGAAACTTATAGTCTCCTATTCTATTCTTCTACCCTCCCCCTTAGCACTCCATATTATAGCTATTATTCTGTTCTTTTCGTTTTCCACTGTAAGTTGACCTCCCTTGAATCCTCTCCCCCACCTCGGCTGATAAGGGCTCACCCTCAGACAAGCGGTGTAAGTGGTAGCGCTGATCGCATCGCTTGGAGCCCCTGGTCCACCGAATGACGAGCATGCGAACCCCAGTCAATCATTACATTCTTAGCGGGGATCATCTGCCTTGTAGCCACTTTTCTACCCCTCCTCCTTTCTAGAAATCCGATCTGAGCAGGGAACTTGATACGGTCTGTGCTGGCTATAGTATACATTAGCATGTATCTCCCAAGTGATACATCCAGCCCCCAACAACTAGTACTGTGCAGGATTGCCATATTTCACTATACTGTCGAACCCACCATTGACGCCCAAATCCCCAAATTTAATTACCGCCTTTCTTTCATGCCCAACGCCCTGACGCCCCCGGAACAATTGACTGGCTGCCTCGATAGACTCGCGATCCACAACACCTCACTGGTCAATGACCCTTATTAGAACCCATTATGATTATCGCCCCCGTTTTTGAAAGTACGATGGCAAATAATATGAAACCGGTCCCCTCACAACCCCGGCTGCACTGCAACTGCACGGGTAATGGGCCTTCTAGACGGTCGATAACATCCCCGGTTCTTCATGTCGCAATATTCTAGCCTCTGATCTCCAAGGAGGATACCGTGCATCGCAATGATGAACCCTGTCCTACCAACCACGTGTAGATCGGTAAAGTTATATGTTGCCATTTGTTTTCATTTCGCCCTCGTAACTTGCTTGACTAACTTATATTACACAACTTGTATCGACATTCCCGACTCGGAGAAATATTTCCGCCCTCCCTTGCGGAGTATCCTGACCTCGGGTGGCGATTTCAAAGTTGCGGTCAAACCTACGCCCTTTGCCACAGACATCAAACATATCTCTGCTCAATAGCTGATGGACAGGGTACCGCGCCCGGTCTCCATGAATCATAGTGATACAGGTGTAGTGTGACTGACCATGGTATGAATGTATAGCGATCAATACATGTACCCTGTCGAGACCTTGTGTCGAACCGTGCTAACACTAGTGCTTTCTAAATATACTACGTGACCGCTTCTTCAGATCCTAGCGTTTTCCATAGATCATGTTAGAATGTCATTTCGGGATGCTTATGCATACTGCAATGTTTTAGCGCTCTCTGTTCGCGTGTTGGTGTGTAAAATGCGAGAATAGTAGCTGTAAATCTGGACCGCCTTAAGAGCCCGACAGGGTAGCTCCTTTGCTTTGCGAGGTAAATACATTAGGGCGATACATCCGAGCAACCTCAGCATGATTCAATCGCCTCAATACTCTGTTTAGAGACTGGATCTGCCGTTTGTGTGGTGAGGCTTATGGGCTTGAATATGTGATGGAATGACGTCAAAATATAGAGAACTGTATTGAAGAGTAACTCGGAATGATTGTTCGTGATGTTCTTGAAGTTGGTACAGGAAGCCTATCGGTTCATCTCGTCCACGTCCGGGACAACTGTGAATCAGAACATCCCCAGATAGAATGAACCCGGGAATTCTTCGCTCAGACGGCCTCAGCTACTGCAATGTCACCCTTCCCCCAACATCGGTCGCCTTCACACCCAAATCCACTACTGCACGTTCTGCTCCTCCAAAATATCAGAGAACGTCACTGGCGTCCGTCTCGTCCGATCCACGTTGATCTGAAACACATCAAAGCGCTGATACCCGCCAACAACATCTTGAAACTGTTTACCTTCGACAGTAGCATCCATATCCAAATCAGCATATAATACCCCTTCTTCAAGCTGCAAATTCTCCTTTTCTTCCCTTTCCCCAGTTTCCGCATTAATCACAAATCCAACCAAAGGACCCCCAGTGGTATCCAAAAACCTCGTTTCGGCTTGCATTGATCCTTCCATGGTAGACCGAATTACATCTTTCACTTCTTCAGGCGCAATTTCTAGAATTGTCTGCAAGGTATGTTCATCGGCTACAGCAGCATTGATAATCCCAAAACACTTCCCTTCGAAACAATGCGCCGCAGCGCGGGTGCGATTGGCTGCCACGTTCCCATACCTGGGCTTGGGCTTTCCTCCACTGTATTCGGTGTTGTCGCGGATGCTATGCATGGGTGCTTTCGCCGGCCAGGTTGAAATATGGACTTGTTCACCTTGCGCCATCATGCTGTACCGGGCTAGTGGGTTTGTATTCTCACCACAAAGGAGCATACCAACCCTAGCCATACCCGAGGACTCAACTGGGAGGTCAATGACCTCGAGTCCGTGGCCATCACCTGGCGCCCAGGTAAGTTTCTCATAGAAAGTAGGAACCAGTTTGCGATGGTGGACCAGGACCTCGCCTGCTGGACTGATCATGAGGTTGCTGTTGTATAGATTGGCACTGCTGTACCGCGTCTTCTCGGATATTCCGACGCACACCGTGATGTGGTTTTCTCGGGCTGCTCGGCGGATCGCGTTGACTTCTTCGCCGTCCACGTAGACTGATTCGCGGACCATGCGTTTGAAGAATTCATGGGCTTCGCCGGGGGCTACCATGCAGCTCCAGAATGGATATCCCGGGATGAACACTTCTGGGAAGATGACCAGATGGGCTTTGTTCTTTGCGGCTTCTTCGATCAAAGACACGCATTTCTGGGTTGTTTCTTTGGCTGACAAGAAGATTGGAGCGACATGGCAGGCCGCAGCACGGAGAATGGGTGCCATTATCTGATGGGAAATGATAGAATGGGGCTGGTTTGTTGAGGGCGATGTTGGTATTCACATTTAATCCATCGGGATTTGTATATTAATACACCATCTATCTCGGGATTTGACCTCGGGACTCCCTCGGCAGGAGAAAAACTGCCCGTCACCCCGAAATCCCAGGCTTGGAAATAACCGAAGACTGTCTATTTGAAGCTACTTAATAGTGCCGTTGTATTGAACGAATCAAGCGGTCCGGTGTCGGTGGATGACGATCATTTTCGAAGGAAACACCGCGAGAACTGCTTAAGCAGTACCACTGCAGCTCCAAGGATCGTGAAGATAAGACAAATCTGTTAGACGGTTCTCTCTGTCTGTATGCATTGAAAGCCGAGGATTCCACCACTATGTATAGGAAGACCATGTGTTTCCGAATTTCTATCTGAGAAGATGGTACAAGTCAGGTAATTCCCTCTCTGCAGTCAATCATCTACCCTCGATGCCGTTTTAAAGCCAGGATTATACCACCTATCCAGACCAAGCCAGAAGTATGTGGAACCATGCTGCACAGCTCTTGATTAACAAGCCGAGCCTCTAAACATCAAAACGGCATCTACTATCATCAATGACTGTCATATGGTGCATGATTCACTACGTAGACCTGGCGACCAGGCATCCTAGTTGGGCACCTTGGGAACCTCGAAGGGCAGTGGCTCAGATAGGAAGCTGTCGCGTAGGTGCATGCATAGCTGGGGCTGTACATGTACGTGCAGTAGATGCATGCAAAGACCCACTTGTAGGACCAAGTCGACGGACAGGTCTCAACCATCTTGCAGATAGTTGTAGAAACTAATGATGCGCGCTCAACAGAATTGAGTATAGTACAAGTCATTCATTGAATCAGCGGTCTATAGAAAGTAGCTGGTCCGGTATTAGTCTGCATCCCTTCGGACCGCTTGGATCCTCGGAGTTAAGACTAGTTTACTCCGGTTCTTCGTCATGCTACTATCTATCATTCGATTACAGGATGGATTTCGCTGTTGGTTAAATTGTGGTTAGCGAGTGTGTTATTTTCTCTCATTAAGCTATGCGCTGCGTTGTAGATTATAATATAATGCTGTGGTCAGCTGTATATATGTACAGTCAATACCTGCAAAATGCAACTTTTCCACACAATATAACCTAGTAAGTTTAAGTTGACATCGAAGAAAGATTCCACACAGAAATCTGCAAAAAATCTTTAAATTAGTCAAATTGCTGAACTGTGCAATGGATAAATCTGTGCAAAACAGAGCCGCCAAGTATAAAGTTGCTGCCTCAGGCGGCAACAAGCTCCGGCCCGCAGCTTAATAAGCAATCTCCAAATTACTCAAATCTTTCCCCTCCGTGAGAAACCACCTTGGGAGCTCCGGTCCAGACATTTGTGTGGTTTGATTAAGATTTCCTGGAATTAATCTCTCTGCACATTTACTGTCTATCCACAATGCCGCCGCGCAAGAGGACGCAGCCCTCGGCGGCCAGCCAGGCGCGACGACCCTCAGAGGTAACAAAACTTTTTTCTAGTCGCGAGTTTCATACGTACGACCAATGTACTGACTGCTTTGACGCTCCATTAGACTGGAAACTCATCGGCGACTGATCCCACAAAAAGAAAGCGTTCCTCCGTATCCAAGCCAGTTCCTGAGCCTCCCCGGCAGCCGGAGCCAGAGTCGGATCCAAATGCTCCAAAGTTCAAGCCGAGGGATCCTTTCGATGCGCTCTTAGAACCGTTCTACTACAACAAGGGTCTGACTGACCCAATCGACACCGCCAGGGATAAATGGAACTTGCTGCCCGCATTCCTCAAGGTAAAAGGATTGGTGAAACAGCACCTTGACTCCTACAACTATTTTGTGGAGGTACAACTGAAGAAGATCGTCGAGTCGAGCTCCACTATTCGCAGTGATATCGATCACAACTTTTACATCAAGTTTACCGACATCTATGTTGGTTCGCCTCGACGAGCTGACGAGCAAGGCGATGGCGGATTGGAATTCGAGTCAACGATCACGCCCCAAGAGTGCAGACTACGAGACACTACATACGCTGCACCCATTCTAGTCGACTTTGAGTATGTTCGTGGTCGCCAAAGGGTTATCCGACGAGGCGTTTCTATCGGAAGAATGCCGGTCATGCTCCGCAGTTCTAAGTGTGTGTTGGCGAACAAGACCCCTGCTCAGATGAGCGTCCTCAACGAATGCCCATTGGATCCCGGCGGTTACTTCGTTGTCAATGGAACAGAGAAGGTCATTCTTGTGCAGGAGCAGTTGAGCAAGAACAGAATTATCGTTGAAACCGACCCTAAGAAGGAAATTGTCCAGGCCTCGGTTACCAGGTAAGTGAATGCTCGAACTGTTCCAGTCGAGTACTTCTGCTAACATCTATTAAGTTCTTCCAACGAGCGTAAATCTAAGAGTTACATCGTCTTGAAGAAAGGAAGACTTTACGTCAAGCACAACGTGCTCAATGAAGACATCCCTATTGTGATTTTGTTGAAGGCCATGGGAATTCATACCGATAAGGAGATGATGCAAATGGTCACTGGTGACGACAGTCTGTACCAGGATGATTTTGCGATCAACTTCGAAGAGGCAATCAACGTCGGTATCTACACTCAACAGCAAGCCCTTGACTGGATTGGCTGTCGGATCAAAATCAACCGCAAACAAAGCGCTTATCGCCGGACCCATGTGCAAGAAGCAATTGAGGCGATTGCATCTGTCATCATCTCTCACATTGAGGTTCATGACATGAACTTCCGCCCCAAGGCTATCTATGTTGCCCACATGGCCCGTCGCGTTCTTATGGCCAAGAATGACCCTGCTTTGGTGGATGACCGTGACTACCTTGGTAACAAACGACTGGAGTTGGCTGGCCAGATGTTGGCGCTGCTCTTCGAAGATCTGTTCAAGAAGTTCTGTTTCGATATTAAGATGAACATTGACAAGGTCTTGAACAAGCGCAACCGAGCTGAGCAGTTCGACGCTTGGAGTGTTGTGACCATGCATGGAAACCACATCACCCAGGGTATGAACCGAGCCATCTCAACCGGTAACTGGAGCTTGAAACGTTTCCGCATGGAGCGTGCAGGTGTTACCCACGTTCTCAGCCGACTGAGTTATATTGCTGCTCTCGGTATGATGACTCGTATTTCCAGTCAGTTCGAAAAGACCCGAAAAGTCTCTGGCCCTCGTGCCTTGCAGCCATCCCAATTCGGCATGCTTTGCCCTGCCGATACACCCGAAGGAGAGGCCTGTGGTCTGGTCAAGAACTTGGCTCTCATGACGCACATCACGACAAACGACGAAGAGGGACCCGTGCGAAACCTGATGTTCATGTTGGGTGTTGAAGACATTGCCAGTGTTGGTGGACAGCAACTCTATGCCAAGGGTGCTTACACCATTTCCATCAACGGTACTCCGACTGCCTTGACGAGACGGCCCAAGTCGTTCCTCAACGCTTTCCGAAGACTGCGCCGTATGGGTCGTGTTTCGGAATTCGTCAGCATCTACATCAACCACCACCAGCGAGCTGTCCATGTGGCAACCGACGATGGAAGAATTTGCAGACCGCTTATTGTCGTGGAGAATGGCAAATCTCGGGTTCAGAGACACCATCTCGAAAAGCTGCGTGATGGCAAGATGGAATTCGATGACTTCCTTGCCCAAGGTCTCGTTGAATATCTTGATGTGAACGAGGAGAACGACTCCTACATCTCGATCTACGAGAAGGACATTGGAAACACTCACACCCATCTCGAAATCGAACCTTTCACCGTCCTCGGAGCTGTCGCTGGCTTGATTCCTTACCCTCACCACAACCAGTCTCCCCGTAACACCTACCAATGTGCCATGGGTAAACAAGCAATCGGTGCCATTGCTTCGAATCAGTTCCAGCGAATTGATTCCATTCTATACCTCATGGTCTATCCCCAGAAGCCAATGGTAAAGTCCCGAACTATTGAGCTGACCAAGTATGATCAACTGCCTGCCGGTCAGAACGCAACTGTTGCTGTGATGTCTTACTCCGGTTACGATATTGAGGATGCCCTGGTGTTGAACAAGGGATCTGTGGACCGCGGCTTCGGACGTTGCCAGGTCTTCCGCAAATACGTCACCAACCTGAAGAGCTATTCCAACGGATCAAAGGACGACCTCCGCCCGCCGGAATACGAAAACGGCGCTCCAATTCGCAAGCACGCACTCCTGGAGCATGACGGTCTAGCCGCCGTTGGTGAGCAGGTCAACGCAGGCGAAACCTACGTCAACAAGGTTACACCCAAGGTCCAAAACTCCACGGGCATCACGGGCTCCGACGCTGGCAGGAACGAGTATATCAACGCATCCATGAATTACAAGCTCCCAGACCCCGCCTACATCGACAAGGTCCTGGTCTCAGCTACAGAGGGTGAAACCCAACTTATCAAGGTCCTAACCCGCCAAACCCGTCGTCCCGAAGTCGGCGACAAGTTCTCCTCTCGTCACGGTCAAAAGGGTGTCGTAGGAATCATCGCAGACCAAGCGGACATGCCCTTCAGCGACCAAGGCATCAATCCAGACATCATCATGAACCCCCACGGTTTCCCCTCTCGAATGACAGTCGGAAAGATGCTGGAGCTAGTCGCCGGCAAAGCAGGCGTCCTCTCAGGCCAGCACGGCTACGGTACCTGTTTCGGCGGCAGCCCCGTCGAAGAAATGTCCCAGATCCTCATCGACAAGGGTTTCAGTTACGGTGGTAAAGACTACCTCACCTCCGGTATCACCGGCGAGGCACTGCCTTTCTACGTCTTCACCGGTCCAATCTACTACCAGAAACTGAAGCACATGGTCCAAGACAAGATGCACTCGCGTGCCCGTGGTCCCCGTGCTACACTTACCCGCCAGCCCACTGAGGGTCGTTCCCGTGACGGTGGTCTCCGTCTCGGTGAGATGGAACGTGATTGTTTGATTGCGTACGGTACTAGCCAGCTGCTCCTTGAGCGGTTGATGATCTCGTCTGATCGTCACGAGGTGGACGTTTGCGAGAACTGTGGCTTCATGGGTTACTTGAATTGGTGTCCTGGCTGCAAGTCGTCTCGCTCCGTTGTGAAGATGGTTATTCCTTACGCTGCCAAGCTGCTTATCCAGGAGCTGATGAGTATGAATGTCACGGCTCGTCTGAAGCTTGATGATGAGTTCCCTGAGATGAAGGGTCGTTAAAGCTTGTGATTGGGTGAGTCTTTGGTTGGTGTTTGGGATACTCAAAATGGGGTCATGTGTGCATACTCGGTCTTATGAATAAATGGCATAGCGCGGCGATTTTATTGTTATTCTTGCTGAACTCTTCTTCTCTTGTAAAGTGTGATTGTAGTTGTAAAGACAACAAACCAATCACTTCAGGTGAGGCAATTTACGACACTAGAGGTATATGGACCAAGGTACATCCTTACGGCCACCCATCTTGTAAAGCACCTTAATACTTCACGAAGAAGAACAGATAAAACCCTAGATTTCATTTTGGAACAATTGTAAACCAGTAAGAACGAGAAAAACAGACACTGAGGAAGCAGCAAACCCCATTATTAAAGCGACAAAACTTTAGACTCAAAAGCCACATGTTGATACTTCATGAACTCCATAATCTCCTGCAAAAATTTATTTCGATGGTCCAAAGCTTCATCCAAACTAAGCGGCATATTCCCCTTGGACTTCCTATTATCAAGAGCAAGCTTCGACATCGAGGACCTGAGCTCATCATCCGACGACTCTAAACCCATAGTCCAATCAAAGCGCTGCGGCGGAACATTGGCAGTAGAAATAATCCGAATGTTGGGATCGATGAGGAAGAACGCGACGGCACGCGCGTATCCAGGCTTCGTCTTGTCTTTCAGCTCGTACTGCGTGAACTTGTGCTGGATTGTGCTCGGGTACATGATAGTTCGGCCGGGTACGACGCGGATCGCACCCGGACATTGGATGGCTGGTTCGCCGTTATCTAGGCCGAAGACTTGCCGCAGCCAGATGAAGTCGTTCGTGTCGTGTTCTACTTCTGAAAGTGTGGCTGTTTCGGCAATGTTGCGGAATTCCATCAAGGCGTCTTCGATGTTGTCGTGCTCGTAAGTGAGGAACGCGGAGGCGCAGATATGTTCGTTCTGGGGCGCCATTGTTAGGATCAGAGACACTTGTCGTGTTGGAGTAGATTGGAGGCTTTTCCTTTTTTTTTTTTTGATACTCACCATTTGGCCCTCGACGTGCCAGTCTGTCTCAAAAAAGGAATCGTCTGGGGTGAGATCACAGCCAAGCAGACGGGTGATTACCTGCAGACCTCGATCTTTGTAGTCGCGGACAAGGTCAACGCCTCGTTCAATTCGAACAGGAGCGGGTAGATCCTCGGGCAAGTTGTTCATCATCCAGGGGGGAACGGCCCAGGGGATGAATTTGCCTGCATCGGGTTGGATAGCGACGAGATTTTCCATTCTCCATTTCTCGTTTCGCGCGTCGAACACGCTTTGTGCCTCTTTGGGACCAATCTGGGGTGCCTGGGCCGCAGTCTCCTTGGAAATAGGATAATATTCCGCCTTTTCGTATTCGATCCGGGCACGGGCATGAAGCTGGTCCTTCAGGGGGGTCAAAGTTGCGTTCCATTGAGGGATGATGTTATTGAAACACTCCTCAAGGAGCTTGTAAATGTTCCGGTGCTTGACCGGGTGAAGATTGTTGATATAAGTGACTATGTGCCATCGACCATCTTCACGGTATTCCCAGTCCGCAGGGAGGACCTGGTAGTTGCGGCTGTAGGGATGAACTTGAATATCTGCCCTGGAGATGACTCGCCAGGCGATGTCCTCTCTGGTGATTCCAGTCTCCTTCGGGACAGGTATGACTTCGCCTTGGCCGGCGTACTCAATGGCATTCTCGAGTGAAATAGTCCTGTCTGTGAGAATGCGACTTTTGCCGTACACAAGAGGGTACAGCGTCATGGCGATGAGGTCTCGCTGTTTTCTTAAGAATCCCGGGTAGTAGAATTTCAACTCTGGCTCGTCACACTCCAGAGACTTGATCTGTATCCTGAGACTTTCAATAAGCGAGTCCGACAAATTCTTGTCGGATTTGGTGACATCGCCATTGTACAGAGCAACAACGTCTGTGTTTTCATAGATCGTTGCCTTGAACTCCAGCTCGTCGATAATCCATTCGGCCATACGCGGCGTTATATCTCTACCACAGCTCATGGCATCCTTTTTCCACTGCTCCTGGATGGCAGGATCAAAAACCTGCAGATATTGCTTAGTCGGAAAGGATGAAGTAAGAGGATGAGACGCTCACCTTTTTCCACCACTCCGGGATATCAGTCAAATATTCCAGAAAGCACAACATTGCGATCTCACGGAGAGTCAAGACAGGCAGACTGTAGAATGCTTTAGTATTGTTGGCATCTGGAACCCCATCCACTCACTCTACATAACCTGCTTCGACGTCCCTATCATCTAAAGCAGATGGGAACAGACTCCGGCTATGAACACCATAGATATTTTTTTCGCTTGGGGCATAATCCAGTGGCCGGCCAAATCCTGGAAGTTTGAGGCGATAGTCTGGAAGTTTCGACGAACTGAGCGAGGCCGCCTCCTTGGTCTTGTTTTGGGACATGCTGTATAGGATCAAAACGACCAGTGTGTCTCTCTTTAGTGGAAAAGTTGAATAGTTCACGCCTTCAGACTGGATAATCCACCATATTGGGTTAGAAAAGCAGCTCATGAAAAAGACACCGCAGGGCAACATGACTTACTTGAACGAGGACTGTTCTCTAGTGTGATACTATACCAGACACAGATACCAGAAAAATTAGCAGTGGTAAAAGTGAGACCACAAATCACGTCGTGTAAAGAGAAATATTTCAATGATGCATGGGTGTCGTCGTGAACTCATGTATATCTAAGGAGGAGCAACGGAACTCCCTTCCGGCCTTTCAGTAGATCTGTGCCATAACAAAAGCTACGGGTGCCATGGGCGTCTCTTCGAAAATACAGTCATAGTGATCTAGGATCCAGGGATCATGGCAGTAGGAAACCTTGTATAGAATCTAACCGCAGTGTCAAGGGTCGAAACATATTTTAAGGACTTATAACTTTTCAATGCATTCGTATCTATCTCTAGCAGAACAGGGTCTCACGTGGTAACAAATCTTAAACCGAAACCAAAGGTCCCAAATAATCCTTGACGATACCCCAATACCGATCCGGGTCAGCCTTCATATGCGCAACATGAGGAGAGCCCTTGAAGAGTTCACGACGAACCACCCAGCCCTGAGCCTCCGTCTTCAGAGCATGAGATTCCGTGTCCCGCCAGTCAACCAACTCATCAGCATCAGAGTAAATGTAGCAGCGAGCTAGAGCCTTCTCCGGGTTAGCCGCCCGCACCAAAGAAGTATCATTGATAACCTTGCGAGCAAGGGAGACCGGATCCGGGGAAATGGAGAAGACATGAACCAGCTTAAAGAAAACCAAAAAAGCAAAAAGCATAGCTTTCCCCAGCAAGCGCAAGATCCACATCTTCGGAAGCGCGTAAGAGAAAGCCTTCAGTCCAGATCGTAAGCTCGACTTTCCCGGTGCGCTATCCAGAACCATTGCCGAGATAGGTAGCGGTGTTCCCGTAGCTTCTTTCCAGGCTTGGAGTAGATGAGTGGTATTGGACAAGCCTCCATTCGAGAACATCTGCATGTAGACCGGGTTCTCAGGGGTCACAAAACTGCGCATTGCTTCCACGGCAGGTACCATACGGGCTCGCTGACTTTGGGACGACCGAAACATGAAGTCATTTGAGGAGCTCCGGACAACAATGATTCGGGCTGATGGTACCAGGCGTCTGTATTCAATCACATATTTGGCCATGGCACGTGGCGGTGCATTCATCCAGAATGCAATGAGTATCACTGGCCGAGTTGCTTGGTTGCTCGCTTCTGGATCTTGAATGTAGACTGAGGGGCCCAGCCTGGCAAATGGCGCCAGTGGATTAGCTTCTGTAGCCATAATGTATGTGTTTTTTGACGTCCTCTTGCCAGGCAAAGCAAATGCTGCAGCGGAGTGGGGCCGACGATCCCCAAGGTTTGCCAAGTGCCGAGGCACTAAGTGAAGTATAGCGACACGTCGAATAGGGTGGATTCATATGAGAGGTAATCGCTTGTCATAAGCTGCTGAGACGCACAAGTGATTCGAGGTGTCAGGAATTCTTGTCGCAGGTTCTTGTACATGGCGGACTATGAAGCTATTTACTAGTTTACAAGAAACCCAGAGCCGTGCTCCATGCGGCTCTTCAACCTCAGCCTCTAGAAAATTGACGAAAGTATAGCTGGCTATTCATCTTCAGGTCGCTATGTCCCTATGTTGAATAATACTGATGGCACTTAGCTAGCTATAGAGACTGCGTGTAGTTTATTAGGCGCCGCCCTCCGAGGACATCGGGGCCTACTGTCCTGATCGAGTAGAAATGCCTCGGAAACATGCGAACAGGGGGCGTTGGTGTGCAAATCTTTCAGATACGAAGCCTTTCACAAACTTGGTAGGATTGGCAGGATAACCACTAGACCGCGCAGAATACATATGGATACGAGACACATGAAGGTAAAGCAGTGTGTTACAAGGTCATTGTATGTATTCATGAGAAAACGCCGAAAAGAGACACCTCCTCAAACGCCAGGACCTTGCTGTATCGTAAACGAGATCCCCGCCGCATAATCTAGATTCCCCCTGTGTGGACGTCCGGATATATGACGGTGGAGATTATACGTTGTAGCTATCAGCGCAACGTGCGACCACCCTTGGAGTTCTTGCTGCTTTCCTTGCCCTTTGAGCTCCCAGCCTCACTCCCTGATGTGGGGGTTTCCGATCCAAGATCCTTTCGCTTCCCCCGCAATGTCTGACCGATTCCTTGGAATTTAGGCTGGTCTTCTTGAACGACCTGTCCATTCTCATCACGCTTCTTGACAGGTTTGATGGTGTAACCGAAGAAGAGCTGATTGGGTGGGAGTCGAAGCGGCTGTGGGCCGTTCAGTCTCCGTGCAGGGGGAGGATGTTGAGGATTTGAAGTCCCGGGAGCCGGAGTAGAAGGGTTCGGGGTTGGGGCTTTGCTGCCCTTCTTTGCGTTCAGACGCTGGCCCCCGGACAGGAAATTAGAGGATGCTGCTCGGGCACCTGCTGCCGCCTCGGTGGCCTCCGGGGCAATGGCGGTGTAGTTGATTGATTGTGCCATGGTGCCATGGGGATGCAACAATCCACCGGGTGGAAGCTTTCCACCGATAACGCTACCGGGCGTGCTCGTTCCACTGGTCTTCTGCGATTCCTCATATCCAACCGGTGCGGCAAAATCGACTTCCAGATCTGTCTCTAGAACAGAAACTGCACTCTTGGACCCAGACGGCTTTGTCTCTAGCACCGCCATCTCGTAGACTTGATCATTGTATGCGAAGGTGAAGACATCGCCCTTAGTAAGGCATGAGAAATTCCGGAAGGCGTTTTCGAGTACGGCCTTCGGGTCACTGATATCGAGGAAAGAGGTGGACTGTGCTTGGAGCTTAATGAACTGTCCTGGGGGAAGGTCGGTCGATTTGATCTGGAGAAGGTCGCCAGGCTCCAGCAGTAACGTTTGCATCAGCTGTAGAAGGCGAATCTTAGCACAGGTAGGAACTCCAAGATGGATGCCGCACTTACCCAGAATGGCAAATATATCTTTCCTTCCTCAGCGATAAATTCCAGGACACCGGCATGTGTCATTCTCTCCTTTGCCCCATTGTGAAGCTCGAACATCATCGGGTAGGTAATGTGAAGGCGGGTAAGCTTGTCCAATGCGCTGGGAGGCATGATCACCTTGCCGCCATGATTTACATTCTCTCTTTCAGGACCAGGCAGCATCGCCACTGGGTAGCAGCGGTAGTATTCGTCGAAGCGGCGAGCTGCTGCGCCGGGACGCATCATGCCGGCACCTAGGACTCCGTCCATAGGGTCGTCGGACCAGTAGTCAGGTCGGAACTGGAGTTGTTAGAAGGGATAAAGGAGCAAGAAGGTATCAAGAGCTTAGCGGCTCACCATAGTAAAGAATATACTTCGAGGTAGATTGAACAAAGCGACCGTTTCTTGACGCCCTCAGTGACGCAAGTTCGCTCCGCCATGATTTTCCGCTCCGACCCCAGAGCGGAAGTCACCTCTCTGAGCTACGCCGTGCGACAGAGCTTCTTTTTCCTTTACTTCCGTGAAAGTAACATTACCTGCACACCATGTCCAGCTCACTACCACGCCCCAAGCGCGCTGGTGAAGATTTCGCTCACGCCCACTACGACGACGCTGGCGAGGAAGCTTCAGAAAACAAAAAGCCGCGCTTCGACCTTCGTAACCCCTCATCACTTGCTGCCGATGCGCAAGAGGACGATGCAATTCTGGACGCCGACGAGATTGGCCGACGTGGCCAGCAAATACGACGCAAGGCGATCAACCTTGACGGCTACGACTCGGACAGCGACAACGAAGGGTTCTCTGGCCGCGGGGAAGAGAAATCGAAGCGCAAACAGGATAAGCAGGATGCCGATGATGATGACATGTTTGCCGAGCTACAAGAAGATTTTGGCGAAGAAGAGGTCGACGGCGATGAAGTTTTGAACAAGAACAAGAAGTCCGTTCGTTTCCTACGGGATGACGAGATTGAGGGACAGGTCGCTTCTTCGAAGGGCGGAGGAACGCTCAATGTAGATCTGAGCAAGGGCGCAGATCAGATGGCCGACGACAATGAGTCCAGTGACAGTGAGGTTGGGGAGGAAGAGCGCGCACGAGTTGACGAAGAGGTCGACGAGGAACTTGGCGCTGGCGCGAAGAAAAAGCACGCGCCTCTACTTGATGCCTTCAACATGCAAAATGAACAGGAAGAGGGTCGATTCGATGACCAAGGCAACTTCGTTCGCAAGGCAGCAGACGCAGACGCAAAGTACGACAACTGGTTGGATGACGTTTCGAAGAAGGATATTAGAGCAGCTAAGGCAGCTGCCGACAAGCGCGATGCAGAACGCAAAGAGAAGGATCGAATGGACGACAGCATTCTGACATCGGATGTCCTTAAGACTATCATTACACATCTCGAACGCGGTGAAACAACACTTGAAGCATTGGCCCGACTAGGCAAAGGCCTTCGCCGGAAGCCCAAGTGGCAGAACAAGAAGAACAAGAAGAAGGACACGGCTGAAGATACTGAAATGACGGACGAAAACCCCGAAGAAGCGTCCCGAAAGCAGGCAATTGATGCTATAACTGGCGCCGCCGATATCTTGATGGGCCGAGGCCAAGTCGATATATATGACACAGAGCGTGAAATGCTCACTCGCCAATACCGCAATGAGACCGGCGAACAATGGGTTGACCCTCCCTCCTGGTCAGGGAATGGAGAGACAGACCAAGGGCCAGCCATGTGGGAATATCGCTGGTCTGATGCTCGAGATGGAGGGAGTGCCCATGGCCCGTATGACAGTGCCATGATGGACTCATGGAACAGTGCCGGCTACTTCGGGGAAGGCGTCGAGTTCCGCCGAGTGGGCGACACAGGCTCGTGGAGTAGCAGTGTTAGTTTTGTCTAACATGGTCATATATCAGCTAATTTAGTTTGGCTACGAGCAAATATCTTGAAATGAAATATTAATGTCATGACCTCAAAAAGAGGACCTCAATTCAATTCCGCAGGCCAAATCACCTCAACAAGCGCCAGTCCTATCATACATCGTTTGATGTGACAAATGAAAGCCAAAAAACAAGTAAATCGAAATCCAGTGTAGTTTTTACCGAATAGCCCCAACGAATACCGCACATGCATATGAAACGCAGCCATCGCATTATTACGACAGTTCCATAGCATCGCCATTAGCACCGGCATTGAAGTTAACGTTGCCTTGGTCGCCGATGAAACGCTGCTCATATTGGTTGACGAACTTCACGCTGCGAGCCGGGTCGTAGAACAACCGGAAGCTGCGCTGCACGTCATCGACACTGACTTCCTTCGCCTTGCGTTTTTGGGTCAAGAGATGAGAAGTGGTAATGATGTTGCTAGCATAACGCAAGTTGGACTCCTGTCCGATCTTGGTGAGAAGGGCCAGAGCATCAGGCGAAATATCGATTTCTTCCTCCTGCGCCCTGATAGCGAGGATTTGACGGATCTCGTCGCCCGAGTACATCTGTGTGCTCACAATGACTACACGGTCAAGGAAGTCAAGGGGCAAGCCGTGAGGGGAGGTGTATGTGGTTCCGCGAATACGCGCCTGGCCGCGGTTGCTGGCCATGATGACGATAGGGGCCAACTCTGCCTCGAGGGCACGGTTGACGTATGAGTAGCACTCAATATCGAGCATGTGGACCTCATCGATGAACAGGACACCGGGGATGATCTCGGCCTTGCCCTCTTCCTTCCATTCGGCCACCTTGGTGTTGATTTGATCCCGAACCTCGCTCCGGATCTCGCCTGTGTCGCCGGAGAAAAGGGCCAGGAAGCCCTGTGAACGCGAGTTGATAACATCGATCTCGTGGAGGCTAACAGTGTGGACAATCTCCTTGCGGACCTGGAGCTCGCCTTCGGGGCACTGGACAAATTTGGTGTCGGCACCCATAGCGTCGTAGTCGCGAGAGCGGGCGTATGAGCGGCCGAGCTTGGTGATCTTGCCTGAGGACTTATCGATCGAAATCACGTCTCCTGCCATGACGCGTTCCTTGGTCATAGAATCAATCATCTTTGTTCCCATGTCATAAATCGTTTCCATATCGGTGGTCTTGATTGTGAGCTTTCCTTGTTTATTGCCCTGCAGAGGTCAGTATCCAATGTCATTGATTCTCTGGAAATGCTTCACTTACCCCAGTGACGCTGCGATCAATTTGAATCTCCACGACTTCACCCTCGATGATCTCACTCTCTTCTTTAATGCGCACGCCAATTGACTTCCGGAACGCCTGAGTCAAGGCTTCCGTCTTGGACATTTCCATTGAGAAGATTTCAGACGAGGCGAGCATAGTGAAGGGAACATCTGGCCCAAGAGACTGTGCCATGCCCATTGCAATTGCCGTTTTCCCTGTGCTGGGAGGTCCCGCGATCAAAACCGCGCGACCAGCAATCTTGCCTTCCTTCACCATCTGCAAAATCACCGCCGCGGCCTTCCGAGCCTTTTCCTGGCCCACAAGGCCTTGCGACGATGTGCGAGGCTGTAAAGTATCCACATCGACACCAAGACCTCTGATATGCGAATGGGCGGCGATGAGGTTCAGTCCCCGGAGCTCCTTGCTCTCTGCGACGGTCGAGATTGGCTGTTTTGAAGTTAGTAGCTGGGGAGATATCATTGTAAAATTGCAACTCACAACAGCCATTTTGGTAATTGTCCAGGGCAAAACCTTTCTCTGACAGCAAGACTTTGTTGGATAAATGCGATAGAGCTCCGGAAAAGCAAGAGAAGAGAGAGAGGCAGGGCAGATCACAGACCGGAGTGCTCAGCTACCGCCCGGCAGAATAATTGTCAAAGAAAACGGAACTTCAGCAGACGTCGAAATGAGAATGGCCACATTTGAGACTTGATTATAAAGCGGCCCATCTCATTTCTTCGTTTGCTCACTCGGCTGTCCTCTGCGGTAGTGTTTAATTTCAGTCTCAGTCCATTTCGACTATCACTTGCAACCCCCACTTCCCTCAACGACACGACTTCGCGTGGCTTACGCATCTTGATACATTTATTTGCGGTCATCATCCTCATATCTCCACCTTTGGGGCAAATTGCGCGAGTGGCACTGACCAGAGTTGGAGTTTTGGGTCGCGAAGGACCGGCGATCGACCCGTCAATTCCATACGTCCGTCCGCCTGACGTTGTTAATACAATGCGCATTTTACTCTCCTTCGTTCAATCCAGGGAACATGACGAACAGAATGGATATCGACTTCCCACAGTCTAGGGGTGCCAGGCCGGGTTTCGCAGACTGCTACAGGCCCCATCCATCGCCAGCTCCAACGAGAGATCCCCGGCCGAGACCTAGTCCGAGGCCGAATATAAGACCACCATCCTCCGTCTCACTTCCCCCGAAACCACTGGCGACATCTACCTTGGGTGGTCCTGGCCCATCGGGAGCTTCTTCAGCCTCCACAAATCCTAACACTCCAAACCTACGAATCACCACAACGACCGCACCCATCCCAAATCGGCCGGCACCAAATGACCCTCCGTCAAGTCCCCAGGCAGCCGTGTCCCTCTTGGACGTGATAACATCTGTGATAAAAGCCGACAAATGTCAACAGGAGAAAGACAGACTAGAGAAGGAAATACCCACATTCGAACGGAACCTTCAAAAAGCCAAACAATCCCAAGTCTTCCCTGGTACTATCTCTTTGTACCAGCAACAGCTGGACGCAGCAAAAGATGAGTTGGCCAAGCAAATCGATATCATCGAGCAAAGTCGGTCGGTGTCAAGCAAAGCCCAGGAGATTTTGCTTAGTCATTGGTCTCAGCCAAAGGCTCAGCCTGAGATCAAAAAGATGTCGGACAAGATTGAGAAAATGGAGTCACAAATGCGGGATTTGAAGACGCAAGCCATGCGATCTGCCTCCAGCTCAAGCGTTCCGGACGATAAACTTAAGGCGATCAACCACAACATCTCAAAGCTTCGAGAAACCGATACCTCGACGACCAACAATCTCACCAACATTGACGGGCGATTAAAGACAGTCGAAGCCGCACTCTCAACACTTCAAAGAAAATCCGAGATCCCCACTGGAACGATGGAGGTTCGTGTGCAAAAACTAGAAAATTCGATACATTCGCACTCTGTCCGATTAGGGCACATTGACATTTCGAGCACCAAACCCTACATGGATCTTGAGGCGAACGTTTCCGAGCTTCAGGGCAACGTATCCAAGCTTCAGGGAAACCTTTCTAAGCTTGAAAGCAACAACTCCAGGCTGGACAGCGACTTGAAAATGGTCGACAAGAAACATCAAGACAGAATCTCTGGTGTTAACAAGGAACTTAAAACAGCCAACAATGAGCTGAGCGGGAGAGTATTTCCCCTTGAGCGCCAAGTGACACTCCTCAAATCCCAACAACGCTCTGCCAGCGGTGACGCACCTTCTGGGACACCTGAAGCTTCCTCATCTTTCACGAATCACAGATTGTCCTCCTTGGAGCAAGAAGTCCGGGCACAAGGAACCAAAGTTCAGGGAATCATGAAAATCCACCAGGATGTGCAAGACGAGTATTTCGCAGAGCTAGAGAAATTGAAAACGTCCATCGATTTGTTAAAGGAGGAACACGAGAAGACCAAAGAAGATGTGACCAGGGCCGACCAGAAAAATGAGGACCTGATCAAAAAACTTGGAACTATTCATGCGAGCATTGGTACACTTTACAACTTTTATACGAAAGTTGAAACCGATCTTTTGAAGTCAAACCAGCAATTTCGAACCGAGCTGGACAATTATCGCAGTGATTGGACGGCGTCTGTAGACAAAATACGAAGCGATCTGACCACGTATTGCAGCAGTTGCTCAATGATGGTTAGCCGGCTCCGGAATGACTTGAACGAAGCTTCGAAGCTCATAGAAACAATGACACCCGCTTTCCAGGAAGCGAAAAAATGCACCGATCTTCTAATAAGTCATAGCGTTTCCCTTCGATCGCTCGAGACGCGATGGTCAAACATCACTACCGGTGATTTGGTCAAGTCCATGTCGGATGCTATGCTTGAAATGAGCCCCTTGGTCAACCTCAACCAAAGGGTTCAAACGCATGTAACTGAGACCAGAAACAAATTTGCCGCTCTCACGGCAGATATCGCTCAATTGTCTCCCGGAGATAAAAACGCACTGGCAGCGTATCCATCTATGTTGGAAAAAGTGAACAGCCTTTCGCAGCGTATCAATCCAATGCAGACAGCTCTCGATCACCTTTCCATCCTTGCGAAAGATATGGCCAACTTACGGCAACAATCGCAATTATCTCCTGAAGACAAAAAGACACTGGCACAATTTCCAAAGATCTTCGACACGGTGACCACCATCTCGCAACGTTTCGGTCCGATGAAAGAATCGCTCGATCACCTTTCCACCCTTGTAAATGATATGCCCAACTCAAGGCAACAATCGCAATTATCTCCTGAAGACAAAAATACACTGGCACAGCTGGCACAATACCCAAAGATGTTGGAGAGGGTGACCGACCTTTCACAACGTGTCGAGCTCATGCAGCACACTTTCAATCAACACTCACCCAGCTTACAAAAGCTACTGCAGGAAATGAGTAATTTGGCCAACAAGGTCACAGCTAACGAGGAGATGATCTTTAGTGTTGATGCCAAAATTGATGAGTTGGATCCCGCAGAGCCCTCTGCGGAACTCATTGAATCTATGAAAAAGATTGATCCGTTGATTGCTAAGGTTGACGGCCATATCTTACAATTGGAACAGGTGCAAAAAGATGTTGCCGCGTTCAACAGAGCAGAAGCCGAGCGCTGTAATGCGGATCTACAGCATCTCACAGAGGTCAACACACGTTTATCAGACCTGGAAGCCAATATTCCACAACGAGAGGAAATCCAACATCTGCTCGCAGAAGTGGAAGGTGCTAAATTACGGGATGAGGTGCTAGAACACCGCTTGGCGGACCTGGGATCCAAGGCTGAGGGAATAGGACACCAGCTGGCAGACCTCAAAGCCACTAAGCTTCTTACTGAAGAACTTAGGGGTGAACTCGATTTCCTTAGTCCTAAAATCACAGAGCTTGAGACCCAATACCAAGCCATCGAAGACGACGGTATCAAGTTGACAGATGACCAATTGAAACGCTTGCGGGAACGGCTGGCCGGTGAGCCGATCCATAACATGCTTCATCGTCTACGGAAAGCCGAGGACAACATCAAACAAGCCCTCAGCAATGCTGGACGTCCGCTAGAGGTGCGTGCTCTCAAAGGGCCAAGCAACAACACCTCTAGCCCATCCAAAGCCTCCACACCCTCCCCCGCCGTACCCTCGGTTTCGACCCTAGGGGTTCATGTACCAGCCAACCCGGCTTCTCTTCCCAAATACGGACCATGTTCTAGTCAACAGCCTGGTACTCCCGCTCAATTGACTCCTCCTACAAAGCCCGGTCTATCGTCTGGAACGTCAAGCGGCTCAGAGGGTAGAACATCGTCACTCAAAAAGCCCGAAAATCAGCAAGTTCAATCATTGAAAGCGGGCAACCGGCGTCACTCTTCTGCGTCGCCCTCAGAGGATGAAAAAAGCACACCAGGCCCTTCCTCTAGGGCATCTTCACCAGCACCTAGCGTTCCTTCGGGCCTTGGCAAAAAAGAGAAGAAGAAGGAGATGATGGCTAAGAGGAAAGCAGAGAGAGAAACGAGAGGAAGCTCCGTGACAAAGCCGAAAAAGAAAAGGCAAAAGCATGAGGTCCAAGCCTAGGGCTATCTAGGGTTTCGTGCTTGATTCTTCAATCTCACTGCCTCATCCTTTACCTCTCGACGTAGATGTACGACTCTGCGAAGGAGCAAACGATTAGGGACTTGGGGTTTCAGGGCAGGAATCAGTCTATTAGCAGGCCTGAGTGCCTGATCAGTGATGTGCTCTTTTAGATACCTCTATGGTGCCTAGAATCCCACCAGGCCTATTAATGTACATTCAAACCCATGTCTATCGGATTACCACTGTATATACCTTATATCCCTGTTTAAACCTTTTCTAAGAACTTCACGACGGCTTTTACCCACCATGTCAGCATATATTTTAGAGATACCGGGGACTATGGGAGCTTACCTTGTCTGAAAGCTTCAGGGTTCTCAGAAATAAGCCAGTGGCCAGCCTCCACATCGGCGATTTGCGCGTTGGGGAAGAACTTCTTAATAGCCGGCACGGTATCGTCGGAAACGTATTGAGATCTAGTCCCACGGACGAACAGCGTTGGCCCGTCGTATTTAAGGTTGTCTGATTCCTTGAAGGGGAAATCGGCCATGTTGTCGAGAGAACGGCCGATCACTGATAGTGGCACGCGGAATTTAAGCGTGTTGTCATCCTCTGAGCGGACTAGATTGGTAAGAAGGAATTGGCGGATAGGGAGGGACTAAAGATTGTTAGCATTTGAGCTGGACCGGATGGTGCCTAGTCGCTAGCTTCTAGCTTCCGGGCTCTGCCACATAGGGGATAACCATACTTCTTCATAGTCTTCAAGAATCTTGTTGGCATCAGATTGCTTGGAGACCTTCTCAGCCTCAACCTTCTGCATACCGCGAACATATTTGGGGAAGTCGCTCTTCAGTGCGGCATTCACTGGGGCGTTGTCAACCGGGATCAAAGCTGAAACTCGGTCCGGTGACCGTAGGGCGACTGCCATTGCAGCTTTGGCGCCCCTTTGTTGTTTGTCAGTACCAACGAATAACCCGAAAAAGCAACGCATAGTTCCGAGGTCGTTTGAAAGATGGAGCAACATCACGTACATGGAGTGTCCAATCAGGACACACTTGTCCAGCTTCTGCTGTTGGATAAACTCTTGTATGTCCTCGGCCATGACGCTGTAGTTGTGCTCCGGGGCATGGAAGGACTGGCCATGATTCCGTAAGTCCTATTCAATAACGATTAACATCTGTTTCTCAAAGTCTTCGTATCTTCTGGGGACAAGATACTTGCACGGGAAACTCACCAGGGCAAAGATCTGGCATTTCAGATCCCGGGCCAGAGCCCTGAAATATATGTAAGAATATTTCTCATTTCAGCCAATAGAGACATATTACCTACTTTCCAATACTCCGATTATTCTGTTTCGATCCAAATAGCCCGTGGAGGATTAGGATCGGGTTTCGGACGGATTGGCCATTTTCTGGGCCAAACACTTGATATGCCAGGTCCGATTGCAGCACTCGGGCCGTGGAAAAGGCCCGAAAGCTTGAAATGCCTCTCGCGGCTGTCCGAACGGAAAACATCATGTCAAGAATCAGAATGGATCAGGGAGTGTGGTTGATATCACGAATGGTGGAAGATCGGGAAAACAGTTCGCGATGACTAATCAGGTTAGCGTCTCCGCGGCTCCAAGGTCGGGCCTGGGCAGCTCAGGCGGACAACTGTTGGACATTTGAACTTGCCGTATCCTGTGGAAACTTACACAGTCCTCGGATTCAATCTGGAGATGTGTTGATCGATCTTCTTTTACTCGACTTGGCAGCGATGATCAGGTCTAGACCTTTGCCAAGGCTTTAATTGATATTGTGTGAGCCGTTCTGTGGTTAGAAAAAAGGGGAAAGTCTTGTAAAACTTTAGGTTGAAGGGTTGAAGCCTATCATGTACGATTACAAATCCAAATATAGCTGGGAAGACGCGGGGGTGTGAAGCTGCGAATACCTGATGACTTCATCTCACTTGGGATATGCACCCATTTCGAATCCCTTTGAACAAAGCGCGCCTATTATAAAGCCCAAGCTATCTGTCTGTCCCTAGCTGAGTATAGCCAGTACCAAGATAATCACCCATCATGGCGGATCAACCAGAGCCATACAAGATCTCCATTTCCGATGACAAGCTCAAGGACCTTCAGCAACGTCTAGCACTAGCTAAACTTCCTACACAGCTAGAATCTTCAGATGGAGATCCTTGGAGCTCAGGAACTCCGGTCAATGAGATGGAGCGCCTGATAGAATACTGGAAGAACAGCTTTGACTGGCGAAAGGCAGAGGCCAAGTTGAATGAGCTGCCCCAGTATCGAACACAAATCGAGGTAGAGGGGTTTGGTAGCTTGGATATTCACTGTAAGCTGTTTTATTCATTTGGGTAATATGATGGCGAATTCTCACAAGGACATGTCGCAGATGTCCATCAAGTCAGCCCAAATACGAACGCCATCCCACTGCTATTCAGTCATGGATGTAAGTGCAATTCCCATGTCTCTTGCATTCCGACATCAACGGACACCAGCTCTGACACAGTTCACAGGGCCAGGATCTTTCATCGAGGTATCCAAACTTCTCCCGTTGTCGAATGGGGATGACAATAACCCCGCATTCCATATCGTGGCACCATCTTTGCCTAACTTTGGCTTCTCCTCTGGCGTAACTCGGCGCGGATTTGGACTTGGGCAGTATGCGGAAGTCATACACAAGCTAATGATCAAGCTTGGTTATGATCAGTATGGTAAGGTCCCGCAGACGACTGGCCTGCCCGGAATATACTTACTCCCATACTAACTCAAAAATACAAACAGTAACCCAAGGAGGAGACTGGGGATTCTGGATAACAAGAGCCGTAGGCTTCCTATACCCAGACCACTGCAAAGCCTCCCACATCAACATGGTCTTAGCCAAGCCCCCTCGATTCACAGTGAACCCATGGCTAGCCCTGCAACACTCACTGCTACCATACAGTGAACGAGAGAAGAATGGCCTCGAAAGGTCTGCATGGTTCGAGCGTTCAGGATTTGGATACAATCTCCTCCAAAGAACCAAGCCGCAGACAATCGGCGCCGCACTTGAAGATAGTCCTGTTGCCCTGCTATCCTGGATCTATGAGAAACTTCATGACTGGACAGATTCATACCCCTGGACTGACGACGAAATCTTAACCTGGATATCGATCTATTGGTTCTCGACTGCGGGCCCGGCGGCTAGTGTCCGTATCTACTATGAAACTCTCCATACTGGGGGGATTGAGGGGATTCCTTATGGGAAATTGATTGAATATATCCCGCATGTGAAGTTGGGAATCGCGCATCTTCCTCGTGAAATCTCAGTTGTGCCTTCTACTTGGGCTGCCGGGTTGGGACCGGTCGTTCGGCAGAGTGAACATGCTGATGGTGGACATTTTGCTGCTTGGGAAGTTCCTGGGACTATCGTTCAGGACTTGCGGGCTATGTTCAGTAAAGATGGTCCATGCTACAAGGTCGTTTCAGGAAAGGGCGGTTATTAGTATGGGATGTTCAAATGCAAATTTGACATTGTCCGGACTCAATTGGTAGCAATTACACTGCCTATCCGAATGGAGATTGAACAGAGTCCTAAATCTGACGATGAAAATTCGCGAATGCCATGAATGTTTCACAAAGGCTTGATGGTATCACATGGCTGTAGAAACTAAGTTATCAATCATGTATTGAAACATAGGCAAGTATGGATATATACATCAGTCATCTAGCTTAATCATCTAGCTGTCCAGCAGCACAGGAACCTTCTCACACAGATATTCGACAATAGCATCAGGTCCACGCTCAACCTGCAAGCCCTCGGGAATAGCGTGCAGCTTGATATCCGGGCGAACGGACTTAGCAATGGCGTGGATCTGCTGAGCCTCCTCGGCGCTCCACATGGATGCGCTGAACTATCCGCGCCGTTAGCCTCTCCCAACTGGCACTCGGCAATTCCGAGAATGACTTACCAGAACCTCGGGGTTGTGCTGCTTGACCTTGGCCTCGACCTCGTCGATCTCTGTGCCGGGAATTAGTCAATTGATTCGAGTTTATCGAAACCGCGCGCAATGCTTACTCTCGCAGTTGTCGACGTGGACGATCGTGTATCGGTCGCTCAGTGCCTCGGCGACGCGGCCGATGAGCCGCTTCGCGCGCTCGGGCGCAGTGTTGACTGTGACGAGGTGGAAAGGACCCTTGGGAGCAGACATTGTGAGATATAGAGACTTGAAGTCGAGAATTGCGACATCCGCGGGGTTTTATTCAGGGCCTCATCCCACTCGCCACATCCCCACAAAGTGTGGGAGTCGCCCCTCCGGCTTTTCCAATGGACTAGAAATACTCCGCTATCGGTCTCAACTCCGACTACATATTGTCTGGGGTTTCTGGGGTTCTTTTCTGTCGCTAATTAACTTAACCAAACATGTCTAAGATCGCCTCAACCTTTTCGCGTGAGCAATCTGGACCCATTGTATTCCGACACATCTAACAGCGAACAGGCCTGGTGCGCTTCGTCCCCAAGTCGAACCCCTCCAAGATTCTGATCGGCGAGCCGGTCGACCCTAAGTTGGATGTTGGACTCGCCCTTTACCAGGGACAGGAGGTGTCTGTGCGCCCATTCTCTGGCAGTTCAGTCTTGAGCCCAGGCAAGGTGACTGAAGCGACCGAGACGATAGAGCGCATTCTGTCCCCTCTGGCGCAGGCCGAGGTTGGGACCATTCGCTGCGTTGGCCTGAACGTGAGTCACAATGTATACCCAACGCCAAAAACGAGGATACTAATATATGCGTCAGTATGTCTCCCACGCCAAGGAGATGTCACTCCCAATCCCAGAGGTGCCAACATTGTTCATGAAGCCCTCCAGTTCTCTCGCCGATCCCTGGCCCGCGCCAACCGTTCTGCCCAAGATTACGCAGCAGGATAACACCGGCGATTACGAGTCCGAGATGGTTATCGTCATTGGCCGTGATGCCAAGGACGTGTCTGAATCCGAGGCCCTTGACTATGTCCTTGGTTACACAGC